AGGAGCATATGGATGCCGCTAAGAGGGTGTTGCGCTACTTGTGCAGTACGTCGGGCATGGGGCTTGTGCTTGGAGGACGGACTCGGGTTGTCCTCACAGGGCACTCAGACGCTTCTTGGGCTGACGACCAGGCTACGCAGCGGTCGTCTCAGGGTTACACCTTCAGTCTTGGCTCTGGTTCAGTTTCTTGGCGTTCTACACGCTCGTCTTCAGTTCTCAGCTCCAGTTGTGAGGCTGAGATCTACGCCACAGCCATGGCTGCACAGGAGTTACGCTGGCTCACCTACCAGCTGACCGACCTGGGAGAGCGGCCTCGTTCTCCTCCAGTGCTGTACGTCGACAACAAGGCCGCCATTGCCTTGTGTCAGGAGCACAGACTGGAGCACAGAACGAAGCACATCGCTCTGCGCTACTTCCTTGCTCGAGAGTTGCAGCAGCGTGGTCAGCTTCGTCTTGCTTACGTGGCCACTCGGGCCAACACTGCTGATGTGTTCACCAAGGTGCTTCAGCCTTGTGATCATCAGCGTTTCTGTACTGTTCTAGGCCTTCTGCCTACTGTCCCTCACTTGCTCACTTCTTGACTCTGTTTGTACTGTGATCTCTATATATATGCCTGCATGCTTACACTTTCTAGGTTGTGATAACTGTACCTCTTGTTATATTATCAAACTGCATGTGAACTGGTCTTGTGACCGCTTGCTTGTGCTCGGAATTTGTGTGGTATCCTTGAGATCCACCCTGAGCTGTGCTTTGCCTTGCTTTGCTTTGACTGGTCTTGTGACCATCTGGTTGTCTCCCACTTTGCCTATGGGGGTGTGTCAAACATTGTATATGTTTATGTTCTGTAGGCTGTAGCGGGTTTAGCCTTAGGGGGTACAATCTCTAGGGTTTCATACTTGTACTCCCTACTTTCCTAGTTCAATCACTTCACTCATTCTGACACATTTGAGGCCAAGTGGTATAAGGGTTGAGTATTCCATGTTAAAGCATGCTTGTGCATGTACATGTACGGGCAACTATTGATCGAAGGTGTGAAGAGAATTAACAATCGAATAAAATGTCAACGAATGTGTCGGGAGTGTCAACGCATGTCTCTTCTTCTTCTCGTTTCCTCTTTTTTTTTTTTTTTTTTTTTTTTTTTTTTTCACTCGTCCTGTCGTCCACTTGGTGCCTGCCCTTAGTGCGTGGGGGCTGATGCCTAGGGCCATGGACACCCTTGTCCATTGTGCTTTCTCTCATTCTCTCTTCTCTCTCTCTCTCTTCTCTCTTCTCTCTCTCTCTCTCTCTCTCTCTCTCTCTCTCTCTCTCTCTCTCTCTCTCTCTCTCTCTCTCTCTCTCTCTCTCTCTCCTTCTCCCTCTCTCTCTCTCATGCTCTCTCTTACTCGTAGTGCACGGGGGCTGATGCTTAGAACCATGGACATGCGTGCCCACCATGCTTTGTCTCATGCTTTCTCTCTCTCTCTCTCTCTCTCTCTCTCTCTCTCTCTCTCTCTCTCTCTCTCTATCTCCCTCTCTCTCTGCTCCTCCTCTTGATTTTATAGAGTCTCTTTGCCAAAACAATAGGCCTTTAGGAAGGTAGTTTTTATTAAATCAACCAACACACATAGCAATGCTTTCCTAGCATGCATCATGCCACCGGGTGGCCAAACACATGGGACCGAGGAGTTGTTGTTCCCCTTCCCTATCCTAGGCCCAAAGCCTATTCCCACCCTTTACTAGGGCTGGCCTTTTGCCATCGCAACCCCTAGGGTTGCCCACGGTTTTCGCACTCAAGAGTGCACCGTGCTTAGCGCCCAAGCGCCTAGTCCCATGGCCCGCTCCTACACCACCGGAGCGGGTCCCTGGCCGCCATGCCCGTTCCGAGGGCAGGCACTTGCCACGTGGCCCGGCTGGCCGCAGCGGAAGCACGAGCCCCGGAACCCACGGCAATTGGCCGTGGGCGGGGGGCCTCGCTTGGGTAAGAACGGCATCGGCGCGTTGTTTCCGCCGCGGTTGACACGAGCGTATCCACTTGTCGCGCGGTCCATCGCCGCCATGTCCGCGACCGCCTGCTTGAAGGGTCGAGAAGTCAGCAGGCTCTTCTGCTGGTACAACTTGAAGCGCTTCGCCTTGCGGAAGTCGGAGGCGTCCTCCACTTGAAGCACCTCGAAACGCCCCGAGATGAGGTTGAGAGCGTGTGAGATGAGTTCGAGTCCGCCCGCCGGATCGCCGCACTGCGCCTTGTATTCGGCGTGCAGCAGGTACGCCCGCAGGTCCTCCAGCAGCTCCGCTTGCTCTCGCACGGAGTCGTTGACGAAGGTTGCCGCTGAGAAGGTAAGGTTAGAAGAAGGGAGGGGGGGGAGGTGTTCCATGCCAATAAAATTAGCATTGTTGACTGGAGCCTCACCGGCTTCATCTTCAGAGTCGTCGGTGTCGTTGTCGACCGCTGGAGCAGGGGGAGCGGCGGTCGCTGCGTCGTTGTCATGCCGGTTCGTCCGTGCTCCTCGCGTGCCTTTTTCCTTTTTTGCGGCAGGTAGTGCAGTTTCCGCGGCTGTAACGCTGACAGGCTACTGCTGTAGAAGGGACAGTAGTGCGTTGACCTGGTCCGGGGTCAACGCCTGCGTCAGCGCAGGGGCGGCGGTCGCGTCAGACGAGGAGACTGCAGTCCGCCTCCTCTGGCGCTGACGCGACGGTCCAGCAGCGGGTGCTGGCGTGTGCTCGGCGTCAGTCGCGTGTGCCGCGCCAGCTGCCGTCGCCACTTGCGCCACAGGTGCCACTGGCGCCACAGGCGCCACTGGCGCCACAGGCGCCGAAGGGTGCTACTGGGTTTCGGCGTTTTTGTTGACCTCGAGCCCGCCCAGCAGCACGTCCACTGCAGTCGGGGCGGACAGTCCGTCTTCTGCCCGACGCTTGTTACGGCGTTCGCCCGCAGAATCGCAGGCGTTACGGTCGGAGTCGAAAGCGGGGGTTGACGAGTTCCCGTTGTTAAGTGTCGGCGTAGGTGCCATCGTTGAGCGATTGAAGTTGAAAATGTCGCTGAGTAAAGTAGAGGGTGACTCGCCTCTAGGAAGCGATTTAATCCTAGCCAGCTTGGAGGGAAAAACTACTCGAGCGGAAATGTTGAGTGAGCCGTTTGAAAATCGAGAAACGTGGGTGGAGGGAAATGAGCTCCAACCCACGGTTTTTGTAGTTGGAGAAGGGCGTTTAGCGCGCTTCGACGATGCCAATTGTGCAGTACAAGCAACTTCGCTTTCACAATACACAATTTAAAAAAAACACAATGTGTGTTAAAAAAATTATAATCTCTCTGAACTCTTGCAACAAGCCACCATCCAAGGTAGGCTTTTCTAGCAGCTTCCTCCTCCTGAGTCCCATTGATATCTACCGAGGGAAAACCTAATATGGCAAGCAGCCAACATCAGGATAGTGGTTACCATGCTACAGCAAATAAGAATGTAACACTCTTCGAGCCCCTTCACTTTCTTATACCGCACACCAGGATCAATGCTCAGTAAAGTAAGCGATATGGTGTTTTTTCTAGAAAACGGTTGGCTGATGTGTTAGTGGCGGTAGCAGACGAGGCCGATGTAACGAGAGTCGTGTACTACTAGTAAATGAAGGATGCTGCGGAATCTGGTTTGATCTCCAAATGGTTTGTGACACCATGCCAAGTGTTGGCTCACATTTTCAAAACGGTAGAACTGCAAACGTCAACCTGGACGTGCACACTAAATCGCGGGCAAAAAACTATTGCCGGAATGATCGCCTTACGGCAAATTAGATAGCAATTGGCGTCGTTCAGCAAGATTATACCTGATGGCTTTTGATTTTTTGGTACATGTGTCTTCCGCACAACCCCATGGGAGGAAATGAGGGAGATTCTCAGAAGAAGGAGCATATACCGCTCTTGAAAGCAGTAGGAACATAGATGCGCAGAGTTCATGTTGTGCACATCCTTGGAAAACTCTAATGCAGACATATAGAGTAATTTATACAATAATGAGAGGATGTGCTCTTACCGGACCAGTTTATTTGCAACTCCCCCCCCTCTCCTCCCCTTTCCCCGTTCCCCTTGCTCACCGAGTTGTCACGGCGTGGTGAACAAGCCCTACTCAAGACCGTACCTAACCTTTTTGGAATATAACAGAAACGCACTTATGCATAATTTGATCTCCTTAAACCGAAGCTACACTTAAACTTGGAGTTTGTGCCACACTCTCGGGATTGCATCTGTGAAACGGATTCATGGAATCATGGGGAATGGGTGGCGTGGCGGTGCTGCTGGATGGGTGAAGCATCAATTCAACCAGCATAGTATCGTAGAAATCTAGGACACGGGAAGAGTTCCTTCGTCCCTGAATTTAGTCAGCGGGATGGCCGTTGGCTGATGTCAGAGAGTTTCCTTAGACTACCAGCGTCGAGGAGAGCTTGGTTCAGTACTTTTATTTTCTAGTCCGATGATACATTTTAGGCTCTTGGTCCAGTACTTTCATTTTCATTTATTCTAGTCCAACGCTCCTAGCCTCCCTCGCTCTTTCTGCAGCACTAGAGTAGTTCATGCACGCAACACCCAGGCTACTAGGCTATTATAGTCGCTAACGTTAGCGTCAATTTCCGCCTGGAGGTAGTACAAACCGTCAATTGTTTTGAGACATTTCTTTAAGGCCTTTCTGTTCTCATCGGCAGTCTTACGATTAAGTTGGCTCCTCCGCGTACCCCGATTAGACGAATCTTGTGTAGTTCGGACGAAGCAGCCGAATCCCACATTTCCCGTCCATATTTAGGCAAATGAAGAGCTACTCGATTGTCGTACATCGTTATGTTTATTCGCTGGGAATCGCATCGTTATTCCGAAATGATCATGCGACGTGAATTTCCACATTCGCGGATGTTTCGACACTCGCCTTAGTTAATGCAGCTATCTCGTCTGTGCCTTCACTACCGGCGTGATGGCGGCTGCATGGTGGATCGTCAGAATGCTGCCAATCCTCCTGGCAGGCCTCTTAGGGCTAGCCGGCTTCATGTCCGTTACCGTCTACGTTATCGTCTTATGGCTCCGCCGAAAGGACTCAGAAGAGGTACTACGCACGGCTCTCTCACGACTACGTGCTTGCCATTTCCCCTTCACTGACAATTCCCGAGTAACTGAAGTTCCCCCACTCACTTCCATTTCCCACAGTCCTTACAGTTCCCACATTCACTAACATCTTCCCGTCTCCCTGACAGGGTTTCACCTTCCGCTGGCATTCCCCTCTCTCCTAATTTCTGATTCAATCCTGACATTCCACTTAGCTCACAAATCGCCAAGACCATTTGAACCGACTTAAAGCCTCCCTCGCTCTCGCCTTCCCCTTCGCCACCCCACAGATCGCTAAGGAGCTAATCGTGCGAGCCAAAGCCAGTCTACGTGGCGCGACGCCCGCTGACGTGGCAGCTGGCGTGGCGCAGCTCTCCGCGGCGGTGGACCGCGCGCCGTGGCTGGCGGGGTCGCTGCAGGAGATCCGCGCGCGCGCGCTGATGCGCCTGCAGCGGTACGAGGAGGTGGTGGCGGTGCTGGCGGAATATCTACCGGATCTCTCCACTGTGCACAACGCCATGCACTACAGTGAGTTTGTGGGGTTGCTTATAGCGGGTACAGGCGATGGTACAGGGAAGGAAGTGCCCTGATGCACCTGCAGCGGTACGAGGAGGTGGTGGCGGTGCTGGCGGAATACCTGCCGGATCCATCTGTCTACAGTGCCAACACCATGCACTACAGTGAGTTGTGGTTCGTTCTTTTTAGCGAGTACAGACAGGCAAAGACACTAGAAACGCCAATGATGCGCCTCCTGCAGCGTTCAAAAGAGGTGTGCACTGGTGAGGAACGGCTATGATTCGCCTCTCTTGTTCCCTTCCCTCTGTCTCTCTCCCTCCCTCTCTCGCCACCCTCCCTTTCTCTTCTTCTCCTCCTGACAGCGGAGGACGAGAACAAGACAGCCACGGACATGTGGCAGTGCCTGCTGCTAGGCCAGGCCACGTACCACCTGGGCTGTTTAGACGTATGGAACCACTCGCTATAACCCTCCCTTCCCCCATCCCTCCCTCCCTCCTCCCCTCCCTCCTTCCCTCCCTCCCTCCTCCCCTCCCTCCTTCCCTCCCTCCCTTCCTCCCTCCCTTCCTCCCTCCCTCCCCCCTTCCCGCCTTCTCTCCCTGCTCGCTGACAGCGGAGGACGAGAACAAGACAGCCACGGACATGTGGCAGTGTCTGCTACTGGGGCAGGCCACCTACCACCTGGGCTGGCTGGACGAGGCGCTCGTGCTGCTCCGACGCGCCAAGAGGCTCAGCCAGGCTGTAGCGCGGTGAGCAATTCATTTTACAGGCTGTAGCGCGGAGAGTCATGAGGCAGGCTGTAGCAGTCATGGGACAGGCTGGGCTGGCTGGACGAGGCACTCGTGCTGCTCCGACGCGCCAAGAGGCTCAGCCAGGCTGTAGCACGGTGAGTCATTGATGGGTCTGGCTGTAGCGCGGTGAGTCGTTCATGGGACAGGCTGTAGCGCGGTGCGGTGAGCAACGATACGGGGTGTAGTGTAGCATGGTGATTCAGCATGGTAAATCTCGGAACAAATTACAGCGCAACGAGTTTTTGTCCTCAGCTTTAGCATCCGCCCTGTCGCCTCCCTCTTGCTCACTAACGCACTCTCTCCTCCCTCCCCTCCTCCCGATTTTCCCATGCTGCAACATGCTTCTATCTCCCACACCAGCAAGGCGAGTGCGATGATGGACGATGACCAGTTCCCTGTGTATGATGCCTCCCACCCAGCAGCCACGGCGCCCCAACCCTATCCCCAGCCTCACCCCCTCTCTCCCTTCCCCCCTCACCCTTCACCACCGCTCCACACCAGCAAGGAGAGTGCGATGATGGACGAGGACCAGTTCCCAGTGTTCGACAGCACCCACCCCGCAGCCACAGCGCCCCCCTCTCACATTCCACCCCCCTCCCCTCCCCCCCCCTTCCCCCCCCCGATCCCCACTCACCAACCTCTCACACCAGCAAGGAGAGTGCGATGATGGACGAGGACCAGTTCCCAGTCTATGACGCCTCCCACCCCGCAGCCACGGCGCCACACACCTACACATTGCCCCACTCCCCCTGTTCGTCCACCCCCCCTCACCCTACACCAGCAAGGAGAGTGCGATGATGGACGAGGACCAGTTTCCAGTGTTCGACGCCTCCCATCCCGCAGCCATGGCGCCCCTCTCCGCGTCCTCCTCAGCGGGCGAGACGCTCAACCGACTCATCCTCGTCATCCGCTTTTTGCTCTGGCGCCGCTCCGCTGGCGACGCTGCCTTTGCGGCCGGGCTCAACCCGGAGGCCGTCAGGCACTACTCCAAAGGTCAGACCTTCGATCAAGGGTATGGGTGGTTGGGTGCAAGTGTGTGTGTGTGTGTGTGTGTGTGTGTGTGTGTGTGTGTGTGTGTGCGTGCGTGTGTGTGTGTGCGTGTGTATGTGTGTGGGGGGAGGGAGGGGGAGGAGGGGGGGAGGGTTGTGTGGGCGCGTGTGCGTGGGCATGTGTTCGCATGAGCGAGCCTGTGTCCGAGCGTGCGTCAGAAGCAACTCCGAATCCCCCCACCCCCACTTCTACATTTTCAAGAAGGGTATTCCCCAGTTCCTAGCCGCCTCTCTCTACCTCTCTCTCCCCCCCCACCAAGCAACAAATATTTGTCTCTCAAATTGCTATCTACCCCCCACCATCCCCCACCCCCTCCACCCTTACCCCTCCCAATGCAGTTCTCGAGTCCAAGAAGGGCATTCCCCAGTCCCTAGCCGCCTCTCTCTTCCTCCACCAAGCATCATATGTTTGTCTCTCATATTCTATCCACCCCCGCTTTCCCGCCCTTCATCCTCCCCCCCCCTCCCTTAACGCAGTTCTCGAGTCCAAGAAGGGTATTCCCCAGTCACTAGCCGCTTCTCTCTTCCTCCGCCGAGCATCATGTTTTTTCTCAGATTTGATCTACCCTCCCCCCCCCACCATACCACACCCCTCCCTTCCCTTCCCGTCCTCCCCCTCTCTTACCCTCCCCATGCAGTTCTCGAGTCCAAGAAAGGCATTCCCCAGTCACTAGCCGCCTCTCTCTTTCTCCGCCGAGCCGCAGCCTTCCAAGCCTCCAGCCGCATCGCCGATGCTATCGCCGACTGCTCCCGAGCCTCAGCCCTGGAGCCTCACCGAGCCGACGCGCTCTGGTGCCGAGCCTGCCTCTACCAGTCCGTCGGCTGCTTCCAGGAGGCTTCCCAAGACCTGGAACGGCTTCTCTCGTTTTATCAGGAGCTGTTGGCGTCAGCAGGAGGGGGCAGGGATCTCTGGTTACGGTTACAGATCAGCTGCGGGTTCTGTGCTGCTTGCTTCTTTGACGAGGCTGTTAGCGGGGCAGCAAGGGCAGGATCAGGGGCGGGGGCGGGGGCGGGGGCGGGGGCGGGGGCAAGGGGGGGGGCAGGGGCGCGGAGTGCAGGGGAAGCAGGGGAGCAGGTGGGGGTGGGGGCGGGGAAGAAAGGGGGGAGTGGCAGGTGCACTCTGTGTGGGAGAGTGCGGTCTGCTAGGCTGGGCGCAGGAGACACAGGGTTGGTTGCTGCTTTGGAGCTAGGGCTTGGAGGGGAGAAGCGGAAGTTTGTGGGCAGGCAGAGAGGCCTGAGGCGGTGGTTTGCGAATGCGGTTGTGCACGTTGGAAGGTGGTTGGTGGCGGTGGGGAGGGTGTTGGGAGTGGTGGCGCAGGAGGAGGAGGACGAGGCGGGGTGGTGGCGGGAACAGACGAACATGGAAGTTGCTGAGAAGCATCTCACGTGGGAGCACGTGCGACGGGTGAAGGCTAAATTGGAGCGAGTACGGGCAGAGGGAGCAGCAGCCGAAGCAGCAGCCGAAGCAGCCGCAGCAGCAGCTGTAGCAGCAGGGGTGGCAGCTACAGGTGGTCACGGAGAGGGAGGGGAGCAAGGCGAGGGAGGGGAGGAGAGGGAGGGAGGTGAGGGGAGAGAGGGAGGGAGTGATGCGAGGGGTGGGAGGGAGGTAACAGCGAGTCAGCGCAGGCTCATGGACCATGCTCGCATCTTAGGCCTCTCTACTTCCACTGCCGCGTCTATAGGTGCGCTCTCCTCCTCCCTCGCCCGCTCACTCTCCCTCACAGGAGGAGCAGCAGCAGGAGGAGGAGGAGGAGGTGAGGGTGCTGGTGGGGGGTTGGGTAGTGCCCCGTCCTCTCTACCTCAATCCCCTACCTATTCCCAGCAGCAGGAGCAGCGCGAGCAGCAGCGGGAGCAGCGGGAGCAGCAGCGCGAGCAGAGGGAGCAGCAGAGGGAGGCGTTGCGGGAAGGGTTAGCAGCCTCCCTAGCTCTAGCTGCCTACCGCATCGCACTCATCCGTAACTCAGAAGCCCGCGCCCTCACATTCGTCGAGAAGTGCGCTATCAGGGACGGGCGTAGCTCTGAAGAAGTGAAAGACGAGGTGATGCACGAGTGGGCTAGGTTAGATGGCGTGTTACAGGAGGCTTACGCCCAGCTGATACAGGCCACGGGAGGGAACAAGGACTCTGCTGCTGCTGCCGCTGCCGCGCTGCAGGTTCATGACTTAGAGGATATGGATGGGGAGGACGGGGAAGGGGAGGGGGACGGGGATGAGGACGGGGGAGCGGAGTGGGGGGAGGGGGAGGGGGAAGGGGACGGGGGGGATGCGGAGGGGCGGATGCGGAGACGAGGGGAGAGAAGGAAGCTGTTTGGAAGGAGGCTGCCTGGTACGCCTAGTTTTAACCTGAGGAGGGGTGGAGATGAGATGGATGTGGGACGGATGCTGAGAGGGAAGTCTAAGGTGTGGGAGAGGGGGTCCGGGAAGAGAGGAGGGAGGGAGGAGATGGAGGGGAAAGGAGAAGGCGGGGACTGGTGGCGGAAAGGGAGGAGGGATAAGAAGATGAGGGATGAGCGGGGGTGGCGGGAGAGGGAGGAGAGGAGGGAGCGGGAGCAGGATTCGATGGGCATGAGTCCTAAGCTGCACTCGTTTCGGATGGAGAGATGGGTGGAGGAAGGGGCATCGATGGATGGGATGCGGTTGGATTCGTTTGACTTCGGTGTGGTTGGGGATGTGTTTGGAGGGCTGGGCAGTAGGATGAAGATCTGGAAGAAAAAGGAGGGGGTGCGGGCGGGGGGGAGGGAGAAGGAGGGGAGGGAGGAGGAGAAGGAGGAGAAGGGGGATAAGGGGAGGGAGAAGGAGAGGGAGAAGGAGAAGGAGAGGAGGAGGAGGAAGAAGTTGGGGGTGGGGGATTTGCTTGGGGAGGAGGAGGACGATGAGGTTGAGCAACGGTCCAGATTTGGTTTTGGGGTGCTGGCGTGGGAGAGAGAGAAGGATAAGGAGAGGGAGAGGGAGAAGGAGCGAGAGCGGATGGAGCGGGAGCGTGAGAAAGCAGAGAGGGAGCGGGAGAAGGAGAAGGAGCGGGCGGAGAGGGAGCGAGAAAAGGAGCGGGAGAGAGCTGAGAGAGAGAAGGAGAAGGCAGAGAGGGAGAGGGAGAGGCAGGAACGGAAGGAGAGGGAGCGGGAGGAGCGGGAAGAGCGACGGGAACGTGAGCGGGCTGTGAAAAAGGAGAAGGAGAGGGAGCGGCGAGAGAGGAGGGAGAGGAGGAAGAAGTTACAGGGATCAGCAGAAGACTTACCAGGAGAGTTCAAAGAGGAAGTGGAAGGGAAGGAGAGAGCGAGGGAGAGGGAAGAAGACCGGCCCGATACAGCAGGGGCTGTCGTGCAGAGAGCAGGGGAAGGGGGGGGTGAGAGAGAGAGAAGGGTTGCGGGCAGGGTGGCGAGTATGGGCAGGGAGAGTGATAGTGAGGGTGAGTATGAGCGGGAGCAGTGGAATCCTGGCGGAGGTGATTATAACGAAGGGGCTGATTCGTTTGTGGACCGGTTGGTTGTGCATGAGGGGGGTAAAACGGGAGGAGAGAGTGACACGGAGTGGGGGAAAATGAGGGAGTGGGGGAGGATGCGGAAGTGGGGGCGGAAGAGGAGGGGAGGGGCAGCGAGAGGGGGGAGGAGGGAGAGTGACAGCGAGAGCGATGCAGAGAGCGATAGGAGGTTCAGGAGAGGGAGTGGGGAGTGGCTTCGTGGCACGGCCAGTGCAGGTGTGGGAGGGGGAGGGTTGGGAGGAGGAGGGAGTGAGAGTGATAGTGATCGTGAGGGAGTGAGTGAGAGTGAGAGGATTAATGAGCTGATTATGGGGGAGGGAGGGGGGCTTGGAGGGGCGTTGACAGTGGGAGCGACAGGAGGAGAAGCAGGAGTAGCAGGAGGGGCAGTAGGCGCAGCATTAGCAGGAGGAGCAGCAGCAGCAGGTGACGTGGCAGGCGGATCAGGTTCATTCCCCTCCTTCCCTTCTCTCTCAGATACGCTGACGTCAGCAGGGCAGAGCGAGGAAGCTTCCTTTGCAACTTCTGAGACGTCAAGCCTCGGGGGTGTGGAGGAGGAAGGGGAGGGAGGGCAGGCGGAGTTTCTGCTGGGAAGTGAGGTGGTGGAGAAAGGAAGGGCAGACAAGGGAAGGACAGAGAGGGTGGGAGAATCAGGAGGGGATCAGGAGCAGCAGGGGACGGAAAATTTGGCAGCGGCGGCAGGAGGGGCAGGAGGGGGTGGTATGGGCCGGGCAACTTCATTCTCATTCTACAACCCGGTCCCAATCACACCAGGCGATTCCTCCACGCCAGCTGCTGCCGCTGCTGCTGCCACAGCAGCTGCCGCTGCTGCGGCTACTGGATCCTCCACAGGTCACGCTACCCCTGCCTTGTCCCATTCCTCCTCTTCTTCCTCCTCCCCGTTAACCTCTCTTTCATCTCTTTCCTCTCTTCCATCTGCTGGTACTCCTTCCTCTGCTACCTACACTCCTTCCGGCCCTTCCCCTGCTGCTCCCACCACACTCGAACGGCTGCTGATTGGTAAGCCTTCGACTCCACCTTCCCGCACGCTTTCATCCTCCATCCCATCCTCCGTATTGGCTGCTTCGTTATCAGGCAGCCCGATGGGAGGGAAGAAAGAGAAAGAGGAAGGGTTCACGCCTAAGTGGGGCCCGTCCTCCTGGACACGTGGAGGGAGAGAGAAGGATAAGGATAGGGATAGGGAGAAGGGAGGGAGGGAGAAGGTGAAGGAGAAGGATAGGGAGAAGGGAGGGCGGGAGAAGGAGAGAGAGAGAGACGAGGAGAAGGGAGGGCGGGCGAGGGAGAGGGGAAGGGATGGGAGTGTGGGGAAGGAAAGGGGAGGGGAGGAGGAGAGGGAGAGAGGAGAAGGGTTACAAAGGCAAGGCAGCCAAGAGCCAGACACTAGTAGTGAAACTGGTGCTGGTGGTGCTGCCTTTGCTGATGGTGCTACCAGTGTTGGTGGTGCTACAAGTGCTGCAGGTGGTGGTGCTGCTAGTGATGCAGCAGCAGTAGCTGCTGCCGCTGGTGGTGGTGATGCTGCTGCTGCTGCTGTTGCCTCTGCTGCATGGTCCTTCGCTGATGATGCGCCTACTCCATCCAAGCGACGAGGGCGCTCGTTAATGGAGGAAGAATCGAAGCCTAGAGGGGCAGCTGCAGCAGCAGCAGCAGCAGCAGCAGAAGCAGGAGGAGGAGGAGGAGGAACAAGAGCAGGAGGAGAAGGAGGAACAGGAGGGTCTGTAGGGGCCATGAGACGTAGTAAGAGTGCAAAGGGTGTTGGTCCTGGCGCTGCTAGTGGTGGTAGTGGTGCTGGTGCTGGTGCTGGTACAGGAACGGGGGCTGGTGGAGGGGGGGGTAGTACCAGTGCGGGTGGCAGTGGGGGAGGTGGTATTGGGAGCAGTTTCTTTGAAGCTGCACAGAAGGGCGCAGGTGCGGGGATAGGGCTGGGTGTGGGTGCATTGCAGTCTGTAGGCGCGCTCAAGTTCCGACGGAAAGTGGATGATAAAGGGGAGGGGAGGGCAGCGGAGGGACGAGCGGGGGAGGGGCGAGGAGGGGAAGAAGGCGGGAGAGAGGGAGGAGAGGGTGGGAAGGAGGGGCGAGAAGGAAAGGGTAGGCGGGAAGGGAAGGAGGGGAGGGTTCAGAGGGAGGTGGGTGAGGGGATGGAAGGGGAGGAGGAGGAGGAGAGGAAGAAGAGTGAGAAGAAGGGGGAGAAGAAGCGGCATGGGAATGTGTTCAAGATAGGGGGGCTGTTGGGAGGAGGAGGGAGTGGGGCGGGAAACAGCCTTGGTAGTGGCAATACAGGTAACAGCAACAACAGCAACAACAGCAACAGCGCTGGTGGTGCTGGTGACGTGGCTATAGTCTCTCCAACAGCTGCCACCTCAGCGTCTGTCTTCGCCATGTCAGCGCAGACATCTGCCTCCTGGGAAGGTTCCGGGCAGGAGCCAGGCGTTCTTAGCCCCCACGAAGCCCCTATTGCCGCCACGACAGCAGCAGGTGCAGCAACTGCAGCAGCAGCAGCAGCAGCAGCAGCAGCAGCAGCAGCAGCAGCAGCAGGTGCACATATGCAATCAGGTGAGTCAACCGGGCTAGGAGAAGCAGCAACCCCCCTCTCAGCCGAGTCCAGGGCAGGCTTAACTGGAGCAGGCTCAACCGGGGAGGGCTCAACTGTTGGTGCAGTGGCCAATCCCGAAATTTCTCTAAAGCCAGGATTGCTGGCATTGGCGACAGGGGGAGGGAGGGGAGGGTTCGGGGTAGGGAGTTCGCACGAGCAAGGGGGTAGGGTTAGAGAGCGGGAACGGGATAGCAGTCCTCCCAAGCCCAGCCCGCACAGGGGGAATATATTCTCAGTGCCTGGGATCAGACTAAGAAAGGATCCGAATAGAGAGAGGGACAAGGAGAGGGAGAGTGGGGGTAAGGGAGAGGGTGGTCGAGAGGGGGGTAAGGAGGGCGGGGAACGGGACAGGCCTCTTGTTACCGCGGCTATGAATCTGGTTCGGATGGAAGGGCTGGGAAGGAAGGGGCCGAGCAAGTCAGGGCCGATACTGCTGGGTTCGTATGGGACTTCTGCAGCAGCTGTTGCACCGGCTGTAGCATCGGCTGTAGCGCCAGCTTCAGCTCCAGCGCTGGAACCTGCAGGGTCGGTTTCGTCCCCCCATGCCGCAGCATCAGAAGCAGGAGGCCCAGGTAACTCAAGCCAGGAGGACAGCTCAAGTGAAGGCAATAGGGTGGGCAGTGATTCTTCTGCTGCTGGTGCTGTGGATGGTGCTGGTGCGGTTGGTGTTGCTGCTACTGCTGCTGCTGGTTCCGCTTCTGCTGCTGCTGCTGGGGTTGATCACGTGACTTCTAGAACAGGTAGCGGCAAGTTACAGCCTGTTCTTCGAGCCATGGCTGCTGCTGGTGCTGGTCCTGCTGCTGCTGGTGCTGGTCCTGCTGCTGCTGGTGCTGCTGGTCTTGCTGGTGCTGCTGCTGCTGCTGCAAGCGCCGCAGGTAGGAACACTGAGGATATGCATGATCCTGCTGTTACTGCTGCTGTTGCAGGGGGGAGACAAGCAGCAGGAGGTACGACAGAAGCAGCTTCAGGGGAAAATGCACCGCTCTCCACCGCTCCGCACACCCTGCGGGCGAGCAGAAGCAGCAGCTTCGGCAGCTATCACCACGGCAGCAGCGGCGGCCGCAGTGCCAGCTTAGGCAGCAGCGCTAGCTTCAGAAACGCCATGTTTGGAGGCTCGGTTGCAACAGATGGCTCTAGAGCAGCAGCAGGAGGGGGAGGAGCAGGAGGAGCAGGAGGAGCAGGAGGAGCAGGAGGAGGAGCAGGAGGAGGAGGGGGAGAGTGGGGGGGTGTGGGGGGCGGGGTGGGAGCAGTGGCTTCTTCACCTGGAGGCGGGTTAGAACAGACAAGCGATGCTACTCTTTGGCTTCCAGTGCCGCCCCACGCCGACCATTTCGGTGCCGTTACCGCCGCAGGTACTCCAGGTGCTTCGCCAGGTGGTTTCTCAGGTGAATTCAACGCGATCATGTCCCCGACCACGCCACCTGAGCCACACTCCAGCCACCCCCACTCCCTCACTCCACCACTTCCGGAAGTAGAGGAAGGGGATGAGGAGGGGGCGATAGGCGGGGAGGGGGAGGAGGGGGAGGAGTGTGGGGAGGGCGAGGGAGGGGAGGCAGCAACACCGAGTGCGGTGGAGGGGAGGGGTGCAAAGAAAATGGTGGCTCAGGCTGTGTTGGGAGGGCTCAAGAAGGGGCTCAGGACAGGGTCTCAGCTGGGGAAGAAAATCGCCGCTGCCACTATGAGCCCGCAGAGGTGAGTTTTGATGAGTGAATGCTTAAATCAGCAGATTGCACAAAAGATGGTCGCTCAAGCTGTGTTGAGAGGGCTCAAGAAAAGGGATGCGAACGGGGTCTCAGCTGGGAAAGAAGCTCGCTGCTGCCTCTATGAGCCCGCAGAGGTGAGTTTAGGGTCAACTCCAAAATCAGGAAGTGCAAAGAAGATGGTGCCACTCTAACTGGGAGGACAAATGAAGGGGGACGGGGTCTCAGCTGGGGAAGAAGCCTGCTGCTGCCACTATGAGCCCGCAGAGGTGAGTTGACTTGATGAATCGCAAAATTGCCGCGTGAAAGATGATTTGTTTTGAACCCAATACCCGAAATCATGTTCACCCTCTTGCCTCCCAACCCCTCAGGGCCCTCGCGACAGCAATCACCAAGGAGGTAGACCTGATGAACACCAAGATCGCAGCCACCATCCGCAGCAGAGCAGGCTCCTCCATACCCACCGCCCTCCCATCCCCCTTCTCCTCCCCTTTTTCCTCATATTCCCCCTTTCTTCCCAATCCGCGCAGGGCCCTCGCGACAGCAATCACCAAGGAGGTAGACCTGATGAACACCAAGATCGCAGCCACCATCCGCAGCAGAGCAGGCTCCTCCATACCCACCGCCCTCCCATCCCCCTTCTCCTCCCCTTTTTCCTCATATTCCCCCTTTCTTCCCAATCCGCGCAGGGCCCTCGCGACAGCGATCACCAAGGAGGTAGACCTGATGAACACCAAAATCGCAGCCACCATTTGCAGCAGGGCAGGCTCCTCCATACCTACCCCCCTCTCATCCAAATTCTCCTCCCTTTTTTCCTCTTATTCCCCTTTTCCTCCCAACCCCGCAGGGCCCTCGCGACAGCAATCACCAAGGAGGTAGACCTGATGAACACCAAGATCGCAGCCACCATCCGCAGCAGAGCAGGCTCGTCCACTGCCCCCACCGTGCCCACTCCCACCCCCACCACCACCGCGGGTCTCCCCAGCAGCACTCTCAGCAGCAGCAGCAGTTTCAGCAGCAGCACTGGCAGCAGTAGTATCGCTCATAATGCTGCTATGCTCACCGGCAGCAACAGCAGCAGTGGCAGCAGCGCTGCTAACGAGGCTTCTTCTGCAGCAGCAGCAGCAGCAGCGGCGGCGGCGGCGGCGGCTGCGGCTGCGTTTTCTGCTCCTGGCAACGGCAGTGGTAGCGGTGGCAGTGGTATGATCGGGGACAGCAGTGGTGCTGGTGCTGCATTCTCAGGCGCACTATCCGCGCCTTCTTTCCATCAGCCCCTCCCCTTGCCCTCCCCTGCTCCTGCCCTACCCTCTCCTGACTCGTCTCTGGCTGAGGCTGTGGCAGCAGCAGAGGCAGCAGCAGCAGCATTTGAAGCAGCGAGTGCAGCAGGAGCAGCAGCAGGGAGGGATGGAGGAGTAGGCAGTGCAGTAGCAATATCTAGGGCAACAGGGACGGGAGCAGGGTTGGGAGCAGGAGCAGCAACGGGAGCAGCAGCAGGAGCAGGAGCAGATGGTAATGGAAATGGCACCAGCAGCACTGGCAGCACCCGCGATGGTGCTGGGGCTGGTAACAGCAGCAGTGCAGCAGCAGCAGCAGAAGACAGCAGGGACAGAGGCAGGGCCAGCAGACGCAGTGGGGGCAGCAGTGGCAGCGGAGGCAGTGGGAGCAGTGGGAGCAGCGCCCTTGGCAGAAGCAACAGTGTTGATGGTGCTGGTGGCGGTGCTGCTGCTGGTGCTGGCAGTGCTGCTGCTGGTGGTGCTGCTGCTGGCAGTGGTGCTGGCGTTGCTGCTGCAGCTGCTGCTGTTGCAGCTATGAAGCGATCCTTGTCAGGTGAAGGTAGCAGGGATGGAGGAGGCATCTAACCTGCTGCTGCTGGCAGCGATGCCGGAAGTGGTGATGGTGCTGCTGCTACTGGTGGTGGTGCTGCTGCTGCTACTGGTGCTGGTGGTGCTGGCGGTGCTGCTGCAGCTGCTGCTGCAATGAAACGATCCCTGTCAGGTGAAGGTAGCAGGGATGGAGGAGGCATCTAACCTGCTGCTGCTGGCAGCGGTGCTGGAAGTGGTGGTGGTGGTGGTGCTGCTGCTGCTGCTGCTGTCAGGTGAAGGTAGCAGGGATGGAGGAGGCATCTAACCTGCTCCACATGTGAGTCTTGGAATCAAATCAAAATCGAGCGTTCAGCTGCTGAAGCTGGTGAGGCTGGTGGTGATGATTCTCGGCTCGAGCTGCCAAATTCGTCTGTCTCTCTGAAAGTGCTACTACTGTTTTGTACCATATTCCTTGCAACGTTTCTTTATTATTTTTAGAACCTTATTGATAATTTCTTTAGTAGCATTAGAACATTAGGGTAGGTTATCAGTAAATGCCATTATCACCATCCCAGAAGTTGTGTCAGAAGGGAACGTTTCACAGGGTTAATCACATTTACCATCCACAATGCCCTACAAATGTTTTTTTTGTGCTCTTCTGTACACCACCCCGCCCTCCTCCCATTTACCTCCCTCCACCCCAACCAGTACACCACACCCGCACCGCACCGCACCCCACCCCACCCCACCGCACCTCAACCCACCCCATTGCACCACACTTCATCCCACCGTTCCCTCTCCTCTCTCACCCCCCCAGCACCAGCCACCTGCCCTTCTCAAACAGCACTGTCCCTGCCAACCTCCCTCCGGTCCGGACGGCTGCCATTTCAATTCCTTCAAAGTGAAAATCCCGCCTTCCGAATTTGAGGCGTCTCAAAAGTCTTCTCTCTCACCCCCCCTGCACCAGCCACCTGCCCTTCTCAAACAGTCCCGTCCCTGCCAGCCTCCCTCCAGACGGCTGCCATTTCAGCTGCTTCAACGTGAAAATCAAAAATGCCTTCAGAATTCTCACACATACCCAACCACCCACTCCCCACCCCACCACACCCCACCCCAACGCACTCCACGGTACCCCACCCCACTGCCGCACCCTCGTTTCCCTCATCCCCAGACGGCTGCCATTTCAGCTCCTTCAACGGCTGTCTCGAGAAATCTGAGCTGTACTCAACCACCTGACTCCTCCATCCCACCACACCCAAGGGTACCCCACTCCACCGCACCCTCTTCTCTTTCAACCGCCCTGCACCAACCACCTGCCCTTTTCGAAAAGCCCTGTCCCCGCCAACCTCCCCCCAGACGGCTGCCATTTTCAACGTGAAAATCCGATCAGCGTCTGAGGCGTCTCAAAAGTCTCCTCTCTCACCCCCCCTGCACCAGCCATCTGCCTTTTTCGAAAAGCCCTGTCCCAGCCAATCTCCCTCCCGACGGCTGCCATTAAAATCCTGCCTTTAAAATCTGAGAATCCTGGACGGGCGAGAAAAAAAAAATCCTGCCTCCTTCAACGTGAAAATCCTGCCTTTAAAATTTGAGGCGTCTCAAAAGTCTCCTCTCTCACCCGCCCTGCACCAACCACCTGCCCTTTTCAAACAGCCCCGTCCCCGCCAACCTCCCTCCTGACGGCTGCCATTTCAACTCCTTCAGCGTGAAAATCCGATCTGCAAACTCCCCGCCCATCTCCTCATCCCTAACCCCCCCACAGTCCCCCACCACCAGCTGCCTCAACCCCGGCAGTGCCAGCACCACCGCTTCTAGCGATTTCATCGTGATTAATGGACACCCTTCGATCGCCAGCCGGCCGATCCGACGGTTCGTGGCGACCGAGATCCCGGCGAGGGAGGCGTCGTCCAAACCGCAGCAGTTTCGAAGGTGCAGAGCGGTGGAATTGGCGCAGACGGCGAGAAGTGCGAGGAAGAACGGGCGAGAACGCAAGTCACAGTGAATCAGCTGGAGCGTTTCCACTGGGGATAGAAACCCTGGGGGGGGCTGGGGAGGTCTGGGGCTCGCTTTGACGCGACTGGGTGTGCCAGGGGTGCCTGTGCTGCTGGTGGCATCAGTGGAACCGGTTTTGATGGTTTTAGAGCGGTGAACTGCGGCTTTGACGGTGGCTAGGAAGCGACGGGAAGGGGGTAGAGAGGCATCAGACATCTCTCTCTCTAAATGCCTTCCAACCGCATCCGCATCCTCCTTGTTCTCCCCATCCTCCTCATCCCCATCCCCCTCCCCTTCCTCCTCTTGCTCCTCTCCTTCCGCCCCTTCTCCCCCTTCTCCCCCTTCTTCACCTCCTTCCTCCCCCTCCGCTTTCCCCTCCTCTTCCTCTTCCCCTCCCTCCTCATTCGTTCCCTCCCCTTCTTCCTCCTGCCCGTTCTGCTGCCCGCCCGTTCCCATCTCGTGCCGCACTCCCCCCGCCCACCCAACGGCTGCTGCACACTCGTCGGACTCTGCTTGGTGGAAATTCTCGAGCCTGAGCGTCTGCAGGTTCGGACAGAAGCAGAGCGCGCCGAGCCAATCGGGGCGAAAATATCTTCCGGAAAGAGTCAGATCTGATAGCATCGGGCATTCCCTGGCCACTACAAACAAACCAGCCCGTCCAACCTCGCACCCCTTTAGAGACAGCTCCACTATTCGCTTGCATCCCCTTGCAAGTGTTCGCAACCCCCGGTCAGAGAAAGTAGCGTGATAAAATCCCGGAACTGCTCCCACTAATCGCACCACCTGCAGATTTTTACACCCAGAAACTGCTTGTAACGAATCATCTGTACACTGCCGAAGCTCCAATTCCTGTAGAATGCTACACCCCTCCGCGATAATATCTAGGCCTTCGGTATCGCGGTCAGTATAATCGTCGTCATAACGAGCCCTAGCTGCAATTATGTTATCCAAAATCACTGTACCGTTTCTCTGCGCGCGCGCTTCGTTAGAGTCAGCTCCGTTAGAGTCACCAGCTGGTTCTGCCCGATAGTGCGAGCGCCCCAAAAACCCCAGCGTGTCCTTATCCGCGTTATAAGATCCCTTCTTGGCACGGAAAACGTCAACCAAACATAGCCGCTGTAGATTGGGGTAACTCTGAACAAGCTCCCGCAATCCACGGTCGAAACTGTCAGGCGAAGGGCTCTGCTCCTCTAATCTGTGGTCCGGTTCGAACGGATTAACTACGTCCGGGTCGAGCCGCATCGTGCACGTGCCACGTGTCATGTACACGGCTGCCGAACCAAACACCTCAGGGTCGGAAGAGTTGCACCAGGCTGGGGAGAGGTCGAGCTCGGTCAGGTTCGGAAAACGTTCCGCCAGGCGGCCCGACTCGAGCATGGACCAATCGTAGAGCTTGAGAGAAGTTTTTATCTGCCCGTGCAGGCGGAGCCATCGGCGGGACACGAGCGAGCAGGATTTGAGATCGGACGAAGTGGTAACCAGACGTAGCAGGCGAAGGATTACCTCGTCACTGGGTTGCGAAGAGGCAGACGATGCAGCCGAAGACCATAACGAAGATGACCAAGACGAGGCCATATCTTGCAAAACGTTTTTTTTCGCTTGCCACCTAATTTATAACTCGTCAATCGGCGGAACGCAGTAAAGAAAATGACCAAGACGTGGCCACTATTCCCAAAACGCTATTTCCCGCCAAAAATCGACTACTCGTCAATCGGCGAAGCGCGGAAACGACCAAGACGAGCCGGCCGTGGCGAGTAATGCGTTAGATGGAGTGTAAAGTCTGTCAGGAAACGGTTGCACTGAAGGTACCGGTACCAGGAGTCTAGGACCATCGGAAATGTCGGTGACCGTTAGCTGAATTCCAAAAAGTGTTTCAAAAGCAGAAGCTTTTTGGACGCAAGACTTCCAGCGTGGAGGTTCCAACTTCGAGGGTTTCCGTTCTTGAATTTGCGACGAGCAACGGGATTACATGATGGAATTGGTACAGCTCGTTTGTCTACAAGGGAGAAAAACATACTGGTAATCGATTTGCTGATTTAATCATCAATTGAAATACATCTATTGGCATCGTTCTGCTATGAGCTTGGGGCAAAAAGAAGTGGCATAATAAAATTGATGAAACACAGTCTATATTTACATTGCACGCATGACCGATGGCATAGCTCATCATAAATACAAATTGCCCTTATTGAGTGCACCCGTATCCTGGCTAATGTGGCAGACCGAGCAATCCGCCAAGCACCGAGTAAAGCTGCGTAACACGTCCCTGCTCCTGCATAGGCTGCTGCTGCCGCTGTTGCTGCTGCTGCTGCTGTTGCAGCAGCAAGGGCAATAGCAACAGAAGTAGTTTCTGCTTTAGGAAGTTGGGCTGCTGGTGCTGCCAGTCCTGCTGAAGGCACGCATCCTTATTATGCATGTTTGCTCCTGCCATTCGCATCCTATCTGGTGCTGCATCTTCTGGCGCTGCTGCTGATGCTGCTGCTCCTGCAGCTGTCACTGCTGCTGATGACAAAGTTCCTCCTCCTTGTCTGGCAACTGCCAGCAGCAGCACTTGTAGCATCTGTGACTCTAACGAGGGTGATTCTAACGAGGGTGACTCTATTGCAGGCAGCACTGCTGCACTCATGCTCCTGATGCGCTGCTGAAGGATGCTGCCTGGAAACACCATGCTCCGTTCACATCCCTGTGGTGACACAGAGCCTTGGGGCTGTACACAATTGCCTGTTTCGGGCCGTACACGATTGAGGTTCGGTTGCCGAGCCAGCAGCGCTAGCAGGACCACCGCAACAGCTTCGGACTCAAGACCCGCAGGCTTCGCCGAGGGTAGAATGTTGGCTTGGCATTCAACAGGCTTGGCATGATAGGTCGGGCGAGAAAGTTCGCCTGTGCAAGCCTCAGAACTCCAGCATCCTCAGAAGGAGGTTGGTGGTCCATATCTGCTGCTGCTGCATGCACCCCCGAGCGTGAGGAAGCTGCAGGCAGTGCACCATCAACAGCATCCACAGGTGACTCTTGACGCGACTCGAAATTCATTGTTGCTGCATGCACCCCTGAGTGAGACGAAACTGTTGGCAATGCACCCTCAACAACCGCTAGAGATTCCGGAGTTGGAACAGGCAGGGTATAGCCATCGCTTTCTGTGGCGACCCCTATCCCACAGTCATCCACGGCCATCCCACCATTGGTTGTTGCCGTTTCCCTACTTGTAGTGCCCCCTTCAGCTGTAGCATGTAGGTCAGCTGTAGCGGCTGTAGAGGGCAGGTCAACTGAAGCGGCTGTAGCGGGAGCTGAAGCGGCTGTAGCGGGAAGGTCAGCTGAAGCGGGCAGGTCGTCCAGTGTGCCGTAGCTGGCGACCATTCTCTCCCAGAAGTCGTCATCTTCCATCGAGTCAACACGAGTCAACTGCTCCAGCGAACACTCCTCTACTTGCTGCTGCTGCTGCTGCTGCTGCTGCTGCTGCTGCTGCTGCTGCTGCTGCTGCTGCTGCTGCTGCTGCTGCTGCTCCACTTGCTGCTGCTCATGCTGTTTTTCATGCTCCATGTGAGCCTCCCCAGGTTGTTCCTGCTGGGACCCGAGGCAGCAACCCAGAGGCATCGCATCCAGATCCATGTCTGCACAAAGTATCACAATCTCAGAACCGCTTGAAACCACCTCAGCACCGCCTGTAAACTCCTCAGCACTGCTTGTAACCACCTCAGCACCGCTCGTAACCGTTTCATCAACATATGTCCTGCTCACGTCGAGATAGCACCCTTTCAGGTCACTTCCCTCCCACAGCCACCCACTTTGCTCGCTCTGCTTGTCACCACCACCTGCTTCACCGCCTTCACTTGATTCACCCCCTTTCGCATCGCCAGCTTCTTGACCCTCTTCCCTTCCTGCGTCTTCCCTCCCAACTTCCTCCCCTTCCGTTTCTTCTCCTCCTACCTCCCTTGCTACTTCTTTTCGTTCTTCTCCCCTTCCTAACTCTTTTTCTCTTCCCACTTCTCCCCCTCCCTCGTCTCCTCCTGCCTCCACTTCCATGGCTTCACTCCCCTCATTTCCTATCCCACCCTCCCTTTCATTTCCCTCCTCTCCCTCTCTCATCTGCACTCCTCTTATCACCTCCCCCAATTCCATCTTCTCCCCATCCGCACTCACAGCCATAATCACTTCTAGTTTCTCTCCTTCTCTCCCTACCGCCTCACCTTCCCTCTTCTCTCTCCTCCTCGCCCTCTCTCCCTCCGCTTCCACTTCCCTCTCCTTAAGGGGAGGAGGAGGGCGCGCGTCTGACAGCAAAAGCTGAGCTGGCAGATGCAGCAGCTGAAGTGGCAGGTGCACTACCTGAGGTGGCAGTTTTGCTGTTGCTGTTGCTGCTGCTGCTGCTGATGATGATGATTCTGCCTCTCCCTGTGACACCATTCCACGTGGCCTTTCTTCGTTCGCCAAATCCGCTCCTCCTGCTCCACTCCAATTCGTACACGTGTCAGCAGACTCGGAACCACAAGCTACGCGTGGCGAGAACGGAACCTTGAATCCTGCTGACGTGGAATGGTTCGCTGACGTGGAAGGCGACTTGGACGAGCGTCTTCGAGTCGCTTGGGACCGCTGTGGAGCACCAGATGCGGCGGGAATCCCGGGAAAGGAAGTAGGAGCAGAAGCAGGCGACGGCGCGCGCGCGAATTCCGCTCGGAATGGGGGACGCGGAGCAGGGGAGGGCGGAAAAGCGGGGGAACGGGGGGGCGGAGGATGCCGGCGATAGGGGGAAAGCGGGGCGGAGGCAGGGGGAGGAGGTTGTAAAGGATGGCCGTGCGCGTATCGCGGAGAGACGAGCGCGTTCAGCGCAAGGAGTCCCGCGGCCCAGGTTGCGCCAGCGCCAGCGCCAGCGCCTGCGCGGGCAGCAGCGGGGACGGAGGCGGGGAAAGAAGCGGGGTTGCGCGAGCTGGCGGCGGAAGCGGGGTCCGCGGAGGCCCAGTGGTGGGGGACGACGTAGGCGCGTTCCGCGGGGCAGGTTGCGCGCCTCAGTAGCTTCGGTTCCTCCGCGGAACCCGCGCTGCACTCCAGCCCCGCGTCTGCTGCCCTCCGCTTCAACCGGCACGGGGCGGAGGGGGATGGGGAAGCGGAAGCGGAGGCGGAGGCGGAAGCGGGAGCGGAGGGAGGCCCTGCTGATGCCCCCGCTGATGCGGAGCTTCCCGCAAGCCCAGCGCCGGTTGCACGGATGCGCGAGGCTTGGCGGAGAGTTTCGAGCCACCCGCCCGCGCGGTGGCTCTGACTTAGCGCAACTGGCTTGACGTCCGCCGCCAGATGAAACGCCTCGAGGGCGCGTCCGGTGAAGTGTTGCTGGAGCTGCTGCTGCTGCGGCTGCTGCGGCTGTTGCTGCTGCTGTTGCTGCTGATCCCCGATACATGAACTTTCTTCTTCTTCCGAGAAATTCTCTGTAACGAGGCTCAACTGCCGGCGCTTGTAGCGAGGCATGAATGCGTCGGTTTCTCTGGCTGGAGGCATTCGCGTAAATTGATAAGGTTGAATGGTTGTACGAAAGTCGGGATGGAGATTCTATACACGGGCTTGGTCGCTCTGATTTCTGAGTCGACCCAGAATTCAGAATACACTCGGGCTTAGTGACTCTGCGCAAGGCAACGCAAGCCGCAGCCCGTACCGTCGTGGCTCCGTAGAGAGAGAGTGAATTCTCGACGGAGGATGGCGATTTGAAGAGAATTGGCCAGACTAAATATCTCTAGAAGGGCTTCTACTGAGAAGCACGAAATGGCGCATGGACGAGAACGGGCGGCAAGGGGAAGGAGCGACTGAGGGCTGAGGGCCGTCTTAGTAGTAAAAGTACGTTATGCACTACAGCTAATATAGGGAGGAAAGCAGCTATTTTACAGGATTTCTACAGCTACATTGAGATCTTACTGTCGCCTATTGCCAGGCGATGACTTTGGCGGAAATAGCTCGGACAAGGCTGGCCGGAGGCGGTAGATTCGCTGTGTCTAGGTCGGACTGAGGTTTACAAAGCTGGAAATGATTCTAGCAATGAACAATAGACAAACTGTAGGTCAACAAGTGCGGCCGTGAGCTGGGGGGATACGCGATGGGCTGGTTAGGAGGAGGCGAGTGCGGGATGAGAAACTGGGAGGTGTCCAGACCAGAAAAGCGGATTTGGGAGGACATAACGGTGAGACGAAGGACGAGTGGGTGGGAGAACTTGCGATGAGAAACATTCGGTTCCAGCGCTGAGCAGAACAGATTCAAGGGGGGCGGAGCGGAGAGCAGGGAGGGGAGGAAGTCTGTGAGTGACCTTTGGGAGGGCGTTGCTTCCTTGATGCTCAGTTGGGAGTGAGGGGGGTGTTGTGGAGCAGTTGGCGCAGCTAGAACAATCTACGCCACACATGGTCTGGATTTGCGTGGCGAGTGAACGAAATCGACGCCGATTCTGGATTCTCGAAGGGCTTGCGGAAAGAGGTACGCTCTGCCCTCCCCTCTGTTTGCGCAAATCTGACGCATTCGCGGCGCGACAGGAATTCTTCAACCAGGATTTGCTGGTTTGCTGAGCCGAAGCGTTGAACAACGAATCAGAGGGCGCCATGCTCAAGCCCTGAGGCCGCCACACTCCACCAATCAGGCGCTACGCATCCCTCGAGCGGTTCGCCGAGGGTTCACGAATCACGACGTCGGCATGAAGTGCAAAACGATTTGCGTAGATCCGTCGGATTTCAAAGGGGTTCAAGTGAATGCGTGTGGGTCCGTGAGACGACGACGTCGCCACGATATCTTCGACCAGCCCTTCGCGGCTCGGACCCCAACATGGACGACGTTCTTGTTGTTCGCTAAGCGTCAACGCGTTTTCACCCTCTTGTGGTAATTCAGGAACAGAAAACACACAGTCACGCACATGCATAAATGCTTCTAATCTTGAAGAGAATTACCAACAGACAAGAAATAATCACTATCCAGGGTAATAGAAGGGATATTTCAACCTTAGAATCAATATTTAAGCAGAATCAGCATTGCCTAACTCCTTGTGCATGGTAGTAAGCCACAAGTCTTTCATCCCATCGCATGAGAGCCCCCCTGTTGCATAACTTCCCTCTTCAGCCACTCCCTCTGCTGCATCTTCTGGCGTTGCCCTGCACTGACATTCCCTGCTGGCCGTCGGATCGGCATACCATCAATATCATCCAACACCGGAGATGCAGGATTTGGCCGGTGGATTGGCCCTCCACCTCCTCTTCCCCCACCTCCCCGGCCTCCTCCCATACCTCCTCCTGGACCCATCGGCCTTGCCCCCTGCATTGGCCTCTGCGCCGGACCTCCAGCGCGGTATGGAGGTCCGGGCCGAGCCTGAGGTCCCGGGGGCCCTGCCCGCACCCCAGCTCCGGGTCCCATGCCTCCCCTCCCAGGCATTGCCTGGCCTGGGGAAGGCCTAGGTCCGGGGCCAGCACCAGGCCTGGGGCGAGGTCCGGTTGGATTGCCTCGGGGCCCTCCAGGTCCCGGAGCTGGTCCCGGGCCAGGCCTTGCTTGGTTTGCCGGTCTAGGCATGGCTGGACCAGTAGGAGGAGGTTCGGGTGCGGATCGAGAGGCGGGAGGGGGGGCACTGGAAGCCGACCGAGCCATAGATGGAGGTCCGGGAGGGGCTGCTCCAGAAGCAGGTCTGGGACGAGGGGAGCTGGGAGGTCCGGGAGCGGGTGCCCTAGAAGCAGGTCCGGCACGGGGGGAACTGGGAGGTCCGGAACGGTAGGGGCCGGTACGGGGTTGCCTTATACCCCCATCGGGTGCATCAGTGATGGAGATAGCACGGGCCATGGGGGAAGGGCGAGCAGCACCAGCAGCAGGAGCAGGAGCAGCAGAAGGAGGAGGAATAGAAACAGACTGTGACTTGGCGTAGCCAGTACTGTTGCTGTTGCTGTTACTGTTGTCATCATTGTTACCATAACCGTTGCTGATGCTGTTAATGTTCACAAAAGTGGGAGCAGATGCAGAAGGGGGAAAGGCAGGAGCGGTGGACGGCCGCGCTGCAGCCTGGTTCTTAGGCTCGGCCGAGCCTAGCTGCTTGCGTCGGATCGGGGCCGAGGGAGGGCGGGCTTTGGAGGGCGGGTGCGGTTGCAGGTGCGAGCGTCTGAAGTGGAGAGTGACAAGGGAGAAGGAGGTCAGAAGCTCCACTAACACTGCTTCAAACTTGTCCTTGTCGCAGTAATGAAGCGTCTGGTATGGGGGACAGTACAGGGAGGGGGGAGAGAGGGGTTGGGGCTTTGAGCGTCTGAAGTGGAGAGTGACGAGGGAGAAGGAGGTCAGCAGCTCCACCAGCACTGCCTCGAACTTGTCCTTGTCGCAATAGTGAAGTGTCTGGTATGGGGGACAGGGAAGAGAAGCGAAAGGTCTTTTGAGACATTTCAAACCTAGACCTTGCCCCGGCATACAACCCACCAGCACAGCCACTCACTCGTCCCCACCAGCATCTCACCTCCACCAGCAGCGTGCGGTGCCCGCGGTTCCTCCTCTGAGCCCCAAACGACTTGTCGCCATTCCACACCTCCGTGCGCTCAGCCAGAGGCACAGCCCACTTCAGGATGCCTGGCAAGCATGCGGCACACAGACCTTTTCCTAGCACAGCCTCTCACTCACCTCCACCAGCAGGGTTCGGTGCCCGCGGTTCCTCCTCTGTGCGCCAAACGACTTGTCGCCATTCCACACCTCCGTGCGCTCAGCCAGAGGGACAGCCCACTTCAGGATGCCTGGCAAGCATGCCCTTTTCCTAGCACAGCCTCTCTCTCACCTCCACCAGCAGGGTTCGGTGCCCGCGGTTCCTCCTCTGTGCGCCAAACGACTTGTCGCCATTCCACACCTCCGTGCGCTCAGCCAGAGGGACAGCCCACCGCAGGATATCCCCCACCACGCCTTCAAATCCTTGGCTATCGCCCCGTCTATCTGCCGCTTGGAGCGCTGCTTCAGCCGCTTGGCCAGGCGCCGACGCACCGTGGAGGGGAGGATGGAGTAGAGCTCCCTTCTGGTTGGTTGGGGGAGGAAGAGGGGGTGTATGGGTGGGGCATTTGGAGGTGCCTCAAAGGTCTGCTCGTCGCTTGGCCAGGCGCCGGCGCACCGTGGACGGGAGGATGGAGTAGAGCTCCCTTCTGATTGGTTGGGGAGAGGGTCAGAAAAGGGAGGGCCTGAGCGTGGTAAGGGTGTGAGGTGGAAGGGTTGGAAAAGGAAGGGCGTTCAATTTCTTGCTCTCTGTGTTTATAAGGGCTGGCCTGGCTCATCGGGCTCATCTCCCTCATCTGCTCCACCCCCATGGGGCTCAGCACCCTCATACACTGACGGCAGCCCCGCTGCTTGCCCCCCAACTACGGCCCCAGCCAAGCCCAGGCATCGCCCACATGTGATCCCAAACCCAACCAAACCACAGCACCACTACACCTCACCGCTGTCAAGACTCACCGCTGCTCCTTGAATGGCTGGCTGATGGGGCTCATCTCTCGCATCTGCTGCACCCCCAGCAGCACGCGCGCATAGACCGATGGCAGCCCCGCTGCTCCCAGCAACGACCCACCCTAGCACAATCACCACCCACACCAAGGTCCCAAGCCTCACCGTTGTTCCTTGAAAGGAGGACTGATGGGGCTCATCTCTCGCATCTGCTCCACCCCTAGCAACACGCGCGCATAGACCGACGGCAGCCCCGCTGCTCCCAGTGTCGCCTTCAGCTCCTCCTGCTTGGGGGGCGCTGGCCGACCGAAGACCGATCGGTACTGCTGCCACAACACTCCAATCGAAACTGCCAACATCTGGGAGGGGAAGGGGGTGGGAAGGGAGAGTGAGGTAGGGGAGAAGATGGATTGGAAGGGGCGAAATGGACAAACAGAAACAAGAGTGACTGAAGGGAGCAGGCGAAAGGAAGGTGTTTGCCAGAGCAGACAAACTCAGCAAACCTGCCGTCACCGCACTGAAGCAGCCAGCACCACAGTGAACTCACCAGTACCGGACGTTCGAGTGGGTGGTTCCAGAGAGATGCACGCTGCAGCTGATGCACCACTTGCATCTGATGGGGAGGGGGAGGGAGAAGAGATCGGAGAGAGGAGAGAGGCAGTGTGGGGCTCTTGGGTTGACAGGCAGGATGGTGATGAGAAGCCAAACATCCCAAATAACATCTCGACTCGAACCCATCCCACGAGTTGGGTGCCCTCTCCATCCCCATCCCACGAGTTGGGTGCCCTCTCCATCCCCATCCCACGAGTTGGGTGCCCTCTCCATCCCCATCCCACGAGTTGGGTGCCCTCTCCATCCCCATCCCACGAGTTGGGTGCCCTCTCCATCCCCATCCCACGAGTTGGGTGCCCTCTCCATCCCCATCCCACGAGTTGGGTGCCCTCTCCATCCCCATCCCACGAGTTGGGTGCCCTCTCCATCCCCATCCCACGAGTTGGGTGCCCTCTCCATCTCCATCCCCATCCCACCTCTTCGATCACAGTCACCCATCCACCGCACCCCACCCATTATTTACTCCTCCAACCTCCATCCCACTTGCTCCAGCACAGCCCCCAACCGCACTCCACCCATTGTTCACTCCTCCCAACCGCACCTGCTCCATCACGGCGGCCTGAGGCTTCCCCTTGGGGCGACGAGTCTTAGGGTTCTGCACCTCGGGATCTCCCACGGAGCTGGTGGGCGGGGGGGGAGGGAAGGCGAGGGGGAGCGGGAGTGGGGAGAGGGGAGCCGATGGGGGGGAACAAACAGTGAGTGGGTGCGGCCTGTGGCTTCCCCTTGGCGCGGCGCGTCTTGGGGTTCTGCAGGTCCGGGTCTGCTGTAGAGCTGGCGGGCGGAGGGAGAGGAAGGGGGGGTAAGGAGTGGGTGAGGGGTGATTAGCGAGTGGAAACATATCTCCAACTGGGGCTTTGCGGGTCTGAGTCCGCTGCTGAGATGGTGAGCGGAGGGGAGGGGCGGGGCGGGTAGGGGGAGCGCAAAGGGGAAAGGGGGGAAGGAGGGTGGAGGTCATTACGGTGGCAAGTTTATCTGCTTAGTTGCCCCGTAATGACCTCCACCCTCCTTCCCCCCTTTCCCCTTTACACAGGGCACGCAGGGCACTGCAGTCATTACATGTTTGACGCTTAGTAACTCTTAAGGAATTTCAACGGCCTCACCTGTTGATGACGTCATCCAGTGCCAGCATTGCGTTGTGCAGCGCCCCCATTGGCTCCAGCTTTTCCCTCAGGAACCTGCGCGGAAAAGAAGGGGCACAAATAAAGGGCAGATTGGGAAAACAAAAAAGATCAAAAGAAAAACAAAACAACACGGCAACAAGGCGTGCAACGACAAAGAGCAAAACCAGGGATTCTGGAAACCACAGCCTCCTCGCCGCATGTGTTCGTCCTTCCTTCCATCTCACCGCATGAGCTCGTCCGCCTCGCCTCGCTGAAACTGTCCTCGCGCTTCCATGCAAGGCTGTACCCCCGCAGCTGCTTCCGCACCTCTCCAGCCAAACAAAACAACACCCCCTCCCCCCTTGACCTCTCATCACACCTCACATCCTCGTTAACATCATAGGCCCGCCCTTCCATCTCACCGCATGAGCTCGTCCGCCTCGCCCTCGCTGAAACTATCTTCTCTCTTCCACGCGCGGCTGTACCCCCGCAGCCGCTTCAGCACCTCTCCGCTCCGCGCGCCCCCGCACCTGCGCGCCAGCACCCCCACGGCGGCGGTGAGCGCGGTGAGGTCGGAAGCATACTCCGCGCCCGCCAGGCGCCAGCGGAGGGAATAGTCCCCCACGCCCAGGCGCTTCAAGCCTTCCGCCTGTTCGCGGGGAGAGCAGAGTTTAGGGGAAGGGGGAAGAGCGCGGTGAGGTCGGAGGCATACTCCGCGACCGCCAGGCGCCAGCGCAGGGAATAGTCCCCCACGCCCAGGCGCTTCAGGCCCTCGGTCTGGGGAGAGGGGGAGAGCGGGGAGTGGTGTTGGGGAACGGGGGGGAGAGCAGGGAGTGGTGTTGGGAAACGGGGGGAGAGCGAGCGCGGTGAGGTCGGAGGCATACTCCGCGCCCGCCAGGCGCCAGCGCAGGGAGTAGTCCCCCACGCCCAGGCGCTTCAGGCCCTCGGTCTGGGGGGACGGGGACGGGGGGGCCGGAAAGGTTGGGAGAGGGTGAGGTAGGAGGAAGTGGTCCCCCACGCCCAGCCGCTTCAGGCGGTCGGTCTGGGGAAGAGTAGTCTTTTCGGGAGGGCGGGGGTTGGGGTTGGGGTTTGGGGAGGAAAATGGGACAAGGAGAAGCAAGAAGAAAAAGATGACGTCGTTTGAGCCTGTTTTTTAGTCGACTCAAAAACAGAGTCGACTCGAAAAGAGTGATGTCGTTTGAGTCAAAAGGGAAACCAACGAGGGGTTCGTGTAGTTTGGGGAGCCAAAACGTGGTGTCGTTTGGGCGAACCAAGAGGCGCTCATTCCCCCTCTTCGCGAGCTCGTCCGCGCGAGCAGCACCCCCACTATGTTGATTTTACTTTTGAGAGTTCTAAAACGTAATTCCCCCTCTTCGCCAGCTCGTCCGCGCGAGCACCCCCACTACGGTACGCAATGAGCTTCTGAAACGACTGCGGAAAAAGGAACGAAAATGAAAAGTAGGAAAAAAGAACCCGGCTCACCTGCAGCTGCTTTTCCAAGCCCGCGATATTCCGAGCGTCAAGCTGTCGCCATAGATCGAGGGCTTTCCGCATGAGCGACGCGACCTCGAAGGAGAGAACGCCCATCGGGAGGTCGTGGCCGGGCGGCAGGCGGGCCGCGGGGGGCGCCGCGGCTGACGGGAACTCGAGATCGACCAGCGCGTCCACCACGCTCGTCTGGTTCCCCATCGCTCTCGCTCCTCTAGTTTTCGCTCCTCTCGACGATACGTTCCTGTAGTACCGCAAGGCTCACGTCACGGTGTTTTCTACAGCTGCCACGCCTTGGAAGGAAGAACGTGCTCCTCTAGCTCTCGCTCCTCTAGCTCTTGCTCCTCTCGACGATTCGTTCGTCTAGCGCAAGGCTCACGTCGCGGCGTTTGCTACAGCTGCCACGCCTTGGACGAACGTGAAGGCGCGTTTGCTACAACAGGTTTGACGGACAGGTTTGCTGTCCTCGCTGCGAATTAACCAGTCCGACAGGCTCGGCTGGTTGTTAACGTCGATTTAAATCGGCTTACGCAGACAGGCCGCTTAATACTGGCGTTCGAGCTAGCTGGATAGCTCTGTACGGACGGAACACAAAATGTAGCTTGCAGCAGTCACTAGGAATACAAAACGTAGCGTACCCCGCCGAAGCTGCCGTACGGTCCGCAGATGTACGCAGCCGTGCTATTACAGCAGCTAGCTATGCAAGAGAAACTGGCGTAAGTGGCGGCGTCTCTAGGTCAGGGATGTAGGCCGGTGACTAAAGTTGTACGGAACGGCAATCCATATAGGTCATTCATGGCTGAGAGGAAATGCAATGCAATGCATCAACAAAAATATGGAAAGATGGTCGGTATACCCTAGAGTGAAGGAAATGGGTCGAATGCGGTGGAGAGGATTCACTTCGTTTCTTGCAAACCCACCTTGTCAGGTTTCTGCAGGTCGGGTCCATGACGTTGCGCACGTGTTACGCTGATGCGTTACGAGCCGCATGTAATTTTCGTTGGGTGCTTTGTTTTTGCTGCTGCCCCTGCCCGAAAACTCTGCTCCATCACATCAACCCTGCTCCGTCGCAGCAGAGATGCATTCCCTCCCCCGACCCCAACCAGTCCCCTCCCGCTGACCGACCAATCTGTCCGTCTCCGTTTTTCCCGTTTCCCGTGCAGCCCAATGAAGTCCCAAGATTCGCTAAAATTGCTGATGCTGCCCAGCCGATATTCAGGCAGGGCATTGCTGTTGCTGAGTCATGCGTGACGCGTCCTGCCCTGACAAAGTACGGAAATCCCAAGACACGCAGACTCGCAGACGAGGGAAATCCATCACGAATTTCATAGGAACGACAGGCGAATTCACGAAGGAACTGATGGTGCTAATTCGAGTATCCAGGTAACTCACACTTACTCTCCGTCTACACTCCCAATACGTGAAATGAAACGGTACAGTAAAAGGTTACTATTCGTCCATGATTGCCGACTTCCGTGCTGGGCTATTTTGTTTCTACATGATCGTCCACATCCCACGTGTCCCATGTGTTCCACGTCTCCTACACTGAGCTAACATCTTCCGCAAATCAGATGATGGTGTCGCGGGTTACCCCCCTGCCGCATCGCACCAACGTGACGATTCCCTCGGTTGCGATCCCCTGCGACCCGCCGGGGCCGCATGCGAACCAATCCGCCCAACCGCATGCGAGGAACTCCCTACCGTGCGATCGGATGTTCAGATCCGCCCGAACCGCGATCGTCGCAGCAGCAGGAGGATTACCGACCCGCTGCGCCGCGTATACCTCACGCGCAACAGTCCTTCCCACACAAGTTCATCCCACGCGGTTCCTCCGAACCCGAAGCGCGCGAAATTTCCCTAGTAACTTGCCCTCCCCTTATCGCCTAGCCGTTTTCGCCGCGAGCGGTGCAAGCCAAGCCTCGGGTGGATTTGAGCCGTCCGTATCGGCTCAGATCCGTGGGATCGGGGAAGGGGAGTCCGGCGGGAAGTTTGGCGGAAGGTTCCTGCAGGATGACGTGGGCCCGAACCAAGTGGTTCTCGAGGCGCAGGCGCGTGTGTGCACGGGACCCACGCAGACCCGGCCGCTGGGAGAAGAGGAGATGCGGCGCGTCTTGGAGCAGATCTTGCTTTCAGGTGTGCCCTCAGGTGTTCTGTGAGGTGACGCCCCAGCTGTTCTGTCAGGTGTGGTCCCAGGTGTTACGTCAGGTGTTTTGTCAGGCATGACAGTGTGTGCCAACTGTCTTCCCCTCACCCTCTCCCCTCATCTCTCTTGTTCATTCATCCCCTTCCAGTCAAGGAGGAATCGCCTCAGTGGACCAAATCATGCAATCATGCAACAACCTGCACCGAATCACGCCCTGTCCCCTGTCCCCTGCTCTTTGTCTTGTCCCTTCCCCCCTGCCCCCTCCCCTCTTCCCCGCATACACCAGCGAAAGGCGAGCTCCCATCAGAGCGTGTCTCACGCGCGCAAATGGGCGCATTCTTTGCGGGCATGACGGTGCGCGCCAACTGCTTCCCCCCGCCACGCAGTGGAGTGACCCACACAACAACCCTTCCCTCTGTCCGCCCCTTTTGCACCCTGTCCCTTTCCTCACCGCCCCCATACACCAGCAAAACGCGAGCTCCCCACATCAGAGCGCGTGTCACGGGCGCAGATGGGGGCGTTCTTCGCGGGCATGACGGTGCGCGCCAACTGCTTCCCGCCCGCCACGCAGTGGAGTGACCCGCGCAGCAACCCTTCACTCACTCTGCACCCTGCACCCTACTCTCTGTCCCCTGCCCCATACACCAGCAAAGGGCGAACTGGCCCCATCAGAGCGCGTCTCACGCGCACAGATGGGCGCGTTCTTTGCGGGCATGACGGTGCGCGCCAACTGCTTCCCTCCTCCCACGCAGTGGAGTGAGGGGGAGAGGCGCGCGCTGGTTGACATGTGGCCCGCCCTCAGATACCACCTCCCCCGGGACGTGCTCTTCCTTGCCGACCCTCAGGTGATTTTCTGTTTTTTTTGTGGCGTGCTGCCTGAAAGGACCATCAGATACCGCCTCCCTTGGGATGTGCTCTTTCTTGCCGACCCTCAGGTGCTGGTCTGGTGAAGGAGTATGGTGAAAAGCCCTCAGATACCACCTCCCCCGTTACGTCCTCTTCCTAGCCGACCCTCAGGTAATTTTCTCTTTTTTGTAGCGTCCTGCTTCAATAAGCACCTCAGATACCACCTCCCCCGGGACGCCCTCTTCCTTGCCGACCCTCAGGTGAGTTTATATCTTGTGAGGTTTGCTTCCCAAGTAGCCTTCAGATAACACCTCCCCCGGCACGTGCGCTCCCTAAATTCTCTCCCCCGCTGAAATACAATGTTTGGTGTTCCCCCTCCCCCAGTATGACCCCTCACATCCCCTCAGGCATCCATATTCAACGGTGCTCTCCCTGTGGGTCCCACATTCCACGGGCATGGGTCGGAGCAGGAGGCTCAGGACAGAATGGTGCTGTGCAGTGCGATGCAGTGGGTTAGGGTGGTGTGGAGTGGGGTGGGGTGCAAGCCACATACTTTGTGCTTTTCCTGTGTGTCCCTTACCCACTTCAGGGCTCCATATTCAATGATGCGCTCCCTGTGGGTCCCACATTCCACGGGCATGGGTCGGAGCAGGAGGCGCAGGTGGTGGGTTGAGGTGCGAGCCACGCACCTGCCTTGTGCTTCTTCTGTGTCCCTCCTTTGCACCCCTTCAGGGCTCCATTTTCAACGATGCGCTCCCTGTGGGTCCGACCTTTAACGGCCACGGGTCGGAGCAGGAGGCGCAGGTGGTGGGGGATCTCAGGGACATTCTGTTCGGCGTGCACCTTGGCTTCCAGGTGAGATCACAGGTGTCTCAGGTGGAACCTCAGGTGAGATCTCTCAGGTAAGGTTTCAGGTGAAATTACGCATTCATTTTCTCATTCTCACCTACGAGCGCGCACGCGCATTCTTACAAGGTCTCCAAACATAAGATTCTTTGCACATGTTTGTTGGTTATTCTCATAAACCTCCCTTCTACTCTGCTTTCGTGTGGTTTCCTGTGTCCCGCAACCCCTTCCTGTCTGTCCTTCCAGGAAACCATGTCGCTGCTGCAGAACCTGCTGCCAATGAGGGGCGTCTGTGAGGAGCGAGCAGGGGAAGGGGGGTGGGAGTGTGTTTTAGACGTCTCAAAGCTGCTGAGTTCTCGTGTTTCGCGTGCTCTCCTGTGCCACTTCCCCCCCATCTCCCCTGCTCCAGGAAACCATGTCTCTGCTGCAGAACTTGCTACCCATGAGGGGCGGCTCTGAGGAGCGTGAGGGGGGGTTTTAAGCTTGCTCCCCACCGGCCCCCTCCCTCCCGTTTCAACCCCCCCTCCAGGAAACCATGTCGCTGCTGCAGAACTTGCTGCCCATGAGGGGCGGCTCTGAGGAGCGAGCGGAGGGAGTGAGCGATGCACTGGTGGCGGCATATTTGATCGCCGTGCGCATGAACCGAGAGACCGACAGAGAGCTCAAGGCGTTCTGCCTCGCGTTTGACCAGGTATGGCGCGATGCATTTTCATGCCTGGGGAACATCTGGGGCGAGGTGCGGGGTGAGCGATGCACTGGTGGCGGCGTATTTGATCGCCGTGCGCATGAACCGAGAGACCGACAGAGAGCTCAAGGCGTTCTGCCTCGCGTTTGATCAGGTAGGGTGTGATGCAAGGCTGCGAGCTCATGCCTGCCTGGGGAGCAACTGGGGCGAGGTGGGGTGGGGAGTGAGCGATGCACTACACTGGTGGCGGCGTATCTGATTGATCCGCGTGTAGTAAGTCGCTTTTTTAGTCGAATCAAGAATCGACTAACTACACGTGAGCGATGCACTACACTGGTGGCAGCATATCTGATTGATGTGCACACGAACCGAGAAACCGACCGAGAGCTCAAGACCTTCTGCCTCGCGTTTGATCAGGTATGGGTGTTGTGATGCCCATGCCTTAGGAGAGAGCGGGGGGGTAAGGGGAAGAGTGAGTGGGGGAGTGGGCGATGCCGATGCGCTGATCACTGTGCGTGCGCATGAAATGAGAGACGGACAGAGAAATCACTTTTGAGAATTCTCGCGAGTGGGGGAGTGGGCGATGCCAATGCGCTGATCACTGTGCGCATGAACTAGCAGGAAACAACAACAGATCGACTGTTATTCCTTTGCTAAAAGTTTCTTTTTAGACTGCTGCTCGCCTAACTTCATGGCTGCGAGTGGGGGAGTGGGCGATGCCGATGCACTGATCACTGTGCGCATGAACTGAGAGACGGACAGAGAGCTCTCAAGGCCTTCTGCATTGCATTTGACCAGGCCTTCTCCTCCTCCCCTTCAGGGCTGGGTGACTGGGTCAGCCCCAATCCCAAGAGTTCCTTCCTTAGCCCACTACTGCGAGCCCTACGACGGGAGCACGCGCTACTTCCGCCCGACACCTGAATTTGTTGAATCGTCTCTCTCTCTTCCCCTCGCTCCTCCCCTTCAGGGCTGGGTCAGCCCCAATCCCAAGAGTTCCTTCCTTAGCCCACTACCGCGAGCCCTACGACGGCAGCAGGTCCCGCGCGCTACTTTCGCCCAACACTTCATTTCTTTCCCCCCTGCTTCACACCTTCGCCTCCTGCCATCTTCAGGAGCTGGGCTCTGCCCCCATTGCAAGAGTTCCCTCCTTGACCCACTACGGGGACCCCTATGATGGCAGCACACGCTACTTCCGCCCCACGCTCTTAACACGCTTTCCGCCTCTCTCTCCCCTCGTCTCGCCTCCTCTTTCTGCTCGCCTTTCTCTCCTCCTCCCCTACAGGAGCTGGGACCAGCCCCAATCGCAAGAGTCCCTTCTTTAACCCACTACGGGGATCCCTACGATGGCAGCACGCGCTACTTCCGCCCCACTCTCTTCGTGGCGGCGGTCAGGGCGAACTGTGGAGAGGCGTGCCTGCTGCATGGGGTGGACGCCTTCCCTCCCAAGGTGAGGGACTAGTGGGGAGGGGAAAGGGGGGGCGGAGGGGGTACCTCTCTTAGTGGCGGCGGTCGGGGCGAGCTGTGGAAAGGCATGTCTGTTGCATGGGGTGGGACGCCTTTCCCCCCAAGGTGAGCTTTGAGACCGGAAGGTGAGAGGGGGATGGGGACTACTCAGTACGTGTGAAGAGGCATGTGCGATGCATAGAGGCATGTGAAGGAGAGACGTCCCCACGGTCCCCGGCCACTCTCCCTCCACTCTCTCCCACTCGTCCCCCCTCTCCCCCATCTCTCTCCCGTTGCCTTTCAGCTTGGGGCCACAGAGGAAGCAATGCTGAGCCTCCTGGGAGCCAACACCAACCTCTCTTCATCTTGTTTCTCCCCATCCATTCTTTTCCTCCACTCTCCTTCACTCTTCCTCCTCTCCCTCTCTTTCTCTCCCATCGCTTTTCAGCTCGGGGCCACAGAGGAAGCAATGCTGAACCTGCTGGGAGCAAACACCAACCTCTCCCCGCCTCTAGCTGCTGCTATTCTCGAGGTGAGTTTTATTTTTATTTTTTTACTTTCCTTGTGCCATGCGCCATGTGCCATGTGAATTCCTCCACCCTTGCTTCATCCCCTGCTGTTTCAACCCCACTCCACCTCTGCTATCTATGCCTCTGCAGGACCCTCAAGTACAGATGGCATATCTCAGCCTCAACGACTGCTCTCCCCCCACAGCCACCACGAGAAGCCTCTGTCTTTCCTCTCTCCATCTCCACATCCATACCGTAAACCATCAATCCTGTCTCCCCTATCTTGTTTGCCTATGCCTCTGCAGGACCCGCAAGTCCACATGGCCTATCTCAGCCTCAAGGACTGCTCTCCCTCTTGGTGGGTTACTTGCCTCCCTCCCTTCCTTTCCTTCCCTTCCTTTCCCATCCCTTCCTGTTCCGCCTCTCTGTCCCTGCTTGTATCTGTTTCTTCAATCTGCTGTCTGCATTGACCTGCCAACCTTCCAACCGCTCTGCACTCATCATTCTGCCATTCATCCTCCCTCCGTGTTCCCTTTCCCCTCATTCCCTTCTCCTTGGTTCCCACCCCTCCGTCCTCCCACATGTCCACGTGGCAGCTACTCATCGGTGGACATGCGGAGGCACATCAAGAAGCGGCCAACGTTTGCCACCACAGAGAAAGTGCAGCGCTACATTCATGTGAGCATGGGCTTGTGTTGACATGATATGCATCATGTGAGCTCGCATGTGTCCTATGTCTACATGGTACGCATAATAGTACGCTCGCATGCTCATGCGGCGACAGCCGGTGGAAGCAGGGCTCGTGGTGAAGGGCGAGGAGGGGTCCCTCACCCCACCACTCCTTACTCCTTGTACCCACCCCCACCCCTTTTCTACCACACCAGGCATCAGGCTGAGAGGCGATGGTGGCAGGGTTCTACCACGAGGGATACGAGGAACCGCTTTTGATGCTCATACGCAGGCAGCCCGTGGAAGCAGGGCTCGTGGTGAAGGGCGAAGAGAGTTTCCGCTTACGCCTCCCCTCTCCTCCCCTCCCTTCCTCTCGCCCCCACCACTTCCGCTCCCCTCGACCACTGTTCTTCCAATCCAGGCATCAGGGCGAGAGGCCATGGTAGCAGGGTTTTACCATGAAGGATACGAGGAACCGCTGCTGATGCTTATGCGCAGGCAGCCCGTGGAAGCAGGGCTCGTGGTGAAGGGCGAGGAGGGGTCCCTAGCTCTCATGACCCGCCGCCCGGCCCCAGATGCTCCCAAAAAAGGCCGCCCGGTGAACTACTGCGCGGGCTTCCGGCCGGGAAACAATGGGAGTGGATGGCAGGAAAGGGGAGCGGTGAGGGGAGGGGAGGGAGGGGAGGAGAGTGAGAGTGGAGGGGAGGAGGATGGGTTTTACCGCGAGACGTTTTCGGTGGAAGCTGATGCTGTGTCGGTTGGCATGGAAGAGACTCTCACACCGCGGATTGACCGATCGGTGAGTTATTGACAAAAATACCCTGAGTTATTTCAAGTGAAAACTTGTTGTCAGGGCCGGCATATGACAGGATAGTGTTCAATGCAGCGGTGCAGTGCAGGATTATCTGTTGAAGTGGGGGTGATTACTCCAGGGCATGTCCGACTCACCCACTGTCCAACTCCCCTCCCTCCCTCCTTCTGAGACGTCTCAAAAGCGACTTTTGAGACATCTCGAAAGTGGATTACTCCAGTGCATGTCCCTCTCACCCGCTGTCTCACTCCCCTCCCTCCCTCCTTCGCTTCATCATCCCCCTACCCACCCCTCCAACAGGCGCAGAAGAATCTGGACTTGGGACTGGAAGCACTGAGAGGAGTGAAAGGGCCGGCATATGACAGGATAGTGTTCAACGCAGCGGTGCAGGATCACCTGTTGGGGTGGGGTGCGAGGGCGATTGGGTTGGAAGCAGCGGTGGAGAGGGCGAGAGAGGCGGTGGATAGTGGGCGAGCGATGAGGCACCTCATTGGGTATGTGGAGCGCAGCAAGCAGATGCGGTGATGAGGGGTGCTGAGGTGTACTGAGGGCTGATGTATGCAACCCCATAGGAGAATGTGGCATTCCACAATGTATACACCAGCCAAGTGATACTGTACTAGAAACCTCAAGTAACACGTATGGTGAGAAGGGTGTACAGGTAGCTTTGTTAGTGATATGAATAGGGCATTCGAGGAAATAGAGCAAACTATAGACAGGTATGACTACAAACATCTTCAGCCTTGATTCTCCGCATCCTAGATGAGGATCTAATATTTGCCTGTTATAACCTCCATCTCCATTCCATTCTCCGGCATCCAAGGCTCCCTCCCGTGCTCCTCCTTGTGTCAACTCAACACAGCCATCCCCTGGGCATTGCAACTACGGTATTCGTTTCTAACCACCAGCCACCACAATCAAGCCTCCTCCATCTGTATAGAGGTTATTTTTGAGACGTCTCAAAAATAACCTCTATACACACAGCCATCCCCTGCGCATTGCAATTATTCGTTTTTAACCACCAGCCACGCCACCACTATCAAGCCTCTTCCATCCCTGTTTCCATTCCATTCTCCGGCATCCACAGCACCTCCTGTGCCCCTCCTCTGGTCAAATGCACCCCTTGTGGCATTGCATTTATTCGTACCACCGTCAAGCCTCCTCCATATCTGTTTCCATTCCATTCTCCAGCATCCAAAGCACCTCCGGTGGCTCTCCTTCAGTGAACTGAAAGGCCATTCCTTGGGCATTGCACATGTTCATACAGCCACCACCGTCAAGCCTCCTCCATATCTGTTTCCATTCCATTCTCCAGCATCCACAGAACCCTCCGGTGCCCCTCTACGTCTGGAACTTCCTCTGCCCCTTTAGTAGCAGACTCGTTATCCTCCTCCATGACCATGCTGATGGGGTTTCCGGTAATCCCGGCATCAATGTCAACAATCTCCTTCAGCCCCTCGTCAATGCCTCCTCCCTCTTTATTGTCACTCGCACTGCTCGTCTCCACCTTGCTTTCTTCCAAGGCTTCAACGCCCGATCCTTCCTTGTTTCCGTCTCTTACTGTAGCCGTTTCAGTCCTATCCGCGTTATTAGCCGCGGGCTCGTTAACATCGTCGAACACCTGCGGCTCAGGCCCCTTATTAATGTCGTCCGTTGCAGCAACGGCCAGCCCTCCTTGTTCCGCCTGCTCCGGTACCGCGACTGGCGCAGTTGCTCCTTCCGCCAATCCCCCGCCCTCCGCCAACCCCCCCGCAGCTTCCTCTGTCGCTCCAGGATGAGGCACATCCTTCTCCGAAGCGGTTTCCTCGTCGGGTTTCACGAGGAAGTCGAGATCCTCTTCCCATTCCACATCGTCATCCTCGTCATCGTCATCTTTCGTATTCCCTTCCGACATCCCTACTGACGAGTAGTCCTCCGTATCGTCTTCCGAATCCTCCTCCGCATCCTCCGCGTCTTCCGCGATCCCGTCGTCCGGCTCCGTGACGTCATCAAAGGCCTGGAGCTCCGGATCGTATCCCAAGTCGCCTCCGCTGATTTCGCTGCCTCCCTGCTGCTCCGCGTCAGACGAATCGTCCGACCTCGTGGAAACCTCGTCGACCGATTTTTCGGCGGGTGAAGAAGAATCCTGACTCGGCTGCGTGATCCCATCGTTAAAGACCTGATCGTCCGCCGGGTTGTCCTTTTTTGAAGTCGACTCGTCATCCGTTATAAGCACTTCCTCCGTATTCACCTCGAGATTCTCGGACGCGGAGGCAGACTCGAGCTGCATTATTTCGAGTCCATCCTTAGCTGGCGCGCCTCCAGCGCTCGTTGCGTCAGAACCGATGCCGCCAGCATCGGCAACGTTGTCGTCCACGTCAGCGACTGTCGCTTTCACGGCGAGTAGCTTACGAGCATGGGGTATTTTATTCAGCTCGCGGATTTCATGGCTGAGGGATGGACCGACGGTGTGAGATGAGGAGGTTCGGGGCGCGGCGTGAGTGGAGAGGAGGAAAGCAAGAGTGAGGACCACCCGCAGGAAAACTACTGGTCCGTTGCTCCTCGCCATACTAATAGGCTAATTTCTCAAGAAGGGTCTGTTACACCGTGTGGCACGACCTCGGGTGGGACGGGCTTGCAGCAATAAAACGTATGGCTCGCGTTTAGTTGGGCTGTCTAGTTTCGCCCAGCTTCTCGCTACACCCTTAGGGTTTTCGCTGACTCAGCAAACCCCAGGGAGAAACTCGGTTTGGTTCTCGAGTCCCAAATTGCACTCACAATATTCTTGGTGTTTCCTTCTCTCCTATTCGACAAAAAAACTGTTGGCCAATCAAATTGCATCGCACTTCACGTAACCACAATTTGCAGCCAAACAACACTCAAAACATCACTTTCATCAACTTTAGTAATCTTGCCCCGCGCGCTCTGCAATTTGGGCCTTGAGCTTTAAGTCAACGCGAAGCAAAACTTTGGGCTGCGGGAGGCAAACTGTGCACAGTTTGCCTTCGTTCGGGTCTTGGGCTTTAACTCACTATAGACTTGCACCTAGAGAGAGACTGCCGCATGTATACACTGGAAACACACTGGAGTGTATACAAATATGTAGCCGCAGTCAACAGAATATCACAGCAGAGCAGACACACCTTTTCCATTAATTTTATCATGCCTGACTTCCCTGCAATCGATTTACATTATCAATGCCGCCCCCTCCCCCCCCTCCTATCTCCTTCGCTTGGCTCAGGTCCCTGGGCTAAAACTATTGCCCGGGTTTCAAACAGTCTGCACGCATTTGCCTTGCCAAGTAGCGTACCGGCTATCAGAAACAATACCGTGGGTGTTAGTTTCTGGTTGTGTGCGTAGTGTAAAGAGGTAATCTAGATGTTGCAGTAAAACCTAGAATCATGGCTGTCCACCGCCACCCATGCGGTATGTAGTACCAAGCTGGCGTAATTGCAAGGTGGTGCAACTTGTTCATGTGATGAATAACACACTGTTGCATACAAGGGCACACACAGTAAAGCTGGAAATAGAGCAATCTGAATTCATGTATCTAAAAGGAACTCATCCGATGAGTTCCTTTAGATACACCAACTTATTCCTGCTCCTCCTCCATGGCGAGGAGCTTCGGTTGCCTTTTATTATCAAACAGTAAGGCTATCGTCAAGCCTTTAGGTATCCATTCCGTTCTCCAGGACCCACAACACCTCCTGTGCCCCTCCTTTTCATCAGCTTCCTTCCTTCTCCCCTTCCCCCTCAATCTCTGAAATTTCCTCTGCCCCTTAGCATACTCGATATCCTCCTCTTGGACCAGGCGACGGGGTTTCTGATGGTTCTTGCGCCCTTATTCGTGTAGACCGTTGCGCCTGATCTGGTTCCGCGACTGGCGCAGATTATGCTCCTTCCGCCAATCCCCCGCCTTGTCGCAGTCACTCCAGCATGAAGCTCATCCTTCTACGATGTGGATTCCGCGCTGGATTCTCCTGTAAAATCAAGTTCCATCTCCCTCTCTAGATCGTCGTCGCCGTCATCTTCGCCTTCTGCAATTCCTGTCGGCGGCTTTTCCAAATGCTCTTCCAAATCCTCTTCCGGATCCTCCGCTTCTTCCGCAATCTCGTCGCCCGCGTCCGTGACGTGCCCGCTTCCCTGCTGCTCCGCGCCCTGAGACGATTCGTCCGACTTCGTGAAAGCTTCATTGGCAGAATTTTCAGCAGCGGGTGATAAGGACTCCCAGGCCTGCGATATCAAATCCTTGAAGACCCGGGCGGCCGTCTCGAACTGCTTCGTTTTGAATCCATCCTCAGCCGGCACGCTTGCAGCGCTCGTAACCGTTACGTCAGTAGTTTCAGCCCCATCCACGCTGGCGACGTTATCGGCCACGTCAGTAACGATCGCTTTCACCGCGAGAATCTTACGAGAATGGGGTGTCTTCAATAAGTTATTGAGTTCGTGGATTCCGTGGCTGATGTCCCGGACGACGTTGTGAGATGAGGAGGTTCGGGGCGCGGCGTACGCGGAGAGGAGAAAAGCAAGTGTGAGGACCACCCGCAGGAAAACTGCTTGTTTGTTGCTCCTCCCCATACTGGTACGTGCTGCTGTACGTCGTTGTAGCGCAAATTCCTTACTATAGTGACGTGGACTGCCTTTTCCCGAGAAGCTTTATTACGCCTCTGGAGGGGCTGATGCCGCGGTATATTGTATGGCTCGCGTTTCTGGCCCAGCTCAATTGTCAATTGCTCTGGAATGTAGAACCGCTGACGATGACAAACAACCAAAGCTGACGATGACAATCGAAATCCGAAACAATTGTTTCGAGGCAAGCGAAGTCGAATGGAATGAGCTGAAGAGATGAGCGAGGAATGTGTTTGCAAACTCCCAAATGTGTTGAATGTTTATAAATCCTTTTGATACGGTATCTCGCGCGACTCGGTCGACGCGCCGCATCTCGCCAAGCCACAGGGGTTAGTGTGGTGCTGCTGCTGAGCTGCCGTGCCTGGTAAAGTTGGGCTGAGGGCCCATAGGCTTGGTGGTGTGACGCCGCGTGTGATTGGCTCCCCCTGACTTGTTGTTGCCCTTGACTGGTGGAGTAGCAGCGTGGGCAGGTGTGGTTGCCCTGGTGTGCATTCTCGAAGCGCATGGGAACAGACGAGAGGGCTGCAATTGCATTTCAAAACTGTACATTCACATACAACTACACATCAAACTTCCACTTATGTTGGGCTCTTGACATGGCTGGAATCTAGGTTGGAGAATGTTTTATAATATTGCATAGAGAATATGGTAGCTGCAATATTGAAGGATGGATATAGCAATATTCCGGGAAACTTGAGCCTAGCAGCTGTAAAGGGGTTTCTTTCTGAGACCACAATGGAGTATATACAGCCTCAGCCAACACATTATAACGGCATAAACGCCATAATCCAATTAAATATAATCCTTAGTCTGCCCTGGATATGCTTGCGAATCACTTAGCTTCCCAATTGCCCGCCTCCTACTCTTGGCTCAGGTTGCTAGGCAAGAACCTTGGCCCGATGCAGGGGTCAATCAATCAAGGAACCCTTTTGCCAAAGCACTTGTACCGGCTTCCAGAAACGGCCTTATAGCTGAAGTCATGAACCGCGTGCCGCATGCGCCTTGTTTTGAGTCAACTCAAGACTTTTACTCTTGACTCAGGTCACTAGGCAAGAACCGTTGTCCGAACCGAGGGTCAAACAGTCGGCATGCGTCAGCCTTGCCAAAGAGCGTGTAACGGCTTTCAGAGACGTGCTTGTAGATGAAGTTGTGGAGTGCGTGCGGCGTGATGTGGCCCGCGGCGGCCAGCAGAGGGAAAGGTGGCTTCAGCCGGGAGAAGATCTGGAGGATTGCATCGGAGCCGAAATAGGCCCTGGAAGGAGAAGGGTGGGAGGAGGTTACGGGAGGGAGTTAGTGTAAGAGGATTTGCTAATGGTAAGGAGAGGGTGTTGAGCTGCAGAATGTTCTACAGGGGGACTTGAGCTGCATGTGAAAATGTGTGTGCTTTGACTAGTGTATTTGGGTGGTAAAAGATGGGCTACATGGGCTAGTGTGACAGAGAACCATGTTGGAGCTGGTTGCTGATTTTGAGGCACCCAGAAACATATTGTAAATTGTACGCGGTACAAGACGAGCTACACGAGCGGAACTCACTTGTTGTGTGCGACGAGGACAATGTCCGAGTGGTCGTTCTCGTCGCGACCAGCGCGGCGGAGAAGGGCCTTCCCCGAGTCGCCCTGCAGCGAGGCGAAGCGCAGGTTGCTGCGGAACAAGCAAGGAACCAACAAAACACGGAAAATTGGGTGAATCAAAGATTGAAACCGGAGATGGGAGGAAGCGCGAAACCGAGTTGAATGGAACGTGGCATCCACAAGCGCGATGGAAGGAAGTTGGCAGAGGCGATGAGGGTCGGGAAGAAAAAGGTGGTGAGGGAGGAGCGGGAATAAAAGGGGACGAGAGAGAGGAGGGGGGGGGTGGAGGACGTGGAGGACAAGGGAGTGACGGGACCATGGGGACGAGAGAGAGGAGGGGGGGGGGGTGGAGGACGTGGAGGACAAGGGAGTGACGGGACCATGGGGACGAAGATGGTGCAGAGGGGCGACGGGTTGGGGGAAGATAGCAAGACAGACGCGGCGTTTTACCCGTGGGGGTCATAGTCGAGAAGAAAGTTGACCCACTTGTTGCACAGGTTGCACACGCCTGGAAACCGAACGACGCGCACGATAAACAACAGCACGAGAGACGAGAGAATATAAGAATCATGGGTGCCAGATTTGCCAAGGACAGTAGACAGAGAGCGGAAGGAGACGGCGCAAACGGGCATGGCTTTGTGAGGAAATGAAGCAGATTAAGGTTCAATTCTAAAGTCCGAGGTTTGCAGTCTCACCATCGAAGAGGACGACAGGCCGCAAGTCCGATTCAAAGAACTGATCGCCGATTGCCTCCATGCGCTTCGAGTACCCAGCCTGCGCCATCAGCCTGCCCCAGCTTTCGTCCTCCTTTTGTTTTCCCGCATCATTCGTTACTTCAGCGCTGCTGCTGTTGTTTCCGCGTTCCTCCGCCGCCTCCGCCTCGGGCTCTTGCCGTTGCGGAGAGGTCGCGGGTTCGAGTACCGGCAGCGACAGAAGTGCGGAGGATTCCGGAGAGAGGAAGGCTTCTGAGATGTCTGCTGCGGCTGTGAGCTCTTGCGGCGCGAACGAAGGCAGGATTTCCAGCTCCAGTTGTTGCTTCGACAGATTGACGGAAGCAGAAGTTCCGTTAACGTCTGGGGAAGTGACTTCCCGCTCGATGACGGATAACGACGGCGTCGCGCGTATCGCAGTGTCCTTGCTCCCGCGGGCGCCGTGCGACATCGCCGCGTGTTGCGCCGGCCCCGCCGTTGCCGGCGGCGACTGCTGCTTCCCCGCGGATGGCGCAGCGGTAGCACGGACGGCGGGAAGCTTTGATGCGCAACGCGCAGACAGCGTCACTGCCGTTCTCGTGGGAGTTAAACGAGCCGCCGCGGCGGGCGAGGGTAGCGGACGAAGGACGTGGCGCTTGCAGCCTGCTGCTGCTGTGGCCGCCATTTTCAGGAACAAAGGTTACAAATTTACGCGTCGGAGGTCAGAAACCGAAGTGCGGATGCCACGGAATTGATGGGGAGAGCGAGTTTCTGATGCTCGACTTCCCGATGGTGGTAGATTCGTCAGGTGGATATGAAGCAGTTGCGAGGCCTGTAAGTGTTCGGTTGACTTGTGCGGGTCGAGTGTGGAGGCGTCACCGCTGTCCAACGATGATAATGGAGTGGTATAGTGACACACTTATATGCAATTGGCTCTTGGAGACACTTTTATTTCTGCGTCAAGTCAGGTGCGCTTCTCCCAAAAGACTGCTGACCGGATGAGGAAGGTGTGGAAGAGAAACTTCGCGTCGTGCGGTGCGGTGCTGCAAAATCCCACACGCTTGGCGCGTGCTATCTGAGTAGCCTCAGTCGGCAGACGGTGAACGTGACTGGTAAAACACGGCTGTAAGGAGGCAGCACACAGGTGTCAAGATAAACGAACCACTTAGAAGCTAAATTTCTGCCTCAGTTGGACGGTGTGCCTGTGGTGCGAGAGAAGACGGTTGTAAGAAAATGGAGGTGGAGGAAATAACCTGCCAAGCAGATGCTGTGCTGGACTATGCTCACCCAACTAAAGCTCTACAAATAAGCCCCCAATTCCAACGCAGCAAGTCCAGAGACGGGAGGAAGGAGCAGGAGAAATGGGATGAAGGGAGGGACAGGCGAGGTAGGTGCTCAAATCTGATGCTGGGAGTTGGCGAAGCGCGCACTAGAGGATATGATGGAGAATAGACGGGCAGATGAAAACAGACCGATAAATTTTCCGTTTCGAAGTTGAATTGACGGAACCGGCGGCCACCACAACAATCCGACATATTGAATATTTTAAATAGTATAAAATGAAGAGAACGTGGGACTGACCGCGCCTGAAATCTGTTCGTTTTCCCGTCTCGTGTGAGCAACGGTCGTCAGCAACCCAAGGATTTTGGAAGCCGCGGAGACGGGCAATCGCGGATGAAGGCTCTGGCACGTGTTTGATTGGGTAGGGAGGTAAGATTGCGAGTTGAATATTGATTTACGATTGGATGAAATGCTGCCCTAGAAACAAGCAGAACCATTCGTCGAGGTGCGCTGGCAGGATGGCATATTATTATCTGCCATTTTGATTGGTAGTCAACAAGTCATGGATGTCAAACTTCATGACAATCATGATTGCAGGTCTTATTCATTTTGGTTGTAACTGAATATTCGCAGCATATAAAGGCTTAGGAACAAAACTATATTATGATTTGCATAGCCTGGGAAAGTATCCATAAGCCTTGCATCATAACTTGCGTTTTATGAGCCAATTATAATATTTTATCTTACATAACTTACACTCAAATACATTATATATTTAGTCATGAATCACTAACGCTAAGCTGTAACAAGTGGACAAGGTAGTTCGCGATGTTTGATATACATTGACTAGAAAATGAAGCATTTTGTATTGCGGTTATGATAGAACTCAAGGTGAAGTACTGACTGACATTCTGACATGCTGGTGGAGTCGCGTTGAGCATTCTGCAATCGGCGTTCCAATTGGACGGGGAACTGGATTCGAACAACCCCCCCAAGAGGACCACCGAAGTAAAACGGACCTCAGTGCATGGAAATTACCACGACGCGAGCCACGGCACTGGGATCGCCGATTTGCCAATTTCACGATGACCAACATCAAGCTCATCCCCAGTCAGTTGCTGGTTCCAGGATCAGGGAAAAAAAAAGAGTTTAGGAACAGGGATCCTCTCACTATCACTTTCCTAGCATTAAATTAGTTCGTCATACTATCTAATTTCCGTTGATAAGGGAGTCCTAAGCACCTTCCTTTATGCGACCGAATTGCGTGGTCTAGAAGCCCTCCCACCCAAGGTGGTAGCGGTGTCGTATTCTTCGGCTAAGGTATCACAGAGACGCTGAGTCGTTCTATTATTTAACTCAAAATGAACGATGAAGTGCCTTGCGATGGGTGCCACTAGGTGTGCGGATCGTGGTAGCTTCAGCAAGTGAGTAAACCTCCTCTCGTCCGAGGTCCCAAACAAAACACAAGGGAAGAATAGAAGCTGGCAGCGCAGGTCGCATGCACATCGTGTGCACCAATACCAGAATGTTTTCACGGCTGTCTACCAGACCCCTCACGTCAAGTCCCTCGCGAAGGCGTCACTCTCTCTGTCACTCGCAGAACCTTCCATCATGTTTATTCGTCGCATTCCTAGCCACAGGGTTACTATACCCCACAATGACGATCACCACAGCGTCGCCAGTTCCCGTTCACGAAACGTATCATAACATGCCTGGCACTAACGGGGATAGTGGTACTACTGAAGAGCATTTCGGTGGTCTTTCAAGCTGCATGGTTGGAGGAACCTCCGAGGATTGCTCGGGACGCCGCGCCTCCGCTGGATCATTCTCCGTCATAACCGCCGAGAAAAGCGCGGCGGACGGCCGGAAGGGTCCGCGTGCGTTCGCTGATCTCATCGACGGCGTACACGGGCTCCACGTTTTGCGGATCAACAGCCGATTGGCTGCTCATCCTTCCGTCGCCTCCACCGCCGCTACGGCTTCCATGCCGGACCACTCCCGTCCGGCGCCCGAGCCTCCCGCTGCCTCGTCCCTTCCCGTGCCCAGACCTGCCACGTCAGCGGCTTCTGCAGCTTCGTGGAACTCGCAAGAGAATTCATCTGCTGGGCACGCGTTTGGGCAGCATTATTTGTCGCTAGTGGAGAGTGACAAGGCTCGGCACAGGTCACGGATGTTGATGGTTCAGGGGCAGGAGGACGGAATGGAGGGAGAAGGGAGTGAATCGAGTGGAGGAGAAGAAGGAGGAGAAGGGGGAGGTAGTGGTGGTGGTGATGGTGGTAACCCTAGTGGTAACCATCGTGGGAGGAAACTGGGCATAACGGCTACAGCTGGGCTGCTGGGGGCCACGTACCCTAACGGGTAGGCACATCCCTTCTCCATAAAGCATCCCACCCTGAGTCATCTGCCTGCCTATTAGACGCGCCTCTCTTCCCCCAACCCTACTCATATCTTCCCCCTTACGTCCCATCTTCTCCACCCTTACTTCCCATCCTCACCCTTACTTCTCGTCTTCCCAACCCGTTCTCCCCTTCCTCCCCCTCTTACCTGTCTTCTACCCCACTCTCACTCCCCATCCTCCCATTTCTCCATCCCTTCCCCAATTCCCCGCGCCCAGCATATACTACGTGCAGCTGGGCATCGGCACGCCGCCACAGACGTTCAATCTGGACATAGACACGGGCAGCAACCTGCTCTGGCTCAACTGCCTGCCTTGCAACCCCTGCACGCTCTCCAAGACTCTGGTGAGTCTGCTCTTAGCGATTCGACCTGCCCCTGTGACTTCTGGGTCCACTCGAACTCCCTTGCCCACTGTCCTGTCCCCCTCCCTCCCTCCTTTCCCCTCCTCCCCCTCTCCCCCTCCCTCCCCTCCTGTTACCCCTCCCTCCCTCTCGTTCTCCCTCCCTGACTCCTGTCCCTTCTCCCTCCCACCCCTCGCGTGGCAGCAAACCAACCCGCCCTTTGACTCTGCCAAGTCAACCTCAGTCAAGCTCCTTCAGTGTTCCAACAAGGCATGCATCAACCCTAACCTGACCTCAACCCTTCTATTGTCCCTTCCGCCCCCCGTGTGCAGCAAACCAACCCACCCTTTGATTCCACCAAGTCAACCTCGGTCAAGCTCCTTCAATGCTCCAACAGGGCGTGCATCAACCCCGACTGAACTGGCCCCTGTGACTTCTGGGTCAAACTCAAAACTCTCCTGCGTGCCCTAATGTCCTCCCGCCTTCCTCTCCTGTGCTTTCTCCCTTCCACCCCTCTTCTGTGCAGCAAACCAACCCGCCTTTTGATTCCACCAAGTCAACCTCGGTCAAGCTCCTTCAATGCTCTCCAACAAGGCATGCATCAGCCCTAACCTGACCTCAACCCTACAATTCCCCCTCCCACCCCTCGTGCGCAGCAAACCAACCCACCATTTGACTCGGCCAAATCCTCTTCAGTGAAGCTCCTTCAGTGCTCCAACAAAGCATGCATCAACCCCGACCGAACCGTCAAGATCCGCAACTGCAACGTCACCTCCAAGCCTCTGGCCAAAGGCTCGGCAGCAGGCTCGGCAGGAGGTTCGGACGAGGACTTGGGGTGTATGTATTCAGTGGCGTATGGGGATGGGAGTGGAACGTCAGGTCGCCTGCTTGGTGACGTCATCCATCTGCCCATCTCCGGGTCTGCCCGAGCATTCAAAGTCCCCATCACGTTTGGGTATGTGCCTGTGTAGCATGTGCCTGTGTAGCATGTGCAGGTGACTGTGTAACATGTGCATGTGACTGTGTAACATGTGCATGTGACTGTGTAACATGTGCATGTGACTGTGTAACATGTGCATGTGTCTCATGCGCCCTATAAACATGTGTCTGTGCAACACTGTGCCTGTGGTTCCTGCGCAATGATGGGCTTATCTGCCTGTCTTTATCCCTCAACACCTGCCTGCTGCTATCAACAGCTGTGGGAACTCCCAGCAGGGCAACTTTTACAACGGCCTGGGCTGGACGCACTACCAGGCTCTAGACGGGCTCATCATAGGGCTACCTCACCCCTCCCCACCGCTCCCCACCGCTCTCCCATCCCTCCCCACCTCTCTCCCTCAGCTGTGGGAACTCGCAGCAGGGCAACTTCTACAACGGCCTGGGCTGGACCTACTACCAGGCCCTGGACGGGCTCCTGAGCCTACCATTACCCCTCTGCACCCCTCTCCCATCACTCCCCACCCCTCTGCACAGCTGTGGGAACTCGCAGCAGGGCAACTTCTACAACGGCCTGGGCTGGACGTACTACCAGGCGCTAGACGGGCTGATAGGGCTGGGCAGGGGGTCGCTCTCTCTGCTCACAGCCGTTGGAGCTTACAAGGAGTTCTTCCCTATTCGGTGAGCTGTGGTTCAGTGCGGTGAAATGTGGTTCAATGCGGTGATGGTAGGTGTGATGCAGATGGACGTGCTACCAGGCCGTAGACGGGCTTATAGATCTTGGCAGGGGAACGCTCCGTTGAAACCCACAAAGAAATGCTTCACCATTTGGTGGAATGCAATGCAATACGGTGCAGTGCGGTGCCTTGTACTCACTGATGTCGTGCGCTCGAGCAACCTTTCCCACTCTGCCTGCCCCCGCTGTTGCTTACCACATTTGAGGCACCTCAAAAGCCGTTGCTGCTTACCACATTCCTGAGAATTCTCTAAAGTGACTTGCACCGTAGCTTATTACATTCCCAGATTGCCACTGCTGCTCCCTCGCCTCTTTTCTCCTCTCCTTCCTCCCACCTTTCCTCGCCTCTTTCCTCCCCTCCTCCTTCCCTTCCTTCTTCCCCTCCTTCTTCTCCTCCTTCCTCTCCTTCCTCCCCTGTCCTGTGGCCCCTGGAGAGCAGGCAGGTGGTGGCGCACTGTCTGGGGGGCGACAGGGGGGCCGGGCGGATGACAGTGGGAGACCTCCCTATCCCCCCTCTCACCGCCTTCCTCTCCGTCCTCGCCCCTTCCCCTCTCCCCTCTTCCTCCCCTGGAGAGCAGGCAGGTGGTGGCGCACTGTCTGGGGGGCGACAGGGGGGCCGGGCGGATGACAGTGGGAGACCTCCCCATCCCCCCTCTCACCGCCTTCCTCTCCGTCCTCTCCCCCTCCCCTCCTTCCTCTCCCCCTCCCCTCCTTCCTCTCCCCCTCCCCTCCTTCCTCTCCCCCTCCCCTCCTTCCTCTCCCCCTCCCCTCCTTCCTCTCCCCTTCCCCTCTCCGTTCTTCTGCCCCTGGAGAGCAGGCAGGTGGTGGCGCACTGTCTAGGGGGTGACAGCGGGGGCGGGTGGATGACAGTGGGGGACATCCCCATCCCCCCTCTCACAGCCTTCACGCCCCTGCGACCAGATGACACGTGAGTGACGGGGCTGGATGAATGTTCAATAGTTGCTTCAGTTGCTGAAAGTTGCACCATTCCCCCTCAGGGGGTGGATGACAGTGGGGGACATCCCCATCCCCACTCTCACAGCCTTCACGCCCCTGCGACCAGATGACACGTGAGTGCGGCTACCTGGTATTGAAGCTTGATTCTTTATGGTTGCTTGCGTCTAGGTGCCTGGAACTTGCACCCATTCCCCCTCAGGAGGTGGATGACAGTGGGGAACCTTCCCATCCCGCATCTCACCACCTTCACTCCGCTGCGACCAGACGAAACATGGATGCTATCACCTGGATTTCTCAAGGCCACCAACCGCCTACCACCTGCCACCCGTATCCTCCCCATCTCTCCATGTCACCTGCCATCTTTCCCAAAGTAACCCGCTCTCATCAGCTTCTTCAGAGTAACACTCTGCAGTGTCTTTGTGGGAGGGTGGAGGGTGCATTCAACTCAGCGCAGTGCAACAACCCCTCACTTCCATTCCCCCTGCGCACAGATTCTACAAAGTGACACTGAGGAAGGTATTCGTGGGGGGGATAGAGGTGGCGGTGAATCCAGCGCAGTATGGCAACATTTCCTCCCTACCTTGCCCTTTCTCCTTCTACCCTTCGCTCCTCTGTCCCCCTCCTCTCAGATTCTACAAAGTGACATTGAGGAGGGTATTCGTGGGGGGAATAGAGGTGGCGGTGAACCCAGCACAATATGGCAACCTGACTCACGGCAATGCCATCTTTGACAGCGGCACCACCTACTCCATCATGCCGCCTCTCTTCGTCCCGCCCCTCTTCCACCTTGTGAGTTCATCCATCCAACGGTCTATGTTCTAGTGAAAGAATAGAAACAAAACTTCCTCGCACAATGACAGTTTCTCCTGTTTTTTTAGAATCCTAAAAAATCCCTGCAACAAAACTTCCTCGTACCATGACAGTTTCTCCCTGGGATAAGAATTACCTCCTCTGGGTCACTGAAGCGAAGTGAGGCGTCAGTTGACTCAAGAGGCAATACAGCAGTTTGACTGCCTCGCCATGCCTTGTCCATTCCCTCACACTTCACCCCCTTATCCTTGCTTTCAGCGTATGTTTTTTGAGAATTCTCAAAAAACATAGTTTGACTGCTTCGTCATGCCGTGTCCATTGCCTCACGCTTCACTCCCTTATCCTTGCTTTCACTTGCTCCCTCTTTTGTTCCTCCTCAGATCCAAACAGCAGTGGGGCTGCCTCGCTATGCGTTCTCCATTGGCAAGGAGGGCTCGCTCTGCTTTTCCTCCACCGACGAGTGAGTGTGGGTGTGTAAGCATGTCTGAGAATGGGTGTGTGTGTGCGTGAGTGTGTGCGAGAATGGCTGTGCGTGCGTATTATGAGTCCGTGCTCTTCCTATTCGCCCCTCCCATTCAAGGCTGACAGCAGAGGGCGTCAGCAACTGCTTTCCCCTCATCAAAGAGATAGTCTCTCATCAACCTGCTGTGAACCGGCATGCCCAGTTTTCCCACAGCCTCGAGTACCACCCACTCGCCCCCACCGCCCCCTACAGACCTTCTCCCCTTCACTCTCTCCTCGTTCACCCTCTCCCGTCCAGGCTGACAGCAGAGGACGTGAGGAACCGCGTCCCCCACATCAACCTGCAATGAACTGGCACGCCTGGTCTTCCTTGAATCTTATAACCACCCCCCTCTCCCCCCACTCTCCTCTCCATATTCACTCCCCCCTTTTCCAGGCTGACAGCAGAGGACGTGAGGAACCGTTTCCCCCACATCAACCTGCAATTCGAAGGGAGGGGCGTGTTCATGAACCTGCCACCGCACACATACACATTCAAAGCCATGGTGAGAGCTGCTATGCCTTGATGAGCCTGCTTCAACTTCTCATGTGTGTGTTCATGAACCTGCCACCGCACACATACACATTCAAAGCCATGGTGAGAGCTGCTATGCCTTGATGAGCCTGCTTCAACTTCTCATGTGTGTGTTCATGAACCTGCCACCGCACACATACACATTCAAAGCCATGGTGAGAGCTGCTATGCCTTGATGAGCCTGCTTCAACTTCTCATGTGTGTGTTCATGAACCTGCCACCGCACACATACACATTCAAAGCCATGGTGAGAGCTGCTATGCCTTGATGAGCCTGCTTCAACTTCTCATGTGTGTGTTCATGAACCTGCCACCGCACACATACACATTCAAAGCCATGGTGAGAGCTGCTATGCCTTGATGAGCCTGCTTCAACTTCTCATGTGTGTGTTCATGAACCTGCCACCGCACACATACACATTCAAAGCCATGGTGAGAGCTGCTATGCCTTGATGAGCCTGCTTCAACTTCTCATGTGTGTGTTCATGAACCTGCCACCGCACACATACACATTCAAAGCCATGGTGAGAGCTGCTATGCCTTGATGAGCCTGCTTCAACTTCTCATGTGTGTGTTCATGAACCTGCCACCGCACACATACACATTCAAAGCCATGGTGAGAGCTGCTATGCCTTGATGAGCCTGCTTCAACTTCTCATGTGTGTGTTCATGAACCTGCCACCGCACACATACACATTCAAAGCCATGGTGAGAGCTGCTATGCCTTGATGAGCCTGCTTCAACTTCTCATGTGTGTGTTCATGAACCTGCCACCGCACACATACACATTCAAAGCCATGGTGAGAGCTGCTATGCCTTGATGAGCCTGCTTCAACTTCTCATGTGTGTGTTCATGAACCTGCCACCGCACACATACACATTCAAAGCCATGGTGAGAGCTGCTATGCCTTGATGAGCCTGCTTCAACTTCTCATGTGTGTGTTCATGAACCTGCCACCGCACACATACACATTCAAAGCCATGGTGAGAGCTGCTATGCCTTGATGAGCCTGCTTCAACTTCTCATGTGTGTGTTCATGAACCTGCCACCGCACACATACACATTCAAAGCCATGGTGAGAGCTGCTATGCCTTGATGAGCCTGCTTCAACTTCTCATGTGTGTGTTCATGAACCTGCCACCGCACACATACACATTCAAAGCCATGGTGAGAGCTGCTATGCCTTGATGAGCCTGCTTCAACTTCTCATGTGCGTGTTCATGAACCTGCCACCGCACACATACACATTCAAAGCCATGGTGAGAGCTGGATTCACTTCACCTCACTCGTACTTGCTATCAAATCTCCCCATGGCGTGTTCATGAACCTGGCCCCACACACGTACACGTTTAAGGCCATTGTAAGCGCTGATATGCCTTGGTGAGTAGCCATGGTGAGAGCTGTACGTGTACTTACTTTGAGATCGTATCCACGAGGGGGTGGAGATAGTGTGCACACAGGTGGTGCTGGGGTCACACATCATGAAGGTCCCCAACGAGCTTTGATACACCTCAACGGTTTTTTGATGGCTCGTCAGTTTTGCGACAGCTAAAATTTCATATGTCCATCCCTCCCTCTTCCCCCGACCCCCTTCCCTTCCCCCCCCGTTCCCCCAACCAGGACGAGGGGGTGGAGATAGTGTGTACGCAGGTGGTGCTGGGGTCTGATACCATGAAGGCCCCCAACGGACTGGCCTTCATCATCGGAGGTAAGCAGCATGCTGGGTGCGATGGCAGCATGGTGGGCAGCTTTTGAGTCACCTCGTTACAGGTGGTGCTGGGGTCTGATACCATGAAGGCCCCCAATGGATTGGCCTTCATCATTGGAGGTGAGCAGCAGCATGCTGGGCAGCAGGGCAAGGCAAGGCACAGTGGGTTTTGAGACGTCGCAAATCGCAGGTGGTGCTGGGGTCTGATACCATGAAGGCTCCCAACGGACTGGCTGATATCATCTTTGGAGGTAAGCAGTAGCATGCTGGATGGCAAGCAAGGCACGGTGGCCGGCAAGGCGTGGAACGGTGTGCAGCAACACGAGGCACAATGGGCGGCAATGATCAGCGGGCGGCAAGGCACAGTTGGCATGCAAGCCAGCAAAGCACACTGGAGCGCTGACGAGGCATGCACTGTGGTGGTTAAGTATGGTACTTGTAATTCTCTCCCAACGCAATTGGTACTATTTTTTTGGCATCTGCTGACTTATCATGTGAACCTGTTCTGCTATTGCCCTTCACCTTTGCCCCTCGTGACATTCTTGGTTGCAATTAATTCTTGGGTGCATACTATCCAGTTCTGCTCTCCACTCTGACGTTCTCCTGAGCCACCATCGACTCACCCTCCCCAGTCACTCTCCCCCCCCTCCCGCATGATCGCAGCTCTATGGATGAGGGATTTCCTTGTGATTCACGACCAGGAGGAGAACCGTGTTGGTTGGGCTGCCATGAAATGTGAGTTACTATTTGTGTGTGGTTGCTTGCACCTCGTGTTCTTTAATCAGACTTCAAACTTGTTATTGTTATTGCAATCTCGCATGGATGCAGGCACTTGACTGCATACAATGCCCAATCGGCACTCATCAATGCATTCAACTGAATTGATTGTGACACTACATAGCTTGCCTAACTATTCATAATAAACAGGCGATGCCACTGGATCATGTGTTTTGCAAAATGCTGCCGTAGAAAAGTAATGTGCATCACTACGCTGTACAGGCATCTGGGACATACCATATCCGCCATATTTGTATCCGAAAGGATATTATACGTAGCACAGAATACTTCTTGTGCAAGAAAAAACATCTGAAGTCAGCATTATGGCAGAAGTAGATAAGTGAATATGTCAGAGAATTTATCTCTATGTTTGCTTGATAAATTCCAGAGTTTACAGCTGTTTGGAGCGAGACAGCTCAAAACCAGCCTAGCAACAGCTATGTGAAGCTGTCATGCCTATAGTGAACCTCTCAAGCCAGGTTGGCAGTTTCACGCATGTAAATTCTTGAAGCTGCGAGTCACGGAATGGGGATACACAGTAACATCATGTTAGACTGGGGTGCCAACCACTTGTCGCCAAGTGAAGTAAAGCACGGAGGAAATACTGTGCGAAAACAGCTCGACGGGATCGTCGTCGAGCAGCAGAGAAGGCAGATATGTTCATCATTCGTTTCGTAAATGCAGATCCATCCAATCACAACAGCATGTGTCGTTCCGTCGTAAATCTCTCTGCGATTGCAGGGACGGAGCTTCCTGTCGTTTCTTCGGGTTACACGATCACAAGACACCACTTTCGCTAGCTGTCCACAGCTTGCTCCAGCTTGCGCGAATTGTCGTGGGTCGTGTGGGGAGGCAGGAGGACGTGTCAATTCGGTCGCATCCAACAAAAGATTTGGGTTTCGCAGATCGTACTGTACACTGGTTGACTCCTTTCGTATCTGTTTTTTCTGGTTTTCCCAATCCGGTGACTTCATTTACAGAGGCTTCAATAATATATCGTTGATTTCTGACGAGGGTGAGCACTCTCGACCAAGCAGAGCGTTCACTCCTTTCACATAAGTTTTCTAACAGTGCGTCGTGTTGCAATAGTGTGCAGGAAAAGTTGGGTGGTGGTTCGAATGGGGCAGCTCGGGATGTTGGTCCACCGCACCCCTCGCAAGGCTGTTGTGCTCTGTAATGGTTCCGTTTTGGTCACGTACTGTTGTAAATAGAAGCATTCGGATGGGGCTCATAACACTCTATACCATAATGAAACACAATGTACCGTGAATAACCTTCGCAATTAGCTGGTTTTTTTTAGCATGTGTTCAAGTAATGAACATACCGTTAGGGTTTCTGGCCTGCCACCTGCAAAAGCAGTTGAGCTTCATGCTCGTTATGAGGTAGCCATAGCGCAGCTTTAGTTGGCTACCGTGAAGTCCGCTCCATTTCCCACCGGCCAGGACTTGCAATGGCGTGTGAGGACGGTAGGACAGCGCGTGCTACAATGTAGGTTGATGACGCTCCATGGCTCGTGCGCAATGCGCTACTCGTGTCACATGCCGCACCCCTGCAAAATGCGTTACCCCTGCGAAATGCGATAGCTTTAGAATTTAGAACGGGGTTATTCTGCGCCTGAGCTGAAATCTAGCCATGGCTCTCGTCGACGATACGAAAATGTATCCGAATCTTGGCGAGAAATGGCGAGAAGAAAGCGAAATGGACACCGACGAGGACGAAGCAGATGACGAACAGGAGGAGGAGGAAGAGGAGGAGGAGGATGACGAGGAGGATGAGGAGACGGAAGGGACAGGCAATCCGGACGAGGCGGGTGAAAAGCGTGTCTTCAACGTACCAACTCCAGCCCCCGGCACGTGGACTCCCGTAACCTTGGGAACACCGGGAGGAAACTCTTTCCGCGTGACTCTAATCGACGATGATTGTAACGAGGTGTCGCCGTGGCACGACGTGCCGCTACATTCATCCAACGGTACATTCAACGCCGTCTGCCTCACCCCCAAGGGCTGCCAGGACGACTACGAGGTCGCCGTTCGCGAACGCCTCGCGCCGCTGCGAATGCGGTTACGCAATAACAAACCCATGCGCTTTGCCGACCCGATCCCGTGGAACTTCGGCGTGTTCCCGCAAACCTGGGCCGACTCGTCCACGCGCTGCCCGGAATTCGGAAACCTACCCTTAGACGACAGTCCCGTCGAGTTAATCGACATAGGTAGCCAGGTCCGGCAGTTAGGCGAAGCCTACGCGGTCGAGCCGCTAGCGGCGTTCGTGCTGGTGGATCCGCGCGGGTTCCAGCTTTCGTGGAAGGTGGTGGGGATCGCGACGGATGACCCTTCTGGTTTTCAGGACCTGAGCGACGAAAACGTGGCGGGGATCGTGCAGACGCTGCTTGATTGCATTCGCGACTGGCTAAGGGCCGGCCGGCACTGCGGAGGTGAGAGAGGCAAGGAAGAGAGGATGTTGAAATGTGGAGTGAGGGGGAGAGGGAGGTTGAAAGGAGAGAGCGAGAAAGGGTGGGGATCGCGACGGACGACCCGTCGGGGTTTCAGGATCTGATCGACGAGAACGTTGCGGGGATCGTGCAGACACTGCTTGACTGCATTCGCGACTGGCTGCGCGCCGGCCGTGACTGCGGAGGTGAGAGGGTGATGGAATGTGGGATGGGAGAGGGAGGCCCGAGAGGAGAGAGCGAGAGTGGGAGAGATTTGTATTAGTGGACCGTTCAGGGGAGGACATTTGGAGTAATAGAGGAAGATCGTTTCAGAACCTGAGCGACGAGAACAAGGCGGGCGTCGTGCAGGCGCTGCTGGACTGCATTTTGATTCCAATGATGCTGCAGGGTGTTTTTGAGAATTCTCAAAAACGTCGTGCAGGCGCTGCTGGACTGCATTTTGATTCCAATGATGCTGCAGGGTGTTTTTGAGAATTCTCAAAAACGTCGTGCAGGCGCTGCTGGACTGCATTTTGATTCCAATGATGCTGCAGGGTGTTTTTGAGAATTCTCAAAAACGTCGTGCAGGCGCTGCTGGACTGCATTTTGATTCCAATGATGCTGCAGGGTGTTTTTGAGAATTCTCAAAAACGTCATGCAGGCGCTGCTGGACTGCATTTTGATTCCAATGATGCTGCAGGGTGTTTTTGAGAATTCTCAAAAACGTCGTGCAGGCGCTGCTGGACTGCATTTTGATTCCAATGATGCTGCAGGGTGTTTTTGAGAATTCTCAAAAACGTCGTGCAGGCGCTGCTGGACTGCATTTTGATTCCAATGATGCTGCAGGGTGTTTTTGAGAATTCTCAAAAACGTCGTGCAGGCGCTGCTGGACTGCATTTTGATTCCAATGATGCTGCAGGGTGTTTTTGAGAATTCTCAAAAACGTCGTGCAGGCGCTGCTGGACTGCATTTTGATTCCAATGATGCTGCAGGGTGTTTTTGAGAATTCTCAAAAACGTCGTGCAGGCGCTGCTGGACTGCATTTTGATTCCAATGATGCTGCAGGGTGTTTTTGAGAATTCTCAAAAACGTCGTGCAGGCGCTGCTGGACTGCATTTTGATTCCAATGATGCTGCAGGGTGTTTTTGAGAATTCTCAAAAACGTCGTGCAGGCGCTGCTGGACTGCATTTTGACTCCAATGTCGACCCAAAACTCGTTCGGCCGCTCCAGGGCTGCATTCGCGACTTAATATTTCAAATTCCTCTATTTTCTTTCCCCTCATACCTCCCAAATTTTCCAGGAGAGAATACCCTCTCGCTGACTCTAAGCTAGGCAAGGGAGGGCAGGACAAGGTGATTCTGCTCTGTCAAAATCCGATTCCATCCTTCTAATTCCTTTTTTTCCCTCTCTTCCGCGGCTACCTTCCTTCACCTCTCACACCCTTATTGCTTCGCAGGTGAAAAGACCAAAGTGTTGACGCTAAGCCAGGGCAAGGCGGGGCAGGATAAGGTGATGGAAATAGTCGCTCAGGCGCACGCAGCGTGGCAGTTGCTGCGTAGCGGGGCAGCTGATAACGAGGATATGGGCGACCTGCTGCTCTCCCCGAACCTGCTGCACCGGAAGCCCCAGCCTGGGCCGGCGGTTCGGATCTTCGCCGAGTCGTACGCGACGGATTCGGCGAATAAGGACAAGGCGGTGATCGACGAGCAGGATATTAAGACGCTCGTGGCGCCGGTGTTTGGGAGTAGTTTCATGGTTGACTCGTGGGATAGCCCGGATGAGTTTGAGGGGGAAGGGGAGAAAGGGGGTGGGGACGGGGAGGATGGGGAGGGGGGGAAAGAGGAGGATTCGGATGATGATTGGGGGATAGGAGCGGGAGGGGGAGCGGGAGCGGGAGCGGGAGCGGGAGCGGGAGCAGGAGCGGGAGGGGGAGGGGGAGGGGGAGCGGGAGGGGGAGGGGGAGGGGGAGGGAGGGGTAGGGGGAGGAGGCACAGTGTCAGTGGCCTGGTCACGGGCGGGGATAGTGATGATAGTGATGCGGAGGAGGGGGAAGAGGGAGCGCGAACCAGGGACAGGGGCGCAGGCGGAGGGGGAGGCGGAGGGGGAAGCGGAGGGGGAGGAGGGGGAGGGTTCGGATTCGGCAGTGTGCGGGGCAGCGGGTCGAAGAAACCGGGCGGCAGTGGGCAGGCAGGGCTGAAAAAGCTGGGCGGCAGCCAGACGGTCAGCCGGTTTCTCGGGCGGCTGCGCCGGCCGTCCCAGGCGTTTGGCAGCGATGCCCTGGGGGGACTAGACCTCTCCGCTATTCAGCAGACGCTCTTTGACAACCCTCAAATCTCTCAAGTCTCTCAAAATTCTCAGAATGTGGAGAAAAAGCGGCCGGCACAGGCGTTCGGGAGCGATGCGCTGGGCGGATTAGACCTGTCCGGTTTGCAGCAGCAGCAGCAGCAGCAGCAGGTGGAAACCGGAGGCAATGCAGCAGGAGGGGCACCAGCAGCGGCGGCGGCAGGGAGGGGGAGAAGTGAGGCTGGGGTTGGCGATTGGGGGAGCGGTGGTGAGGGGTGGAGGGGGGAAGCGGGGAACGGGGAGGATGAGGGGGAGAAAGCGGCGGCGCTGTCCCAGGGGAGTCTGCGCTCCAGGAGTTTCAACTCCGCGTATCCCCCCTCCTTTGATTCCGCCTATGCGTCCTCCTTTTCCGCCCAGGACCAGCTGAACATGCGCCTGGACGGGCTGGGCGGAGGAGGGTTGGCGCAGGGGGGGGCGCAAGGGGTGGCGCAGGGGAGCGCGAGCATGTCGTTTGGGCGAACCCGTAGTGCAGGGTCCGCGGAAGGGGGAAGAGCAGGGGGAGTGGTGGCTTTAGGAGGGACGGGCGGGGCGGGTGGGGCGGAAGGGGAGACAGCAGCCCAGGCGCCGTCCGCGTTATCAGCCTCCCAGTCCCGTTATAGGGCGTGGCGGAACCTTCTAGTGGACGTGCACCTGGGGGGGGGGAGATCCGCCAAGGGGGGCGGAAACGAGGGGCGGGGGTTCCTGGCGGAAGGGGGAGGGGCGGGCGCAGGCATAGGGGCAGGCGCAGGGACAGCAGGGGGAGGCTTTGGTCCCCCGTCCTCCTCCTCCTCCGCCTCCACCCCCTCCCCCCTCCCTTTCCCCCCTCTCCCCCCTTCCGCCCCCCTCTCCGCGTCCTATAACGGCCGCCCCACCCCCCCCGCCTGTGGGGAATCCCTAGAGGAGGTTCCGCGGAGCAGGTCTACCCCTCCAGGCGCCCCCCTTTCCGCCTCTGGGGGGACGGGCGGGGCGGGCGGGGCGGGCGGGGGGAGCGGAGGGGCGGTCAGGCGGAGCTTGCGCCATAGCAGGAGTCATAGCTTCTCGGAAGCTTCTCAGGATGGGGGGGGAGTGGGGGGAGGCGCGCGGAGGGAGGGGGGCAGGGGCGGGGGCGACGCAGGGGGAGAGGCGGAGGGAGGGAGGAGGGCAGGGGGGAGCCTGCATGGAGCGTTTGGGGAGGGCCTCAGGGGGAATGGGGGAGGGTGGGGCGGAAGCGGGGGGTGGGGGGGAAGCGGGGGGTGGGGTGTGAATGCTGGGGGTAGCAGCAGCGGGGGAGGGGGATATGGCGGAACAGGGTGGTTCTCTGCCCCGTATGGGAGCATTGGCGGAGATATAGGCAGCACCAGCGGGAGGAGCAGCAGCAGCAGCCTCAGCAGCAGAGACGGGGGGAGAGAGGCGCGCGAGGGGCGGGAAGGACGTGAGGGGAGGGAGGGGAGGGATGGGCGGGAGAGTAGGAGATCACATAGTATGGTGTTAGAGCCGATTCAAGGGACCCCCAACACAAGCCCTCTACCCGCGGACTCGTTTCCCCTCTCCGCCTTTGCTTCCGCCCTCCCCCCTCCGCCCCTTTCCGCATTCGCCTCCCCCTCAGGGGCCACCACGCCCCCCTATGCCAACCGCTCCCCCCGATCCAGCCCCCTCTCCCGCTCCTCCCGCGCACACTCCCACCTTCCCCCCATTCCCCCGCCCTCCCCCGGATTTTCCCCCGGGGTTACCGCGGGAAGCTCCCCCGGGCTTCCCCCTATCATTCCGCCCACGCACAGCGGGAGCAGCGGGGGGAAGAGCCCCCTGATGAGCCCCCGCGCGCTTCTCTGCGCCAGCAGCCCCCCCAGCAGCAGCAGCCCCCCTGGGTTCAGCCCTGGTGATGAGCTAAGCGCCGGTGGAAAGATAAGCGCCGGTGGGAGCAGTGGTACGCGTGGTGGGAGCGGTGGTGGGAGCAGCGGGAGCAGTGGGAGAAGCAGCAGAGCGGGATCCGTGAGGGGAAACAGCAGTGGCGGAGGGGGGCTGTTTGGGGTACTGATAAGCGGGGGGAGGAGGCTGGGCGGGAGTGTGAGGGAGCGGAGTCGGCACGCGAGGAGGCACTCTGTGGGTGCTGTTGCTGCTGTGCCCCTCCTCTCCCCCATCACTCGAAGCCTCTTTTCCGTTCCTAAGCAGTCCGAGGCAGCAGCAGCGGAGACAGCAGGGGAGACAGGCGGAGCAGGAGCAGGAGCAGGAGGAGGTATGGGAGGAGGAACAGCAGTGGTGGCGGAGGAATGCAAGGGCGGGGCAGCAGCAGCAGCAGGAGCAGGGGGAGCCGAACTGGTGGGAGGCGAGGAAGCAGAGGGGGAACGAGGAAGCCGAGGGGGGACAAGCGTCCCAGTGTCACCAAGAGGCTTCCCCAGGGCGTCAATCAGCGTGAGCAGCGCTATCGGTGGCGCCAGCAGCAGCAATACCAGGCCTGGAAACAGCAGTGACAGCAATGGCAGCGGCGGCAGCGGAGGCGGCAGGAAGGAGAGCGGAGGAGGAGGAGGAGGCGGGTCGGTGGCAGGGTTTGTTCGGCGAGCAGGGCTTTCGTTTCATCGTAGAAGCGCCTCTCACCACGACCTTGGCCTTCCTAAACGCTCCCCAGAGGCAGGAGCAGCAGCAGGGGCAGCAGGAGGGGTGGGAGGATGGGTAGGAGGAGGGGATGGAGGAGGGGTAGGAGGAGGAGGAGGGGCTGGAGGGGTATGGGGGATCGCTGGTAGCAGCAGTGGAAGCCAGGCAGCACCATCTCCCTCCGCTGCTCCCCCCCCGCTGCCGCCCTCCGGCTCTCTCTCCTTCTCCTCCTCGCGCTTCCTGCGGAAGAACAAGACCCCGCCGCTCCACAACCACCACCGCCACCGCAGCACCACCAGCGAGGATTTCCGGTCCTTCCATCACTCGTTACAGTCCCAGCCTCAGTCGCAAACCTCGTCTGCCGCCCATTCCCCTGCCGCACGGTCCCCTGCTGCTCGCCCTGTGCCTGTACGCTCTTTATCCGTCCAGTCAATGTCAGTTGCTCGCTCCCTGTGTGCTCACTCCTCTACTGGCCCCTCCCCTGCTTCAAGCACTGGCTCTGCTGCATGCGGAGACGGTTTCGAGGCGGAAAGCTCAGGTGGAGAGCGGTTGGGAGGGTTGCAGGTGGCGGTTCACCCGTCAGATAAACAATGCGAGTCTGAGAACGTGTTTCAGCAGTTTCACCTGCAGTTGCAGCTAGAGCAGGTTCAGCAGGAGCAGCAGCAGCAGCAGCAACAGCAGGAGGAGCAGGCGCAGCAGCAACGGAACACCCAGCACCCCCAGCAGCCCCAGCAGCCCCAGCAACAGCAGCAGCAGCAGCAGCAGGCAGAGCCAAAGCCGCGGCAGCACCGGCGCCTCATGTCCCTCCCCAGCACTCCAGACATGAAAGGCCTCCCCCTCCCCTTCACCAAACACCGCTCCCCCTCCCCTCATCGCCGCTCCCCCTCCCCTCCGCCTGCCCACCCGCTACCCACCGCGCCTCACCCGCCTGTTTCCCCCTGTGGTGCCGACCCAAACCGCACTGGTTCGGACGCGTCAGGTGCGGAGCCAGGCTCGCACGGAGGTTCGGGTGCTGGATCAGGCTCGGGAGGCGGGGTGTGGCCGTGGTCCCGGCCGTCTGTGAAGCTTCGGCTCCCAACCATGCGGTCTGGACGCAAGGGGCGGGATGGGCGGGGGGATGGGGTGGGAGAGGAGGGGGAAGCAAAGGCGGGAGATGGTTGGGGAGAGGTTGGGGGAGATGGTGGAAGCGAATGGGGGAGAGGAGGGATAGAAGGATGGGCTGAAGAAGGGGAGAGAAGGGGTTCTCTGGATGCTTTTCAGGCAACTGCCGGTGCTGTGGCTGCTGCAGGTGCAGCTGCTGCTGCTTCTGCTGCTTCTGCTGCTGCAATTGCTGTTGAATCTCCTACCCGCACTTTATCTGCTGGGATGGCTGGATCAGACGGCGCATCGCCAGAAGCCGAACCGAAAGTTGCTGCCACAACTGTTACAGGTGCTACCGCTGACTCTGCTGCTACAGCTAACACTGCTGCCACGGCTATTACTGCTGCTACGGCTGCTACAGCTACTAACTCATTTCCCGTCTCTTCCTCCGTAACTTCGCCCCTCTCATCCCCGCCTGACCACACCAGCACACTTCATGCCCCCCCTCCTCCCCTTGCCTCCTCCCCTTCCCGTCACTACTCAAAGCCCCCCTCCCCTTCCCTTACCCGCTCCCTGTCCCCGCACCCACCGCGTCCCCCCTCTCCCCTTGTCCCTCGCACGCCCTCTGCTCCTCTCACCCACAGCCCCTCTCCTCCTCCTCCTCACCACAGCTCGTCTCCTGCTCCCCGCACCCCGTCTCCTCCTCCCCCTCGCACCCCTTCTCCTCCTCCTCCTCACATCTCTCCTCCTCTTCCCCACAGCGCCTCCCCTCCCCACAGCTCTTCCCCGCCCCTCAACCCCCCCCATCGAGCCCAGAGCGCCGCCCGATCCTTCCTTCTACAGGAGCTGGGGGGTAGGCGCCCCCAAGGCTTCCTCCGAACCTCCAGCGTAGCCTCGGCACTGCCAGGCTCGGCGAGCCTAGGTCCGGACCAAGCCTCGCCTGAAAGGGTCAGAAACAGAGGCAGGGACAGGGGTGGTGATGACAGCGGTTCTGGTGGTAACCAGATCAGTGGTAATCAGATCAGTGGTAACCAGATCAGTGGTAATCAGATCAGTGGTAACCAGATCAGTGGTAATCAGATCAGTGGTAACCAGATCAGTGGTAATCAGATCAGTGGTAACCAGATCAGTGGTAACCAGATCAGTGGTAACCAGATAAGTGGTAACCAGATCAGTGGTAGCTCCCCTCCTCGCCCCCCGTCGTGTGAGAGAAATCAACGGTCCAAATCCCCTTTGAGCCGGCTTTATCGGAGCAGCAGCAGAGGGAGGGAGAGGGCTGGGAGTGCCGAGGGGGGCAGCAAAGGAAGGGAGGAAGGTAGGTTTGCAGAGGGGAGCAGGGAGAGAGAGAAGGTCCATTCGAGTGACACGAATCCCAAATCTTCGGATAAGGATCAGACAGTAAAGGCAGAACATGGAAGAGAGCAGGAGGTGTGTGGGGAAGAGGAGAGCAGGGGAGAGAAGACCGGGGCTGGGAGCGGGGCAGCAGAGGGCAGAGGAGAGAGCAGAGAAGAAAGCAGAGCAGAGAGTGAATTTGAGGTCCCTGCTTCTCCCTCTCTCTCGGTTTCTCTCACGTTTTCCCGGAAGCTGCCTGTGGGGAGTTGCAGTGCTGCTGACGGGGCTGGGAAGGGGGGTGAAGCAGCAGGTGTTGGTACAGCCACATTCCCATCGCCTGCTGCTGTTACAGTCGGATTGGTGGGAGGAGAAGGAGAAGGAGAAGAGGTGGAAGGAATTGGGGGAGTAGAAGAGGCAGTAGAGGCGGTGGGAGAAGGGGAGATGGATCATCTTTTGTCGCGTTTCCACCATCAGGCACAGTGGGAAGGCAAAGACGGGCAGAACTTACGGGAACCTGAGCAGCAGCAGCAGCTAGAAGCTTCTTTTCTGGCTTCCTCTCATCCACCCTACAATCCTCATCACCATCACCAACAGCAACAGCAGCAGCACCAGCGCCAGCACCAGCACCATAGGCGAACCATTTCTACACCTTCCAGCCCCAAAGGTCGCTCCAGCAAACATACCGAGGAGGCTTCTAAAGGGGATAACAGTGAGTTTCCTTGGGTGCCTAAGGTACAGAACAGGGTATATGAGCTTCCCCACGCAAGGAAACTAGAGCTTAAGACTGGGCTCCTCCGAACCTCCTCTGACGCGCCGAAGCTCAACCCGAACCAGAGGAGCCCACGGGGGAAGGACGGAGGAGGCTCGGGAGGAGGTTCCGCGTCGAGGTTCATGCGCAGGTTCGGGAGTGACAAGGAGAGAGGCTCAAATGGAAAGGAGTGGATGGAAGGTGGGAGGGAGGATGGGATGGGTAATTCAGAGGCTGGGAGCGAGGAGGAGGACGAGGAAGAGGGGGAGAAGAGGGGTTGGAAAGATAAGGACGAGCAAGAAGAGGAGGGAGAGGAGGAGGAAGAGGAGGAGGATTACGAGGCAGCAGCGCGGGGATGGAAGGGTCGCAGTCGCACTCTGGACAGTACCGATCGAAGGAAGCCGCCGTTGCTACTTGCACCTGCCCACACAGACAGTCGTCAGCATCATCACCACCACTCAAGTAATACTCGTGACCCCCGCCGTGACGGTTCGCCTCCCCATTCCCCTTTCCGCTCCCCGTCCCCGTCTCCTCGGAACCGCTTCAAGTCCCCTTTGAAAGGCCGCGAGGGGAGAGACTGGTCACCCCCTGCACCTCAGCCAAGGAAAGAGCTCTCCGGCAGCAGTGTGGCTCAGCGACGCGCTTCTCTCTTTGCCCTTCCCGGCGCTGCTGCTGTTGCTGCCGCTGGTGCTGCTTCTATGGATGATGGGACGTCGTCTAAAGGCCGAAAGGGCTCGTTCGGAAACCGGGGTGGCTCGTTCAAGGACCGGAGTGGGAGGATGGAGGATGATGAGGAATCTAGAGACCTCGGTGGGTCGACCAGAGGCCGAAGCAGATCGTCTCGTGATCTCAGTGGCTCGTTTGCCGAGCCTGGTGGCTCGTTTGCCGAACCTGGTGGGCCGTTCGGGGAGCGGGGCGGCTCGTTCAAGGAACGGGAGCGGTATGGCGGGGCAGGGCACACGGAGCAAAGGCCGTCGTTCAATGGCCGCACCCGCACCCCACCACGTGTCCCTGCCTCCCCTGCTGCTGCCGCCGCTGCTGCCGCCGCCGTCGCTGCTGTTGCTGCTGACCAGAAGGAATCTGGAGTTGCCTGGGAGAGGAGTGGCGAGAGAGGGAGAGTGGGATCGGGAGGTGGGTCTGGGAACTGGGGTGGGAATCGGGGGATGCGGTCCCGTTCCCCTTCCCCTGCTCCTCCTCCTGCTCCTGCTATTCCTCCTGCTCCTGCGATTGCTCCTCCTTCTCTCCCCCATGCTCGAGTTCGGCCTCTTTCTGTTGATCTCTCGGGGTATCAGCACCAGGAAGCTTCCAGAAACAAGGCTTGGCAGGTTGGCGAAGGGGAGAAGCAGAGGGTAGGGGAGAGAGGGTGGGAGAGAGAGGGTGTGAGGGGGGAGGGAGGGGGGCGGAGGGAGGGTGGTAGACGAAGTGTGGATTGGGACCAGCGGGGATGGAATAGGGATCGAAGGCATGGGGATAGAGAGGTTGGGATTAGGGAGGGAGGGTGGGAGGGAGACAGGGGCAGGAGTCAGGGGGAAGGAGGAGAATGGGAGGTGGTGGATAGAGGGGGTGGGAGGGAGGCGGGAGGTCGAGCTAGTGTAGACCTTTGGAATAGACCGGGCTCAAGGGAGGGAAGAAGGGAGAATGGAGGGGGGGGTAGGCAGAGCGAGAGCAGTGTTACGCGCCGCGGGAGTGAAGGGAAGGAGTTGTGGGGTGTGTTGGACGGTGACAAGGGTGGAGAGAGGGGTGGAGAGAGGGGTGGAGAGGGCTATGGGCAGAGAGAGGGGGTAGTAGTGAGTAGGCAGCGGGTTGAACTGGGTCAGAGGGAGATGGAGGAGGAAAGCGAGGAAGCAGAGGAGGACGAGGAAGGAGAAGAGGAAGAGGAAGACGAGGAGGAAGAGGAGGAGGAGGAAGAAGAGGGGGAGGAGGAGGAGGAAGAAGAGGAAGAAGACGAAGAAGAAGAGGAGGAAGGGGAGGATGAGGAAGAAGAAGATGAAGAGGAAGAGGAAGACGAGGAGGAGGACGATGAGGATGATGATGAGGAGGAGGATTATACCGAGGGGGAAGAGGAGGACGAAGATGGTGACAGTGATGGTTCAAGAGTGGAGCGACAGAGGGGCAGAGGGGCGTCTAAGAAGCCAGAGCCCAGGCGGTATGTTTGGGATATAATCACACCCGATACAGCCTCCTTCGCCACCGCTCCTTCTTCATCCACCAACCAATCACGTACTCAAGGAGGCAAAGGGGGCAATCAGGGAGGCGGCAGGGAGAGGAGGGAGGGGGCGAGCAGGGAGTGGGGTAGGGGGGAGGAGGTGAGTGCTGGTGCTCGGCCTTGGCCCGGATCGCAACAGGCTCAAACCTCAGGAGCCCATCAGAGCAGCGGCAAGGCTGCTGGCAGTAGCAGTCTTGGCTACAACCGCAGCAGCTATAACCAGGGACAGCAAGGTGGTAGGAAATGGTAGTTGGTTATGTCGATCACTTATTTATTTATATTGCAAATGTTCTCTTGCTTTGTCGTAAACTGCTGATGCGTGTTTAGGAATTCGCCCTTCATTGGTATCAAATGCTTTTCAGTATATATATACTCTTTGCGTGCTCAGCTCGGGTGTGTATCATTTGAAAAGGATTTTATCCGGGAGATCTACTAAACCTGCTAGGCTCCCCGACTAGTACCATAACATCGAGTCTGATCGTTGCGCGGTCGCCCTTCGACAACACGAAACACGGTGAGAAGCTTCGTACCAGCAAGGAAATGTCCGCTGATATTTCCGAGTCCATCCTGATGAAGATTTCTCGATCTGCCCAGCTGGCGTAAAAATCCATTTGAGGATGGATGAACGTCCCACAGATACACGAGCAGCTGGAAAATATGCGATCATCCAAAAATGAAATACCATACCATGCCTGGCCACTGCCGCAATCAGGTTCTCGTTCTGCCCGGGTCTGCAACGTGCCGAGACGCGCGCGCACATGGCGCATACCAATGGACGAAAGTTGGTGAGAATACATAGGCGTTAATTTCGGTGCAGTTTTAATATAGCACGGTTTGGGCAGACATTTACAGGTTTTTGTTGGTTTTAGCATTTCATGGCATCGTGATTTTGGAAATTGAAATCGCGCCGTTCCACCCTTGTCCAGCCAGGCAAGGTTGCAGGAGGACCAGTAACAGGAACCGACTGGAGCGCAAGAGAGAGGAAGAGCAAAGAGGGAGACAAACGCAGCTCGAGGAGCAAGCTCTGCCAGAAACAACTGGGCGTAACTGGACGGTCTGGTCCCCCCGATCGCTCGTCGCATCTTTCTCACCTCCACCAACATTCTCCACGAGCATATATATCTTCAAATATCAGTGCTTCGGCAGCATTGAAACTAAATCAGTGTCCACGACAACACGAGTCTGCTCTCAGCTGTATTCGTTCGCCGCTAGTAGAGTATTGCTTTCTATCCGGGATAGAAAAAACCGGCGAGTGCGGCATTTGCTAGCGGGTAGATTTTTAACCGACGCAACAAACCACTCATTTTCTTCCAGAGAACCGAAGCCAGAGTCTCTGCGAGCAAAAGGTTTCTGAGAGAGTGAGAGAGCTCGAGCCGCCCCGAATCATGGCGCCGCAGATCTATAACTTCACGCCGTGGCAGTCGCTGGTGGGCGGCGTAATCATCGGCATCGCCGCCTCGCTGCACCTCCTCACCACCGGCCGCATCATGGGCGCTTCGGGCGTCGTCAACGGTAAGTTTCCCAGACGGCGGTGAGTATCGTACTCTCGATTCGTCTAAAAAAAAGCATCGCCGCGTCGCTTCATCTCCTCGACCACCGGTCGTATCATGGGCGCGTCAGGCGTCGTCAACGGAAAGTGTCGCGTGCAGTCTCACGTCAATCTCTGGCTCTCTCCCATCGAGGCTGGCATTTCTTCGTAGCTAAATATATGCACCTTTTAACCACGTTTGAAGCATCCGATGCAAGACTCCTGTCTGAAAGTTGACCTTTTTAACCACCATGCTGAAGGAAGAACCATCTTGCTTCTCGCCCAAGGTGACTTGAGTCGACTAAAACATCATCTTGCTTCTCGCCCAAGGTGACTTGAGTCGACTAAAACATCATCTTGCTTCTCGCCCAAGGTGACTTGAGTCGACTAAAACATCATCTTGCTTCTCGCCCAAGGTGACTTGAGTCGACTAAAACATCATCTTGCTTCTCGCCCAAGGTGACTTGAGTCGACTAAAACATCATCTTGCTTCTCGCCCAAGGTGACTTGAGTCGACTAAAACATCATCTTGCTTCTCGCCCAAGGTGACTTGAGTCGACTAAAACATCATCTTGCTTCTCGCCCAAGGTGACTTGAGTCGACTAAAACATCATCTTGCTTCTCGCCCAAGGTGACTTGAGTCGACTAAAACATCATCTTGCTTCTCGCCCAAGGTGACTTGAGTCGACTAAAACATCATCTTGCTTCTCGCCCAAGGTGACTTGAGTCGACTAAAACATCATCTTGCTTCTCGCCCAAGGTGACTTGAGTCGACTAAAACATCATCTTGCTTCTCGCCCAAGGTGACTTGAGTCGACTAAAACATCATCTTGCTTCTCGCCCAAGGTGACTTGAGTCGACTAAAACATCATCTTGCTTCTCGCCCAAGGTGACTTGAGTCGACTAAAACATCATCTTGCTTCTCGCCCAAGGTGACTTGAGTCGACTAAAACATCATCTTGCTTCTCGCCCAAGGTGACTTGAGTCGACTAAAACATCATCTTGCTTCTCGCCCAAGGTGACTTGAGTCGACTAAAACATCATCTTGCTTCTCGCCCAAGGTGACTTGAGTCGACTAAAACATCATCTTGCTTCTCGCCCAAGGTGACTTGAGTCGACTAAAACATCATCTTGCTTCTCGCCCAAGGTGACTTGAGTCGACTAAAACATCATCTTGCTTCTCGCCCAAGGTGACTTGAGTCGACTAAAACATCATCTTGCTTCTCGCCCAAGGTGACTTGAGTCGACTAAAACATCATCTTGCTTCTCGCCCAAGGTGACTTGAGTCGACTAAAACATCATCTTGCTTCTCGCCCAAGGTGACTTGAGTCGACTAAAACATCATCTTGCTTCTCGCCCAAGGTGACTTGAGTCGACTAAAACATCATCTTGCTTCTCGCCCAAGGTGACTTGAGTCGACTAAAACATCATCTTGCTTCTCGCCCAAGGTGACTTGAGTCGACTAAAACATCATCTTGCTTCTCGCCCAAGGTGACTTGAGTCGACTAAAACATCATCTTGCTTCTCGCCCAAGGTGACTTCAGTCGACTAAAACACCATCTTGCTTCTCGCCCAACCGCCGCTCCCTGTGCTCCCGCAGGCGTCATCACCGGCGTGCCGGATTGGGCTTGGCGCGCGGTGTTCCTCGCGTCGATGACGGCCGTCGGATCGTTCACGATGCTCATCGACAGCGGGCACGCGTTCGGGTCCAAGCCCCCGTCGGTGGGCGACGATCCGGGTCTCGCGCTCATTCTGCCCATCGCCGCTGGGCTGCTCTGCGGCTTCGGATCGCAGGTACAACTTCAACTTGTCGGTTCAACCCGCCGCTGTCCGTGCTAATAACTTATTGAATGTCCATCGCCGCCATGCTCTATCACACAGCCCGCCGCCGTTCGCGCTATTTTTGAGTCGACTCAAAAAGTCCCTCCCGTGGGCTTCCCTGATCACACAGCCCGCCGTCATCCCTCTCAGAGGCTCTTCTCCCCCTACTCCTCCCCTTTTCCCCCGCTCAGTTGGGCAGCAGGTGCACGTCCGGCCATGGCGTGTGCGGCTCGCCGCGCTTCTCCCTTCCGCAGCTTCCCACCTCCCACATCTCAATCCCCTTTCCCCATTTACCCATCTCTTTCCCCTCCCCCCCCCCCCCAGCTCGGCAGCGGGTGCACGTCTGGCCACGGCGTGTGCGGCTTGCCGCGCTTCTCCCTGCGCAGCGCAGTAGCTGTCGCCACCTTTATGGCTACAGGCGCCGCTACATCCATGACCCTCGGCGCCATCGCCACCGGCGCTACAGCCGCGAACCGTCCCCCTGGCGAGCCCATCCCAGCGACCAACACGTGGCTGCTCGTGCTGGCGGTTTGTGCTGCAGCCGTGGGAGCTATTATCGCGTACAGATGCCCGTTCTGTAACGAGTGTCTTGACACTGGTGCTGCTGCTGGTGCTACTGGTGGGGCTGCTGGGGAGTCTGCATCGCTTTCCAAGGATGCTGGCAAGCTGGCCTGCTCCAGTGGGGTGAGCAACGGTGCAGGGATATTGAGCTCGGTATGATGGGATATCGGATAGAGGATTGGGGATTGGGATGGGCTGAGTGACTTGGGATTACTGCTGCCAAGAGAGGATTGTATGCTCTGTGTGCTGTTTCACGGGCGGTTGCCATGCCTAAAGCTGTGTGTGTGTGTGTGTGTGTGTGTGTGTGTGTGTGTGTGTGTGTGTGTGTGTGTGTGTGTGTGTGTGCTGCAAGCAACAAGCTCTCAACTATCCCTGCCCTTCCTGTGTCCCCCTGTCTCCCTGTACGCCCCATGACTGCCCTCCTGATCCCCCCTCCCTTGCTCCTGCCCTCCCAGGCCTGCTCCCTCTCCTCGTCCGCGCCTGCCTCCTCCTCAGCACCCTCCTCCTGCTGTTTTGTACTGCTCCACCCCATCAACGTGCTGCGAGCGTCGCTTGTCACGGGAGCCATCTTCGGCATCGGACTCGCACTCAGCGGCATGTAAGGCTCCCCCTTCCCTACGCCATGCTCTCTCTTCCCTTCAGCACCTACTTCCGAACTGCGCCCATGCTCTTTCCCTCTTCCTCCCCCCCCCCCCCCCCTCCCACCCCTCAATTAGTTCTCCATTCGTCATATATGCCTTCCTGTATGTTTGTACCCCAAACCTTCTACCTGTAACCTCACGCCTCTGCCCTACTCATAGGTAGACTCCCTCCTACAAGGTAGAGGGCTTTCTGGGAGGGACTGCACCATTGCCTTTGCCACGGTTCTGGCCTCTTCCACCCCCTCTCATCCCCCATTCCACCCCCCTTACATCCCATCCCCCATACAGGTGCAATCCATACAAGGTAAAGGACTTTCTAGACCCAGTGCACGGGTGGGACCCCAGCCTCGCCTTTGTGATGGGCGGTGCAGTGGCAGTCAACGTCGTCACCTTCCGCTTCATCCTCGCGCGCCCCAACCCGCTCTTTGACACCAAGTTCTTCGTCCCCTCCCGCAACAACATCACCTGGGAGCTTGTGGTTGGGTCGGCAATCTTTGGCATCGGTAAGCTTGTAGTTTCCCTCTTCCTTTTCTTTCTTTGTTTTGTTTCTTTCCTCTGCACTCTCGTATTATGTTCGTTTGCCACTCCATTCGCCCTGAGTCTCCACTCCTGTTGCACCTCCACCCGGCGACAACCTTTCTCCCAGGTTGCAATCTACCTGGCTGCTGCCCAGCTTTTGAGTCAACTAAACAATCTTTCTGCATTTCCCGGTTCACTCCACGTGTGCCTTGTTTTCAGGTTGGGGTCTAGCCGGCTACTGCCCAGCTCCGGCATTTGTCAGCCTATCTACTGGGAACGTGAGTCAGTCAGCCTCATACTCCACCCATTAACTCGATGCTACACCGTCTTTCGTTCTCTGCCTCTCCCCTTCCTCTCCACCCCTCTCTGATCGGTGCCCCCCCCATCCGTATCTGCTTCCATTCTTGCTCATCTGAACTCTGCAACTGATTCATCCTGGCTAGGATCCCTTTGTTTCCCTCTCCTTGTCTCCCTTAGCCAGAGGGCACCTGCAAGCCTAAACTTGCATCGTTCCGACATTCCTCGTTTTCCCACACTTGCAGGTGCCGGTGATTGCATGGGTGTCCTCCCTAGTTGTCGGCATGGGCTTGTATCAGCTGTTTATGAAGCTGCTAAAGCGGTGGGCACCTCATATTATCAGTGGAAGTGGCTGCGTAAGAAACGAAGCTGCTGGGTCAGGAGTTGCTCCCCTTGCCAGCACCTCTTTGTCTCCAGAGCGTGATCAAAAGGAGACTGTGTAACGGTGTCTCAGCATTATTTCTATTTGCGAGATGAAGCTTCGTTGAACAGACTTGAATTTTTGGTGATTTCATATTGGACTCGAATAAGCATAATAGATGCAAACTGTTACACGCTTCACTGTTTTCTTCAGCATTCGAATTCCGATGCAATTTTACCGAGTCTGTTTCCTCTGGAAATGCCGGATGTGTGAAAGAAATGTCTAGTTTCTTCGAGTGCGCTTCCAGGGCTACCTAGTCTCTAGAATAAAAGATAAGCCAAGGACTAGCGAAGGTTAGACTTGTTTACAGTTACTCTCTCCTTAGCTGGCTGTACAGAAAATATATAAAAAGTGGCCAGATTCTTCCTCTGTTGGTAACATTTGTCCGTGCGATCTGCGAACCGTCGCACGACGTCGCCACGTACTCATGGCGACAGCCGGTCGTCGTGCGCGTGTGGTAGTGGACGTCGTATCCGACACCGTTTGTCCGTGGTGCTTCGTCGGCAAGCGTAACCTGGATAAGGCCATCGCAGAATTTGCTGACGTCGCGGACGTTGAGGTGGGTAGCTCTATAACGAGTCCAAATGTCTCAAAAGAAGGGCAATTAGGGTCGGAAGACTGATGGGATGTATTTATGTGTCTGCTGAGTCGCGTGTCAGATTCCATGGCTTGCATTCAGCTCAATGTAAGCAACCAACATACATGACCTTTTTGTTACCATGTTACAGACCCGTGTTGCAGATTCGTTATAGAAGCCTTGTACAGTACAGAGAGCAACGAGCAAGCTGAACAAATGTTAACCCCCCCGGGGCCATGGTATACGCGTCACTGCATTACTATGTTACCATATTACACCCATGTATCGTAACCCTGACGTCACAGGTTCGGTGGCAGGCGTTTCAGCTGAACCCCAAGGCGTCCAAGGAAGGCGTGAGCAAGCTCGACCTCTACCGCTCTCTATTTGGGGACCGAATGCCGGCCATCACTGCCCGTATGACGGGCGTGTTCGACGAACTTGGTCTCAAATACAGCCTCGGCGGACTCACGTGAGTGTGTTAGCTGGTGGCATCAGGTGGTGGCTTGCTGGTGAGATGATCTGAATGCCGGCCACCTCCGCGCGCATGTCATCCGTGTTTGTGGAGCTGGGTCTCAAATACAGCCTCGGCGGACTCACGTGAGTCTCTTAGCTGGTAGCTGGTGAGGTGGCAGGTGGAAGTATATGAGGCTGTGCTGAGAGCACAAGGCTGGTGAGATGAACTGAATGCCGGCCATCACTGCGCGCATGACATCCGCGTTTGTGGAGCTGGGTCTCAAATACAGCCTCGGCGGACTCACGTGAGTCTCTTAGCTGGTAGCTGGTGAGGTGGCAGGTGGAAGTATATGAGGCTGTGCTGAGAGCACAAGGCTGGTGAGATGAACTGAATGCCGGCCATCACTGCGCGCATGACATCCGCGTTTGTGGAGCTGGGTCTCAAATACAGCCTCGGCGGACTCACGTGAGTCTCTTAGCTGGTAGCTGGTGAGGTGGCAGGTGGAAGTATATGAGGCTGTGCTGAGAGCACAAGGCTGGTGAGATGAACTGAATGCCGGCCATCACTGCGCGCATGACATCCGCGTTTGTGGAGCTGGGTCTCAAATACAGCCTCGGCGGACTCACGTGAGTCTCTTAGCTGGTAGCTGGTGAGGTGGCAGGTGGAAGTATATGAGGCTGTGCTGAGAGCACAAGGCTGGTGAGATGAACTGAATGCCGGCCATCACTGCGCGCATGACATCCGCGTTTGTGGAGCTGGGTCTCAAATACAGCCTCGGCGGACTCACGTGAGTCTCTTAGCTGGTAGCTGGTGAGGTGGCAGGTGGAAGTATATGAGGCTGTGCTGAGAGCACAAGGCTGGTGAGATGAACTGAATGCCGGCCATCACTGCGCGCATGACATCCGCGTTTGTGGAGCTGGGTCTCAAATACAGCCTCGGCGGACTCACGTGAGTCTCTTAGCTGGTAGCTGGTGAGGTGGCAGGTGGAAGTATATGAGGCTGTGCTGAGAGCACAAGGCTGGTGAGATGAACTGAATGCCGGCCATCACTGCGCGCATGACATCCGCGTTTGTGGAGCTGGGTCTCAAATACAGCCTCGGCGGACTCACGTGAGTCTCTTAGCTGGTAGCTGGTGAGGTGGCAGGTGGAAGTATATGAGGCTGTGCTGAGAGCACAAGGCTGGTGAGATGAACTGAATGCCGGCCATCACTGCGCGCATGACATCCGCGTTTGTGGAGCTGGGTCTCAAATACAGCCTCGGCGGACTCACGTGAGTCTCTTAGCTGGTAGCTGGTGAGGTGGCAGGTGGAAGTATATGAGGCTGTGCTGAGAGCACAAGGCTGGTGAGATGAACTGAATGCCGGCCATCACTGCGCGCATGACATCCGCGTTTGTGGAGCTGGGTCTCAAATACAGCCTCGGCGGACTCACGCGAGTCCATGCACCAGGGTGTTGCCTGGTGCATTTGGTTAGGTTTGAGGTGTGTGTCAGGTCAATTTTCTCCGCCCTTCCCCCTCTCTACCCTCTCTTCTCGTCTTCCCTTCTCCTCCCCTCTTTCCGCTCCCCTTGCTGCTCCTCTCACTCCCAGAGGCAACACGTTGGACAGCCATCGTCTAATCGCCCTGGCAGGGATGAGGGACAGGGAGAAGGGCGGTGAGCCGGCCGGCTCGTCAGTGCAGCAGCGAGTGGTGGAGGAGCTGTTCCTGGACTACTTCACTCGAGAGAAGTTCATCGGCGACAGGTGAGGAGGGGGTTTAAGTGGAGGTGGGTAACTTCTCGTGGTGCGTGACGTGAAGGCGCTTGCAATCTTATCTTTGCAGCACCGGGTGGTGGAGGAGCTGTTTCTGGATTACTTCACACGAGAGAAGTTCATCGGTGACAGGTGAGGAAGGATTCACATTCACAGAGCATGGGCGACGTGCGCAGTCAGTGGGTGGAGGAGTGATCGGATCACTGCAGCACCGGGTGGTGAAGGAGTGATCGGATCACTGCAGCACCGGGTGGTGAAGGAGTGATCGGATCACTGCAGCACCGGGTGGTGAAGGAGTGATCGGATCACTGCAGCACCGGGTGGTGAAGGAGTGATCGGATCACTGCAGCACCGGGTGGTGAAGGAGTGATCGGATCACTGCAGCACCGGGTGGTGAAGGAGTGATCGGATCACTGCAGCACCGGGTGGTGAAGGAGTGATCGGATCACTGCAGCACCGGGTGGTGAAGGACTGATCGGATCACTGCAGCACCGGGTGGTGAAGGAGTGATCGGATCACTGCAGCACCGGGTGGTGAAGGAGTGATCGGATCACTGCAGCACCGGGTGGTGAAGGAGTGATCGGATCACTGCAGCACCGGGTGGTGGAGGAGTGATCGGATCACTGCAGCACCGGGTGGTGGAGGAGTGATCGGATCACTGCAGCACCGGGTGGTGGAGGAGTGATCGGATCACTGCAGCACCGGGTGGTGGAGGAGTGATCGGATCACTGCAGCACCGGGTGGTGGAGGAGTGATCGGATCACTGCAGCACCGGGTGGTGAAGGAGTGATCGGATCACTGCAGCACCGGGTGGTGGAGGAGTGATCGGATCACTGCAGCACCGGGTGGTGGAGGAGTGATCGGATCACTGCAGCACCGGGTGGTGGAGGAGTGATCGGATCACTGCAGCACCGGGTGGTGGAGGAGTGATCGGATCACTGCAGCACCGGGTGGTGGAGGAGTGATCGGATCACTGCAGCACCGGGTGGTGAAGGAGTGATCGGATCACTGCAGCACCGGGTGGTGAAGGAGTTGTTTCTGAACTACTTCACTCAGGAGAAGTTCATTGGTGACAGGTGGGGCGTGGTTGTCACCAGAGTTGGGTAACTTTACAAGGAGTCTCAACGTACAAGCAATGTTGAGAGCAAGCTGGCCACTGCAGCACCGAGTGGTGAAGTGGAGGAGCTGTTTTTGCATTACTTCGTTCGAGAGAAGTTCATTCGCAAAAGGTTGGTGGTTTTTCAAGCTGCTTGCCAGCTATATTCTGCAGCAGGGTGCCTTGACAACCCGCAGTCAAGCCAGAGGTGATGAGAGAAGCGATGCATTGCTCTTTTCTCCTTTTTGATTGCTCTTGTGTCCACTCCAGACAAGTGCTGTTGGCCGCGGCGGAAAGGGCCGGGTTGCAAGGAGCAGCAGAGTGGCTTGACAACCCACAGTCAGGCTTGCAAGAGGTGAGGGGTAATCTCAAGTATGCATGGGTGGATGAATGGATCGTTATGTGTGTGATGGGCATATGTGTGCTGCTGGCAGCAGCAGAAAGGGCTGGGTTGCAAGGAGCAGCAGAGTGGCTTGACAACCCACAGTCCGGCTTGCAGGAGGTGAGGGATGAACTCAAGGATGCATGGGTGAATGGATGGATGGATAAGTGTGTGGAGGGCGTGTGGTGGTCGTGTGGCGGGCGTGTGGTGGGCGTGTGGAGGGCGTGTGGTGGGCGTGTGGAGGGCGTGTGGTGGGCGTGTAACCGGTGATTGGTGGAGGGCGAGGGTTTTGTATGCCTTTCAGTGATTCACAATTTCGTGCGAGAGGGCCTATGTTGCCTGTGAGGCTGTGAATCAAAAACCCTCAGAAACATAGGACCTATGTTGCCTGTGACGATTTTTGAGGCGCCTAAAAAAAAGTGATTCACAATTTCTTGGCAGAGGAATGTTTCGTGGCCTATGTTGCCTGTGAGGCTGTGATGCGTGAATTGCACGTCTGGAGGTGTGAGTGGCATGCACATGGTTTGTACATCATATTTGACTTTTGAGACGTCTCAAAAGACATCATATTTGACTGAGATATGGATGTGATGTGGATGGTGTGAATGGCACGTGTATGCAAGTCATGTGATTGGCACTTGAATTAATGACATCTGTATGGCATGTGTATGGCATATGTCATGTATGACAGGTGGAGGCTGAATTGCAACGCTACCGACCACGAGTCTCAGGCGTCCCACATTTCATTGTAAGCTGCTTCAACACAAACTGTTTTTTTTTTGCGTAAACGGTTGTATGCTGCTTGGAAGGTGATTCCCCACGTTCGATCTTCAGGCTCTACATTGTCCTGTTGTCTCCTCCTGTTTCTTTGCTCACACACACCCGCTTCACTGCACTCCCGTCCCTATGTCTGCCTTTCCCACAAGTAGGCGGTCAAGAGTTTTCAGTGTGCCCAGTTTTAAGAAAAAATCAAAATTATGCTCACACTCCCCCATCTCTGCTCTGCCCACAGATTGGCGGGCAGGAGTTTTCAGGTGCCCAACCCCCTGCTGTTCTGCTGGAAGCTCTGAAATCTGCAGCATCTGCTAATTCTTGATTATTGCTGCCCGGCAACAAGGCAGGTCTCATTGTGTTCTGGCTGATGCCATGCCAAGAGTAAGTGTGTTCATACTGCTCGCCACCGCTGAATGCCCCAAGCCCCTTATGTTGCGAAAGTAGATATATAGCATGTGTGAAAGATGGTAGGATAGGACTACCATAATAGAAGCAATAAAATTGTTTGTATTTGCTCTGTTGGAGTGAGGAGGGGAGGGTTTTGTTTTTCTCCTGTCAGCACTGTATTGGATCAAAACTTGTGTGGTCCAATTCTCTTCGAGGTACAGCTTTAGTCTAAAACATTCTCCCATTGATATAATAATGTGCAGCTGTAAATTCACAGAGTGGAAAAAAAAAAAAAAAAAAAACACCAGAGATGTCTAAAATGTTCAAGACACTGGAGGGAAACAACCGCAAGCTATGCTCATCCTATAGAGGGGATACATGTACAGCGGACACCGCAGCAGTCGCTCTATATACCTTCCAGCAACCTCACTTCAGGCCCACCATACACCCAGCTCTATATACCTTCCAGCAACCTCACTTCAGGCCCACCATACACCCAGCTCTATATACCTTCCAGCAACCTCACTTCAGGCCCACCACACACCCATCCACCCGCTTTCCTCTCTAAGAGATCCCTGCCGGGGCTTCAATAACAGTAGACGTGGCAGTGCCGGTGTTGCCGTTGAGCACAGTCACATTCCCATCAGCATCCACATCGATGATGGCACTCTCGCCCTCCTTGATCTCCCCTGACGGAATGCGCCCCCTTCCCACCCCCCCTCCTCACCCACCCATCCATCCTGCTGGCCCACACCCCCTCTAAGAAATCCCTGCTGGAGCCTCGATAACTGTGGAGGTAGCTGTGCCAGTGCTGCCATTCAATACAGTCACATTCCCGTCAGCATCCACATCGATGATAGCACTGTCGCCCTCCTTGATCTCCCCTGAGAGCATGCGCTCCGCCATGCTGTCCTCCAACAGTCGCATGATGGCTCGGCGCAGAGGCCGCGCGCCATAGGAAGGGCTGTAGCCCTCATCCACCACCCTGTCCCTAAACCGTTCAGTGACCTGGGAGATAGGGGGAAAGAAAGATGGAGGGAGGGAACGAGGAGGCAAAACAAGGGGGTCATTTTGGAGGGGATGATGACGGGGGAGATGGAGCACAAGCGAGGGTAAGGCACGCAGCACGCCCCTGCCCCTGACAGCATGCGCACTGTCGCCCTTCTTGATCGCCCCTGACAGCATGCGCTCCGCCATGCTGTCCTCTAGGAGCCGCATGATGGCTCGCCGCAGCGGGCGGGCACCGTACGAGGGGCTGTAGCCCTCATCCACCACCCGATACCTGAAGCGCTCCTTGACCTGAGGATGGGGGGGGAAAAGATGAAGTGGGGTGGATGAGGGAGAAAGAGGGGGGATATGGGAGAGTGGAAGAGTGTGCGCTGATGAGAACATTTTGAGGCGCCTCAAAATACACCTCACTGCACGGGGATATGGGAGAGTGGAAGAGTGTGCGCTGATGAGAACATTTTGAGGCGCCTCAAAATACACCTCACTGCACGGGGATATGGGAGAGTGGAGTAGTGTGCGCTGATGAGAACATTTTGAGGCGCCTCAAAATACACCTCACTGCACGGGGATATGGGAGAGTGGAGTAGTGTGCGCTGATGAGAACACCGGCTCCAGCACGATATGACTGATCCCCTTCACCTGCCTTGTCACTCATCTCCTTCTTCTTCCCCACATGCCCTGCCCTACCCCTTCCCTACAATCACCAACACATTCCGTTCCCTGCCCTCACTCTCTCTCACCTGAAGATCAATGTCCTTATTCTTGAGCCAATCAAACACCTCCTTGAGCATGATATCGCTGATCGCCTTCACCTCCCATGTACCACACACCCCTGCCCTATTCATTACCATACACCGACCCACCCAACCCACCATCCACCCACACAGTCCGCATATGCTTCACCTCCAACGCACCTGCAAGTCAATCTCCTTCTTCTTGAGCCGGTCAAACACCTCCTTGAGCATGATATCGCTGATCTCCTTCACCTCCTGCTTCGTCAGCTGCCGGAACACGATGATCTCGTCCAGCCGGTTCAGAAACTCCGGCCTGAAGTACTGCTTCAGCTCCTCGTTCACCAGCGATTTGATCCGGTTGTAGCTGGTGTCCTTCTCGCCATAGTCCAGCTGGAAGCCGATGCCTCCGCCGCCCTTCTCGATGACCGACGAGCCGACATTGGAGGTCATGATGAGGAGCGTGTTCTTGAAGTCGACGGTGCGGCCCTTGCTGTCCGTCAGGCGCCCGTCCTCCAGAATCTGGCATGCGGGGATTCAGGGTTGGGAGAAATAAGAGGAAAGGAAAGAGGAAGAGAAAGAGGAACGGGAATCAGAGGATGGTGGGAAGTGCAGGTGATTCGGTTGTAGCTGGTGTCCTTCTCGCCATAGTCCAGCTGAAAGCCGATGCCGCCACCGCCCTTCTCGATCACTGACGAGCCCACATTGGAGGTCATGATGAGAAGGGTGTTCTTGAAGTCAACGGTGCGCCCCTTGCTGTCCGTCAGATGGCCGTCCTCCAGAATCTGGTGCACGGGGGAGTCAGGGTTGGGAGCAGAAAGAGGAAAGGAAAGAGGGAGAAAGAGGAACAGGAGTCAGAGGATGGTGTTAAGTGCAGGTGATGCGAGGTTGTAGCTGGTGTCCTTCTCGCCATAGTCCAGCTGGAAACCGATGCCGCCACCGCCCTTCTCGATAAAGGATGAGCCCACATTGGACATCATGATGAGCAGCGTGTTCTTGAAGTCGACTGTGCGCCCCTTGCTGTCTGTCAGACGCCCGTCCTCCAGAATCTGGGATAGAGAGATTTCGGGCATACAGAGAGAGTTGACTAGGATTTCATGATGCAATTGCAGCTTGTGAGCTTGAGCTTCTCACCGCACACACACCACAAACACTACCATATCTGAAGCCAAACCATCACACCACAGCACCGTACCTGCAGCATCATGTTGAACACATCAGGGTGGGCCTTCTCAATCTCGTCAAACAGCACCACCGTGTACAGTCTCCTTCGCACCTCACCACTTCTACCCATCTCTGTGTACCCCTCACGCCCCCACCCACCAGACCACCATACCTGCAGCATCATGTTGAACACGTCAGGGTGAGCCTTCTCAATCTCGTCAAACAGCACCACAGTGTACGGCCGCCTTCGCACCGCCTCCGTCAGCTGCCCGCCCTCACTGTAGCCTACATACTACCTCTGAGGCGAGTTTTGAGTCGACTCAAAACTCACTGTACCCCACGTAACACCTGATGCCACTTCATGACAAGCACATGCATGACCATACCTGCAGCATCATGTTGAACACATCGGGATGCGCCTTCTCAATCTCGTCAAACAGCACGACCGTGTACGGCCGCCTTCGCACCGCCTCCGTCAGCTGCCCGCCCTCGCTGTACCCCACATAACCGGGCGGCGAGCCAATCAGCTTCGAGACCGTATGCCGCTCCATGAACTCAGACATATCCAATCTAACCATCGCCTCCTCCGACCCGAAATAATACGCCGCGAGGGACTTCGCCAGCTCCGATTTCCCCACTCCCGTCGGCCCGGAAAAGATGAAGCTCGCGATCGGACGGTTGGGATTCTTCAGCCCGACGCGGGCGCGCCGGATCGCACGGGAGATCGCCTTCACCGCCTCGTCCTGGCCAATCACGCGCTTGTGCAACGTCCCCTCCATCTGCAGCAACCGGTTACTCTCATCGCTCGAAACCTTCTCCACCGGAATCCCCGTCCACGCGGACACGATATTATGAATATCCGCTTCGGTGACGGTCGGGCCGATCGCGCCGCCGGAAGCTTCAATCTCCGCTTTGCTCGTCTCCTTGCTCTTCTCCATGATGGCGTTGATCTGCGTCTTGAGGTCCATTTCCTGGTCGCGCAACTCCCCGGCCTTTTCGAAGTCCTGGTTGCGCACTGCCTCGTTCTTCTCCTTGGTGATCTGCCGCAGCTGCTTGTCCAGCTCCTTGGCTTCCTCTGGCAGCTGCGCGTGCTGCAGCCGCACCCGGGAACCTGCTTCGTCAATCAGATCAATCGCCTTGTCTGGGAGGAAGCGGTCGCTGTTTGAGGGATCAGGGGAGGGCAGGAGGGAGGGGAAAGCAGAAGGGAAGGGAAAAGGGAAGGGAGGGGAAAGGGGAGGGAGGTTGAAGGTTGAAGTCCTGGTTGCCCACTGCCTATACCACACGGCGTCGTTCTTCTCCTTGGTGATCTGCCGCAGCTGCTTGTCCAGCTCCTTCGCCTCCTCCGGTAGCTGCGTGTGCTGCAGACGAACTCGGGAGCCGGCTTCATCGATCAAATCAATGGCCTTGTCTGGCAGGAAGCGGTCACTGTTTGGGGGAGAAAAAAGGGAGGAGGGAAGGGGGAGGAGGGGACGCGGAAGAGGAAAGGGGAGGCTTGGTAGGAGAATATAGGAGTAGGCACAAAGTTAATGTTTGTGCAACTCGTAGGTCTACTCTTGACAAACCCAGTGCGTACCTGATATACAGATAGGAGAGCTGGCCGGCGGCAGCAAGAGCCTCATCCGTGTACTAGGGCTGATGGTGAATCTCATAGCGCTCCCTCAAACCTTTCGAATTAGCTCACCTGCACTGCACGCCCCAGCCCAGTGCTTACCTGATGTACTGGTAGGACAGCTGCGCGGCAGCGGCAAGAGCCTCATCGGTATACTTCAACTTGTGATGAATCTCATACCGCTCCCTCAATCCCTTCAAAATCAGTATCGTCTCATCCACGGTCGGCTCCGGCACCTGCACCGGCTGGAACCGCCTCTCCAGCGCCGGGTCCTTCTCAATGTGCTTCCTGTACTCGTCGATCGTCGTGGTCTGCCCGGCTCGCCCGTACATACCTGTAACCTACCTGCTGCACCCTTGGACGAAGAAACCCCAGTGCGTACCTGATGTATTGGTGCGACAGCTGGGCGGCAGCAGCCAGAGCCTCATCCGTGTATTTGAGCTTGTGGTGAATCTCGTATCGCTCCCTGAGTCCCTTCAGGATGAGAATCGTCTCATCCACCAATGGCTCCGGCACCTGCACGGGCTGGAACCGCCTCTCGAGCGCCGGGTCCTTCTCTATGTGCTTCCTGTACTCGTCGATCATCGTGGCGTGGACGGCACGCCCCCACCCCACATACCTGTGACTTGTCTGTTCCGTACCTGATATACTGGTATGACAGCTGGGCAGCCGCTGCAAGCGCCTCATCGGTGTATTTGAGCTTGTGATGAATCTCGTATCGCTCCCTCAGCCCTTTCAGGATCAATATCGTCTCATCAACAGTCGGTTCCGGCACCTGAACCGGCTGGAACCGCCTCTCCAGCGCCGGGTCCTTCTCAATGTGCTTCCTGTACTCGTCGATCGTGGTGGCGCCGATGCACTGCAGCTCCCCGCGCGCCATGGCGGGCTTTAAGATGTTGGCCGCGTCGATCGCGCCCTCGGCGGCGCCCGCGCCGATGAGCGTGTGCACCTCGTCAATGAAGAGGATGATGTCGTCCGCCTGCTTTATCTCGTCCATTAGCTTCTTTAGTCGTTCTTCAAACTCGCCCCGGTACTTGGTCCCCGCTACAAGCAGCCCCATGTCTAGAGTGACCACCTGTGGGACCAGGGGAGGGGGGGAAGGGCAGGGGCGGGAGGAGAGGAGGGCCAGAGGGGAGAGGGGAAGAAGAGGGGCCGGGGAAGGAAGGGATGGGGAGAGGGAGAGATGAGGTTGGGTGCCGATGAGCGTGTGCACTTCGTCGATGGAGAGGATGATGTCGTCCGCCTCAGACGCTCTTCAAACTCTCCACGGTGCTTGTCCCCGCTACAAGAAGCCCCATGTCTAGTTTCATGACCTGGGAGGAGACCAGGGGAGAAGGGAATGCAATGTCACAACCACACAGTCAGAATCATCCACGAAATATTCCGATTCCCCGTGAAAATTTCACCCTGAATAGAAACCACAACAATCTTATCCAAAGCAGCACCCACTCACCTTCTTGCCCTCCAGCGTCTCAGGCACGTCTCCAGAAGCAATCCTCTGCGCAAGGCCCTCGGCAATAGCAGTCTTGCCGACACCGGGCTCCCCAATGAGGCAGGGGTTGTTCTTGGTGCGACGGCCCAAGATCTGGGTCACTCGCTCGATCTGCGCCACACGCCCCACCACTGGATCCAACTTGCCCTGCGAGGAGAGAGCGGCGGTGGTGGAGGGAGGGGGAAGGGAGGTAAGAAATGCAAAGAAAATGGCTCTGAATCACATCGTAACTTGCTTCTCTCTATCATAACTTGGGCTACCGCTATAAGCACAACCTGTTGACTCACGTCCTCAGCGAGCTTGGTGAGGTGGTTGCCAAACTCCTCAAGAGTGGGCATCTTGGAATTGCCACTGCTGCCTAGGTGTGTTTCGAATTCGAAAAACCTTAAAATACACCAACAAAAGCACAACGCTACGCACCAGCCCTTTTCACTGCTGACTGACTCACATCCTCGGCAAGCTTGGTGAGGTTGGTGCCAAACTCCTCGAGCGTTGGCATTTTGGAATTGCCGCTGCTGCCGCCGCCCACGCCCGCGCCCACCGCCTCCGCGCTCTCGCCCACCATGCGGATCACCTGCCACCAGGTATATCCGACTTCGTTAATATCACAATTAATCAATTTCAGTGCATAAAGTGGTTCAGATAGAAAACTATGCAGACCACCTGTGAAGCGACTGCAAATTTTCAAGAGAAAAAAAAAAAAAAAAAAAAACTCAAACGCACACAAGAAACACTCTCCTACTCACCTGCGAGCGGATGTTCCCAGGGTCGGCGCCGAGATTCTCAAGCACGCGCGCAGACACCCCCTCGCCCTCGCGGAGCAGGCCCAGCAGCAGATGCTCCGTGCCGATGTAATTATGCCCGAGCTGCCTTGCCTCCTCCAGCTATATTCAAACGCACACAAGAAACACTCTCCTACTCACCTGCGAGCGGATGTTCCCAGGGTCAGCGCCAAGATTCTCGAGCACGCGCGCGGACACCCCCTCGCCCTCACGTAGGAGGCCCAGCAGCAGATGCTCCGTGCCGATGTAATTATGCCCCAGCTGCCGCGCCTCCTCCAGCGACAGCTCCAGCACGCGCTTGCTTTTGAGTCGACTCAAACGCAGGAGCTTGTTTTTTAATTGACTCAAAAACAGGCTCTCCCACTCACCTGTGAGCGGATGTTCCCAGGGTCGGCGCCGAGGTTCTCAAGAACGCGCGCCGACACGCCCTCGCCCTCGCGGAGCAGGCCCAGCAGCAGATGCTCCGTGCCGATGTAATTATGCCCCAGCTGCCGCGCCTCCTCCAGCGACAGCTCCAGCACGCGCTTGGCCCTCGGCGTGAACGGGATCTCAACGGCCACGAAGCCCGAGCCGCGCCCAATGATCTTCTCGACCTCGACGCGCGCCTCCTTGAGATTGACGCCCAGCGACTTGAGCACCTTGGCGGCGATCCCCGTGCCCTCGCCGATGAGCCCCAGGAGAATCTGCTCCGTGCCGACAAAGTTGTGTCCCAGCCGTCGCGCCTCCTCCTGCGCGAGCATGATCACCTTGATGGCCTGCCAGGGAGGATGAGAGGGATTTGGGGATGGGGGGATGGGGAAGTGAGATTGATGCCCAGCGACTTGAGCACCTTGGCGGCGATCCCCGTGCCCTCGCCGATGAGCCCCAGGAGGATCTGCTCCGTGCCCACAAAGTTGTGGCCTGAGCGCCGCGCCTCCTCCTGCGCCGCGTGTCACAGGTCATCAAGGTGATCATGCTGCGCCGCGCCGCGCCGCGCCGCGCCTCCTCCTGCGCGAGCATGATCACCTTGATGACCTGCGACACACGACGAGAAGGATGCGGAAGTAGGAACGCTTTAACCTGGTAGCGTCGTGGCTGACGGACGGAAGCGAAATAGTCATCAGCAATCGCACAGGCCGCAAGTTGAACGTCTACGACAGAAAATAAGGAATCCGTATCTTGATTAGTCAAGCCACTCCGCGAGTAATCCTGACTCCTCAGTCAACTAGAAGTCAAGAGCCGAGAACGCTCTCCGTGGAGCACTCGCGGAACGACCCAAAAGTGAACTCTAAGGTCAACGGCCTCATACCTTCTCTGTGAAGCGCTCGAACATGGCGAAAGCGACGCCGCGTTTGGCGGCGCCGGACGAGCTGGATTTAGTCTGCTTCGCGACTATCGCTGCCAACGACGAGGAGCCCCGGAGTGCCACGTCAGCTTGGCCGGGACGCCTCAGTCCCGTGAAGGATTGAAGCGAGCGAGGAACTGCGACGCTGGCGACGGTTGACGACGAGCTCCGCGACCGACGGTTTGTCTTGTTACCGCCATGGAGGACCACGCTCGCGGAGACGAGCGACGACTGAGCGATAGCTCCAGCCATTCCGACTGAGAAGCACGCAAGATGGGTCTGAAATTTGAGAACAAAGAGAGCAAAAGGGGGTCCGAATTCAGAAAAAGGGAAAACAATTACAGTTTCACGAACCAAAACCCGAAATTCTGAACTACATGCAAGTACCTTGTCCGCGGTAAGCACGAATAGCTCCCTGAAACAGAGGTGACTTGCGAGTCGTAACTGAAAAGGTCCCTCGGCGGAAGGGAACCGTGCTAACGTTGAGAAGAACGAAATAGAATGACAATGGAGGAATTCGATTATGACTGACGCGCACAAGCTTTGTTCTGCTCAGCAGCAACTGACTTGTGAATGAATGCAGCGAAGCAAGGAGATTTCTTGTTGTGGTTTCAAGAACTGGTAACTTTCTCGTGAACTCACTAGGAAACGGAAATTTATACGGCAACCTTGGGAGTTGCACGGCTGCGACGACATTTCTTGCGACAGGAAATGCTTTCGTTCCGATGTGCCGCCTGGATGAATCTGGACAGCCCCAGAAACGTCGTACACCGAAAACGGACATCCTAGACGATACTGTAAAAAACACAATACGAAACCGCCGGCTAGCGGCTAGCGAACTTCCGGAGCGGTGTCGTGGATATCATTGATTGGGCAACGGCTTCGCTTCCTTCACAAACAAGTCACTCAAAAGTGGTTCAGCTGGCAGCACACGAAAAGATCCGAAGCTCGTGGCGAGGTTCACTGATTTTTTTTAGCCAATCGGAGATTCTTCTCCCACAAATATGGCATCAAGCCTTCCAACCAGCGAGCTGGACGAGCACGTGGCTTCATCGTAGATTGCCACAATATGCGATGGAGAAATTAGCTTGCGCAAGACAAGGAAGCGAAGTACATATGAAGAACACCGTCACAATTTCAGGATAATTATCTATAACGAAGCAGCATATACGCTGTATAACCACGTGTCAGCATTTTGTCAGGACCCTTATCTGGCATACCGATGTGTCACCCAGTCAGTTGACGCTGACGTCAAAAGCGATACAGAGTCACCAGACACCATGCCAGCTCCACCCAGCTCCCCTCCCCTAGAAGTTACCAGATGCCTCCTCTAGATTCCTGCTGGGCTGTGGTGCGAGGGATGGGGTGGAGGGAATCCCGTGACCTGACCTGATACAGTTTCGTCTTTCACTCGTGTTCCGTTTCCGGGTGAACGCATTGAACAGGGTAGCGCTTCAGTGCTGCTGCTGAACTATCCGCAGCACTGCATTAGGTCCCTAATCTCGATCCGTCTTTCCAGGAATATATGGAGCCCCAGACGGGGAACGTGCATTTCCGTGGCGACATAGACAAGCGCACGCGAAATAGACAGGGACCTGGCAATTTTTTGGATTTGCCCGACGAAAATAGACAGGACGCAGACAGGCGAAAAAAAAGTCCACATATAGTTATAAAAATATCGTTCACGAAATTTCGCCAACATTTCGTGAATATTTCGTTCAGCGTGAACAGTGACACAGCGACGGTCGCCACATGGGGGTCGCGCAGAGATGTCGCCAGTAACATGCAGAACAGTCAAGATGAGCAAATGTTGGTGCTTACATACAGAATAAATTGCACAATAAGGCTCTGAAACAAGCCAAAATGGAGTCCACAGAAATGGCCAAGTGTTGGGAATTTTTTAGGTGGGTTTTTTTTATTATGATACGATAGATTTAGCCATGCCATACCTTACTACTATGGAGAGATTTGTAAAAAACACATTTAAGGGTGGTTTGTGGCTCCAAATGTCGGCCTTCTGGCGTACCTTCAAACGCTGATAACTGATAGGTTAGTGATGCAAATTATCCTCTGAATGGCTCTAGCATCTTCCCTAGACATCCTCTACAGTTTTGGACTGAAATATGTTCTTTGGTGAAATTCACCAAAACCAACATATCAAGCTACTCCAATGAAGTCCCTAGCACACGACAACTCATCCTCTAGCTATCATGGACAGTTGTAAATTTCAAGCACGTTTTTTTTTGGTTTTGAACTTTGTGCTACTGTTATCATCAACTATGTTGGCTGTCTGCCTACTCACGTTTGGTCGCTTCAGCAACCTGCACCATTTTGTGTCACAATCGCCTGCTTATCCATTTTGCTTTGCAAACCATTGTCCTGTGGTCCAAATGAGCAGAGTTTTTTAGGGGAGCATCATTCCATCATTGAAAGATCCTGTACCAATTTTCAGATCAATCCAAATACCCGAGATAGGTTGTTGATGATGATTTCGGCCGTGGTGACCTTGACTTAGTCTAAGTGTTAAAGCACAAACCAAACATTGGAATTAAGCTCTGAAACTCATAGGGGTGCCTCACGACACTAATTCTAGATCCCCCTCTCATTTTCAAGTCAATCCAATAAGGTTTGATAGGCCTTTCATGCTTTGTTATGAAAGATAAGTATGAAAACTCTGCAGAATTGACTGCAATTGGATTCACATGCAAAACACAAACCAAACATTGAAATTAAGCTCTGAAACTCATAGGGGAGCCGCAAGACAATAATTATAGATCCCCCTCTCATTTTCAAGTCAATCCATTAAGGTTTGATAGGCCTTTAATGCTTTGTCGTGAAAGATACGCCTGAAATTCTTGCAAAATTGCCTGCAATTGGATTCCCATGCAAAACACAAACCAAATATTGGAATTAAATTCTGAAACTCATAGGGGAGCCTCATTACACTTATTCTAGATCCCCCTATCATTTTCAGGTCAATCCAATAAGGTTTGATAGGCCTTTCATGCTTTGTCGTGAAAGATACTCCTGAAATTCTTGCAAAATTGCATGCAATTGGATTCCCATGCAAAACACAAACCAAATATTGGAATTAAATTCTGAAACTCATAGGGGAGCCTCATTACACTTATTCTAGATCCCCCTATCATTTTCAGGTCAATCCAATAAGGTTTGATAGGCCTTTCATGCTTTGTCGTGAAAGATACGCCTGAAATTCTTGCAAAATTGCCTGCAATTGGATTCCCATGCAAAAAACAAACCAAATATTGGAATAAAATTCTGAAACTCATAGGGGAGCCTCATTACACTTATTCTAGATCCCCCTATCATTTTCAGGTCAATCCAATAAGGTTTGATAGGCCTTTCATGCTTTGTCGTGAAAGATACGCCTGAAATTCTTGCAAAATTGCCTGCAATTGGATTCCCATGCAAAACACAAACCAAATATTGGAATTAAATTCTGAAGCTCATAGGGGAGCCTCATTACACTAATTATAGATCCCCCTATCATTTTGAGGTCAATCCAATAAGGTTTGATAGGCCTTTCATGCTTTGTCGTGAAAGATACGCCTGAAATTCTTGCAAAATTACCTGCAATTGGATTCCCATGCAAAACACAAACCAAACATTGGAATTAAATTCTGAATCTCATAGGGGAGCCTCATTACACTAATTCTAGATCCCCCTATCATTTTCAGGTCAATCCAATAAGGTTTGATAGGCCTTTCATGCTTTGTCGTGAAAGATACGCCTGACATTCTTGCAAAATTGCCTGCAATTGGATTCCCATGCAAAACACAAACCAAACATTGGAATTGATCTCTGAAACTCATAGGGGAGCCTCGTTACACTAAGTTTAGATGCCCCTCTCATTTTCAAGTCAATCCATTAAGGTTTGATAGGCATTTCATGCTTTGTTATGCAAGATAAGTATGAAAACTCTGCAGAATTGACTGCAATTGGATTCACATGCAAAACACAAACCAAACATTGGAATTAAGCTCTGAAACTCATAGGGGAGCCGCATGACACTAATTCTAGATCCCCCTCCCATTTTCAAGTCAACCCATTAAGGTTTGATAGGCCTTTAATGCTTTGTCGTGAAAGATACGCCTGAAATTCTTGCAAAATTGCCTGCAAGTGGATTCCCATGCAAAACACAAACCAAATATTGGAATTAAATTCTGAAACTCATAGGGGAGCCTCATTACACTAATTCTAGGTCCCCCTATCATTTTCAGGTCAATCCAATAAGGTTTGATAGGCCTTTAATGCTTTGTCGTGAAAGATACGCCTGAAATTCCTGCAAAATTGCCTGCAATTGGATTCCCATGCAAAACACAAACCAAACATTGGAATTAATCTCTGAAACTCATAGGGGAGTCTTATCACACAAATTCTAGACCCCCCTCTCATTTTAAAGTCAATCCAAAAAGTCTAGATATAGTTTCGCCGCATTTTTCAGCAAGGTTTGCCTCAAATTGCAGCAAAAATGGGAACTTATGCATTCTTAAATTCACTATCCAATCTCGTCAATGTAGTTAAAAGTGAAGGGCATTGCGCTGTTGGTGCAACCCTACGGTTTGCACTCGGCTTGTTGTCCGTGTGCGTGAATGTGTGTGTGTATAGAATGGTATGAGGGCGTGGGATAATATATATTTCATGCTTATAATTGTGTGTGAATGTTGAGTCATGATGTCGAGTGTGTGTGTCGAGTCAATAGCGAGTTATCGCTAGACGCGTGTTACGCGGTCGTTTGTGTCTCGCGCGCGGTTTCTATTTTGTCGTGCGCGGTTTCTATTTTGTCCTGTGTCGAACGTTCGGCGTGTCGCAGGTGTGTGCAGCAGACCCATCAAGAACTCAAGGATGAGTTTGTGATGAAGAGCCCGAGCCTTGGTGTCAAGCCTCAAGTGATTTCGAAGCTCGCCAAAATGGTACACCTCAAGATATTGAAGATATTTACATTACTTTGTGTAGTGTAACATTTCACTTGGTGTAGGCCCTAGTGAAGGGTAGTTTCGAGACCCTTCGTGGTTGGGGACAGTGTGGCACTGTTCCACATCACTGTACCTCGGCTCTTGGGGTTTGTAGGAGCTGGGAGTCATTCCCAACTCGTAACTCTTCCTATCTTGTGTTCTAAGACTATAGTGGCTGCCATAGTACCGTTCGTTCAAACCGACGCTGTGTCGTCAATTCTTTATCAAATCGTGCAATCTAAATTGATAATTGTAGACGAGGTGAAGACGCTCCAG